ACTTCGGATGGGATGGTCTGGTGCGTTCTGGAGCAGTTGAGTATGTCGACGCAGAAGAAGAGGAAACCATCATGATTGTCATGACACCTGAGGATCTCGAGATCTCTCGCCAGCTTCAGGCCGGTTACGCTCTGCCAGAAGACGAAACCAGCGATCCCAACAAGCGTGTTCGGTCGATTCTCAGCCAGCGCGCCCACACCTGGACGCACTGCGAAATTCACCCTAGTATGATCTTGGGTGTTTGCGCTAGTATTATTCCTTTCCCGGATCATAACCAGTCGCCCCGTAACACCTACCAGTCTGCTATGGGTAAACAAGCTATGGGTGTTTTCTTGACCAACTTTTCGCAGCGTATGGAGACTATGGCCAACATTCTCTACTACCCACAAAAGCCTTTGGCCACCACTCGGTCGATGGAGTTCCTGCGTTTCCGAGAGTTGCCCGCCGGTCAGAATGCTATTGTCGCTATTGCGACTTACTCTGGTTACAACCAGGAAGATTCCGTTATTATGAACCAGAGCAGTATCGATCGTGGTCTGTTCCGCAGTCTCTTCTACCGTACCTATGCGGACACCGAGAAGATGGTGGGACTACAAGTTGTTGAGAGATTCGAGAAACCCATGCGGATTGACACCCTTGGCATGCGCAAGGGTACTTATGACAAGTTGGACGAGGACGGCATCGTTGCTCCCGGTGTACGTGTTTCTGGAGAAGATATTATTATCGGCAAGACAGCTCCGTTGGCTGCTGATGCGGAGGAGCTCGGCCAGCGCACTAAGGCACACACAAAGATTGATGTGTCGACGCCTCTGCGCAGTACCGAGAACGGTATTGTTGATCAGGTGCTGATCTCTACTGGTAATGACGACCTAAAGTTCGTCAAGGTTCGCATGCGTACCACCAAGATTCCTCAGATTGGTGACAAGTTCGCCTCTCGTCACGGTCAGAAGGGTACCATTGGTATCACCTACCGACAGGAGGACATGCCTTTTACTCGGGAAGGTGTCGTTCCCGATCTGATTATTAACCCCCACGCCATTCCGTCCCGAATGACCATTGCCCATTTGATCGAATGTCAGCTCAGTAAGGTTTCTGCTCTTCGTGGATTTGAGGGTGATGCCACTCCTTTCACTGATGTCACTGTCGACTCGGTCTCCCGTCTTCTGCGTGAGCACGGTTATCAGTCGCGTGGCTTCGAAGTTATGTTCAACGGCCACACTGGTCGCAAGATGGTGGCGCAGGTGTTCCTGGGTCCCACTTACTACCAGCGTCTGCGCCACATGGTGGACGACAAGATCCACGCTCGTGCCCGTGGTCCCACTCAGATTCTGACCCGGCAGCCTGTGGAGGGTCGTGCCCGTGATGGTGGTCTCCGTTTCGGAGAGATGGAACGTGATTGTATGATCGCCCACGGTGCTAGTGCTTTCTTGAAGGAGCGTCTCTTTGATGTTTCTGATCCGTTCCGTGTTCATATTTGCGACGACTGCGGCCTGATGACGCCAGTTGCGTGAGTTTTCCAATCCCTGCTTTATGCCTTTTCGTCACAAAACTAACTGTCTTTATAGGAAACTGAAGAAGGGTCTATTCGAGTGCCGTCTTTGCAACAACAAGCACCGTATCTCGCAAGTCCACATCCCCTACGCCGCCAAGCTGTTGTTCCAAGAGCTGGCCTCCATGAACATTGCCGCCCGGATGTTCACCGATCGCTCTGGGGTTTCGGTGCGTTGATTTATGGTTGCTCAATTCTTCACATTTGTACTTTAATGATCTTGCTGGAAAAATGCGTATCTGCTTGGCCTGTTTCGCGGCGTCTTGGAGGATTGTTGGCCTTCGCATTACAATAACCGGCCCTACATATTTGAATTCAAACACTTTATGTGTAGTTTTTTTCAACCGGGTCTTAGATCAGTAATTCGTGATGCTCCCCGGGGCTAACGCACTTAGCACACCTATACCCATGCTCAAGGCACATACCTCCCACCCACTCCAAGCTGGCAATCTCCACAAAACATCATACTCGTAGACTCCAAGCGTTGTTGGGAGCGTGCCGTTTATAAAGAGGATATCTATCAATGGTTATATTTAGTTATGGCTTGTAGCTACAACTACAATAATTTTCTATCTACACTGAACATGGACGCAGGTCGTATCTCATTATTCATTGGTATCTCGGAGTAAGACCTAGACCAAAGCATGGACAAATCCATGACATCAGGGATGTTCTTTGGTTGACGAGATACCGTTTTTCATCTTGGTCAGGCCTCCTTTAGAACCAGGAGGCTCAGGGCAGATCTTGTCATCTTATGGCCTGTGCTGGTCAGACTGTGACCGGCTCAAGATAAGCTTGTCGGAGTCCACGAGGCTGGATGATCCAGGGTGGGTGTTGGCCACATCGAAATATTTGAATCGATGTCTTCTTCTTCTTCTTCCTCATCTCATCTTCTTTCCCCTCACATCCCCTTCTCTCACACAGACAACCATCGTCCCCGCCCAACCGCGGCGCGAAACCAGTCCACCCGCGGCTCGGGCTGTTTTTGGTATATTTATCGTTTTAAAAAATCAAAACAAACGCATGATCGAGTCTCAACGGACCGGAGAATTCAAGCGCAAGAACAAATGGAGCAAATAACCTAGCAAGGCGTGCAGGATCTAGCGAACCTCCCAACCTCACCAAGATATACACCATCTACCGACGGACAACAATACCCTGGCGACGAACAGCGTTGCGAGCACGGCAGTACTCCTCGTCACTCTCGTACTCGGACTCAGAGCAGCTATCATCGGAAGACTCAACATATCCGCAGCGGGAACCACCACAGTCGAGCTTGACGCGGTCACCCTTGCGGGTGATACCGTAGCGCTCGCAGCGGCAGTGCACGGGGGGCTCGCTCATGGACGAGAGCGAGGATGGCGAGGTAGAGCCTGATGACGACCGCGACGAGAGAGATGAACCCGCAGAGCTGGGTGGGCTGTTTGAGTACGAGTACTCATCGGACAGACGGGAGCCGGCGAAGCGGCGGGTCAGGTCGTCGACGGTTGGGGCAAAATCTGCTTCGCGAAGTTGGCGGGAGGCGTAGTGCTTGGTTGGCTTAGGGTGCTGGATGCGCGAGGGGGACAGGGCGCGGCCGGTTGCGATGTCACTGCGGCTGGCCTTGGGGGCGTGGGAGCGGCTGGTGGGCTTACCGCCGGGGACATCGAGGATATTCAGCTTGCGGCCGGTGGTGGGCTCGACGGTATATTCGACGGCGGGGTCGTGGGACACATGGTATCCGTCCATCATGTAGTAGTACCAGTAGCGGCCTCCGAGTTGGAGCATTGAGGTCTGGAAGCGGAACTTGCCAACCCAGGCGCCGGGCTTGCCTTCGCTGGACAGGGGAATCTGGCGTTGGTAGTTGTCCCATGATCCGACGAGGTGGACGGTCTTGACGTTGGACGAGGTCCGGAGGGAGAACTTGAGTTGAACGGCGGCCATAATGAATCAAATGTATCAAAAAAGGTTGGAATTTAAAAAAAAGGTGTCGTATGGATCAAAAGATCAAAAGAGTATCGTATAGTTAGAACAACCTAAAACTGCCGGAGTTTGGTTGTCAAGTTGATGGAATCTGGACTCTTTGTTGATCTTTGGGGAACCGGTCCGACAAAGAAAGAAGAATAATCGAGCGAGGTTATATTAAATTGAGTTTGTTGTAGGTATCTGTTGAACAGCGAAATCAAGTCGACCGGCGACAAGTAAACTGTCAATAGTTGTAAAATTCGAGGATATCCGAAGCAAGGCAGAATCTCAAAGAGCACAGCTCGTTTGAGAGTAAAAAGTGGTAAAAAAATTAGTATAGAAGAGATAAAGAAAGAAAAAAGTCCAGGCAACCAGTGCTCAGGATCACTCGAAATAGGGCAGATAAACACAACAAACGCTCGCTGAAGAAAAAAAAGAGAAGAAATCCGCCTTGAGGTGGCTATGGCATTCTTTTAAGCAAGTCGATTCGATCAGCAGTGCAGAATCAACTTGTCTTGGAGTTGGGCGGGTAATTGATGATGTTGGTTGGTTCAATGCATGTTGCACTGTGATGTGCTGCTCTCATGGCTGTGGCCAATGACTGACCAGCATTTGACGCTGGCGCTCGGACCAGAAGAGGAGAGAGTTTTCTATACGAAAGGCCATTGTCCAAGCAGCTTCAGGGATTTCAAGTCTGAAGAAGTTGTCAGCCTCATAGATTAATTGTGGAGGGATGTGTTGTCATGTCTAGACTCTAGACCTCGGAGCTGTTAAGAGCCTTGAGAGCCTCGAGAGCTTCGAGAAGAGGTTCGACCGGATTCCTACCTCCCCCGCCTTCCTAGGCTAAGTCCTAGAGGTACGTATGTGGACGGAGAGTGTTCCGTACCTCATGCCACAGAGGATTTCAAAAGATCCTAATGTGTACTCCCCGAGACTGAGATATCCGAGTCAGAAACGTCATAATTGAAAATGCGCCGAGACCAAGACGCGGGATGTAATGCATTAAACCTATTCAATCAGAGGCTGCATATTGACAGGGATATGGACAAGGATTGGACAGAGTCAGTCTAGTGGATGGTTGAAGTGCCGAACTCTCCGCCTTTCTCTCCTCAGGCAACATTTTGGTGATATCTACTTTTGTATCTTCTTGATATTCTCTCTTTTCCCCTTTTATAAGAAGAGTAAAAAAGAAAATCTTCAAGATTGGACCTGCGACCGGAAGGTGGAATTTCTCATTTCTCGCTGATTGGTTCAATCCTTCCCGATCGTCCACAACGGTCGAGAGGTGGATAAAATATAGCCTTGAAAAGACAAGGGGTCAACTGTAAGGTCGTTGGTCGGTTAATGAGTAGTCGAAGCACTAAAGCTGTAAAGAGTCCTGTATCCGTCTTGATCCGTCTCGATCCCTGAGGGGTTCTTTTGTCTTTAGCCCACAAAACCAGGTTAAATAATGAGCATCTTCTCTTCGCTTTAGAATTGTATTTATTTATTTTGAGTACTTCTAGCCATGGAGAATTCACTTGAGATTGTAAGTAGACCCTTTATACAACTCACGGGGATCTAATATCAGCTATAGGACCCGGATTACTATGACCTTGGACGCGACGACTATGTAGATACTGACTTTGCCTCGTAAGTATATGCACTGGGTAAGTATCAATCATTCTGACCTAATCTTCAGTGAAACAACCTCTCTAGCATCCTCTGTCTACAGAGGAGTGTTCGAAAATGGAAGACGGTATGCATATATTCGAATTACCGAGGTCGGATATTGACAAGATATCAGGTATCAGACTGTGAGGGAGGGTGCATCTTGGTACATACCCAAACATTAATTCGATTATATCCCTTCTAATCTCCCTCCAGGTGTCCATCTGACGAGCAACAATTTGAGAGTTTAGAGGCCGGGTGAGCTTGATACCACCACACTAATACACACGAGCTAACTCGCCCAGTCACCTCCTCTGTATACCCTTGGACGCCAACACTCCAAACCCACTCTTTCATGCACCAGTAAAAGAGCTCAAGGTATACAACCAGAATTAAAGCACCATAAATGCACTCGTTGACCAAATCAAAGCAAATCTTGGACATCGGCACAGGCCGAGGCAACTGGGCCATGTAAGAGCAGACTTTCCCAAGTCAAGAACACCGATTAACAGAATACAGCGATGTAGCCGACATGTTCCCAGATAGTAAGTATATACATACATCTTATACCCCCCAGACAGTGAGCTAACCAAGCCAGCAACCGTCAGAGGCGTAGACCTCTTCCCCCCACCGGGAGAGTGGATCCCCCCAAACTGCATAATGGAAGTCGACGACGTCCTACAAGAATGGACCTGGCGCCAGCCGTTTGACCTGATTCATATGCGCCAGCTAATAGGCGCCTTCACGCCGGAAGAATGGGACGGTCTATTCAGCCAGTGTTACAAGTAAGCCTGTCTATCCTCCCCGCCTCAATATAAACATCATAACTCTCCTTATCAAACATCAAATTAACACAAACCCAACAGAAGCCTAAACCCAGGAGGCTGGATTGAACAGATAGAAGGTGACCCACGGATCAACTGCTCAGACTCCAGCATGTCCACAGACTCCAGCATGGTCCAGTTCACGGAAGCTGTATTCCGCGCCGGAAAGGAATGGAACCACCCCCTCGATACACTGGACACGATGCGCGCCGCTATGGAAAAGGCGGGCTTTGTCGATATCTAGGAGAAGGAGTATAGGTGGCCTGTTGGGCCGTGGGCGCGAGACCCTACCCTCAAAGAAGCGGGAAGGTTGCATTATCATCAGTGGACGGCTGGTACGGAGGGTTGGGGCATGTATCTTCTTACTAAGTTTGGGTTTCCGACGCCGTGGACAAAGGAGGAGGTGCAGGTTTTATCGGCGAGGGCTAGGAAGGAATTGCAGGATCCACGTGTTCATATGTGGCAGTATGCGTGAGTTTTCTTTCTCTTCTTTTGATTATCGAGGAACGGATTGGCTGATGTTTTATAGGAGGAGGGTTTGGGGGAGAAAGCCTACGGAAGAGGAGATGAAGGTAAAGAGTGAGGGCGTTGATATGGACACTGTCATGTAGTCTGGGTTATGTTTATTTACTTGGTTTATTGATTTTGAATGATACAAGGTACTTATTTTGAACAATTCCATTCAGTCGTTGATGCTAGAATCTCAACATGCAAGAGGAACTAAAGTATACCGACTCCAATCAAATAAGCCAGAGCTGAGAGCATCGTTCGGCTTGCATAAAACTCGGATGCCGGCTGGAAGGATGCTCGAGAATACGATTGGAAAGACGCTTGAAAGGGTGCCTGGGTTCACAAGAAAGGAAATCTCCTGAAGTGATATTTCAGCGGGATAGACCGAGAAAGATGTGTCAGTAGACCCCTCGGACGACTCAGGTAAAGTCTGCTGTAGACGGAGATATCCCTTCAAGCAGGACGGGGACTGTCCACAGCAAAACTGGTAGAACCAACCAGTTTCGCTAATAACCTTGCTAATGCTGGCTCCTATATTAAGTCAGTAATTGAAAATAAGCATATCACTTGGCGTGAGAACTTACTGCCAATCGCAGGCTTGTGATACTTTTTCTTAGCCTCGATCGTTTCAATCTCAGTTGAATCTAGGTCGGATTCACTGGCTTCTCTCCCAGTGTTTTGTATCATGATCAATACGTAATTCAAACAGAGAACAATTTATGTGCGGATCTTCTTTGACTTTTCAATGGCGATCTGTGCGTTGACGAACAAGTCATGTTATCCCTGCGTGTCGAACTCGTCTTTCACGATCTTGGAAATATGCCGCCTGCCAATATCGCTCTCATGGCTATAGTAATGCTAGCATGTTCATGTCGGCCAGCTCTACTGACTCCTAGGCGTGGTGTTTGTCACAGGACCATGGGTGGTTGTTGACTAGCCAGAAAAAAGAAGCAATGCTTTACTGAAGGAGCCGCAGTTCCAAGTTGATCTGCCTCGGTCGGGATCGCGTTGACTTTGGCTTGGTGGTCTTGCATTATTTCGATCATCAAAAGCTTCACCGTGGGCGCCTTAGAGTTAACCGCTAGTGGTACCCAGGCTGTATCTGTCTGTCGTGCATTTAGATACGGGTCAAATGTCTCTCGTGTGTAAAAGTGCAAAGTCATGACATCAAACATCGAGGTGATCTAAAAGGAAAATAAATCAGTTAGCAGACTTTTGCCGAAGGGAAGTTCCGGAATGACTTACCCGTACAGAGCTTCCTCCTTGCCGGGAGCTCTTAGTTCCAGCTAGCCCCGGGCTCCAGGGCCATGCCTCGGTCACAGGCTTCGTGCAGCCGTTCATGGCTCAAATATGTCTTCAGATCATCATCTGAGTCGTCAACCTTGTCTTGTAGGGCACTACAATCGGCGTGGCCCATCTTTGAATGAACAGCCTTCGCTCTCAGGTGAGCACCGTCTCTCAAAACGAGTCCAAGAAGATGATGTACAACGTGTCGAATACATGGTTCGCACAATTGATATCATCTAGTTCTGTTGGCACTTCTGGGGAAGAATAGACAGAAGAAGAAAGTAAAAACAAGAAGGTTACCTGACTGGAACTCGGTCCCCGGGGGGTCTAGTCAAGACCCAGTGCGAAAAAGAAGTGAAGATTCTTAGTATGTTCTCCCCCACCCGATGACGGGGAATTTCAATGAGTGCCTAATCAAGATTTTTTGGACCCCATTTTGCAACTGTTGTCTTGAACCTCGAGGCATACAGGGCCAAGAGATTCACAGCTGCCTGGAATGTCTTGACATCTTGGAGAAAGCCCTTCAGCTCCGACAAGAACGTCCAGTATAGGTGCACATTTGTTCCGCATGTCGGCCTAATTAAACTCCAGCTCTTCACTCGCCAACGGATATAGTATATGTATAGGTTCACTCCTCCCTCCCTTGACTGTAAGCGGTGTACTTTGCACCAAGAGCTCGAAGAAACACAATCGAAGTCACTCGCACCTCGCATGGTGTAGGTACTCGCGGAATTTGACATAGTTGGGATCCTCTCGGATCAGAGCGATCCCAGCGTTCAAAGATTTGATCTTATCTTCAATCGCGACGTCACTTGGGTGACGTACCTTCAGACGTTGCCTCATGCTATCTTGAGGCTTAATGCCATGCCTTCGCCAATGTTGGATTCTATTGACGTACTCAGTTGGATGCCCATTCTCTTTGGGGTTCACACAATGGAAGCAGGTGAGCCCCAGAGTTTGTGGCAATAGTGCTCAAGTTCGGGATCATTTCACTTGGTCGTGCACCTCCTTGACATACTTGTTTGCATTCGATTTCGAGACAAAGGCCTTGTCACAATTGAGATCCTTTCCGCGTAAGAAAACCTTGGCCGAGTTGACTTATAACCACGAACATTCTCTGCATGCCTTTTGGCGTCTGTCTAGTACTAAATCACAAAGTACAACCCTTCTCTTTTGCCAAGGGACAGTGCCATTTGCCTTGGCGGACGATGAGAATAGGCGTACCGCCTGCCGTGGGTGGGATATCCTTCCAGGCAGTGGGAGTGGTAGTTGGGTGTGGTGACCCAATATATAGATGGGCTATTGAGAATCTTGAAGTAACCCCATTCCCATTTTGGATCACTCGAAACCATTGGCGTGACCAGTCTACTTAGTTTCGACAAGAACATTTGTTCGATATATAGCTCGATGGCACTGAGGACACAGATCATCACCATCGGGGTTGTTTGGGATAACGGAACCCCAAACACAATCAAATGTGGTAGGTAGGACTGTAGTAATGTGGTCCTCGTTTCTGGGTAGCCCTTTCTTGCTGTGATATGTTAGCTTGGACAGCTCTGGAGACTCCATCTGCCTTACTTTGTCTTGTATATGTACCTTCTTGATATGCCCGGGTTGCTGTTCGAAGCAGTGTCTAGCCCTTCGTCTTCATGTCAGGAACGTCGGCCCTTGTAACCCTGCTGTGGGACCGAAGTTTGACATGGTGCACTGATATATACTGGGTCAGTGCACCCCATATTGGTAGTTAGATGGGAGATGGAAAAGAGGCGACAGAAAGGAAGGAATTGATAGAGAGAGTAAGGAAACTATTATTCTCTAGTTACAAACAAACTGAGCCTTAAATAGTTACCCCTATTGAAGCCTGATAAACAAGGCACCAAGGCATATCAACACTGGACTATTTCGAATCTGAACTACAAACACTCTTTGTCGTAATGCACTCCGGCTCTTTATTCGCCAATAATAAAACAACAAATACATTTACCTAGTCGCCATGTAGGCACACTGAGCCGCAGTCATGCATGGCCCCCGGGCCAACTTTTGGGGGCTGGAAGTCATCTATTTATTTGTGAGAGTGACCAGTAGATAACTCACTCCATAAATGATAATTATCCTCTAATACTAAATTGATCTCTAGTCTAAGAACTATGGAGCCTTTGAACTCGAATCCTGTTCCAATAAGCCACGGCCAGTCGAATGAAAGCAATGATCCGACTCCAGCCCCTACAGACAAAGACACCCCTCCACGACAAAGTGCAAATCAACAACGCCCGTTAGAGCCTATTCCCCAAATCCTGCCATCAGCAACACTGCACCGCTCTGGGTATATCCTGTTGCTGGTGCTTCTGTATATTTTCCTGGCGGTCTTCTCATGGGTTGTCACTTGCTACCTTTCCTTTCGTCCTATCACGACCCAACACTACGACTTTTGGGTTAAGGATAGCGACAGCCCCAGTGACGAGTTTAAATATGGTCAAGGGTCCAGTGGATGGACGTATGCAGACGTCATGGCTTTGTACCAGAGAAACGAACGCTGGTATCGTGCTTCCCGGGTCATGCAGTCCATTGTTAGTGTCATGACAATTCCCTTAACCTCGGCTGTCTGCTCCAGCGCCGCAGTCATCTTTCTTCAGCGCCGACAGCCTAGTGAGGGCCTCAGCCTTAGACAAGCGGTCACACTTGCAGACAAGGGCTGGTCCGATATCTTTACATACATCAAAACATTCTCCAGTGGAACAAATGGATTGAAGCGGTATGGAAGCTCGTTCCTTTTTCTAGCCATGTTCGCGAACCTCCTCGGCTCGGTCATTTCCCCTCTCCAGCAAATGTTTCTGTCGACCGAGATCATCAAAACCCCGACATGGCCTACAAAGATTTGGCATCTCCTAGACATCCCGGACCAATGGGAGTCTTTCCTTCTTCCACAATCGAGTATGGTTTTGCTTCTCACACGCGAGGCCCTGGCTACGACAACATCCACCCAGCGACAAGCTCAGCTTTGGCAAGGTACAAATGTCTCCTGTGTTATCAATGTGACCACTGGAGCCCTCCTGCCCTCATGTAACCAGGGAGGGGCTACATTCGGCAATATGTCACGACTTGAGAATCCATTCTTGGCCGAGCTTCCCAATGATTACAATACTGGTCTCATTCAGCAATTTCTGCCTCGCATCAATTCCAGCACGCGGTATGAGAGCATCTCCGCAGAGGACTATCCTGAAGATTGTGACAAAAGAAAAGGCGCATTTTCTGTCAATTATGGGAAAGAGAATCATGATGAGGCTGGTCGTCTTACTGCTTGGGGCCTCGAAGCTTGCATGCCTGCAAATGTCAAAAACACGCCTTGGAATAATACACGCGATCGTCAAGACTTCACCGAGGAGCTCTATTTGAATGTTACTATAGTTGGACAGCTCTCTAGCAGGTCGCTCTTTAAGATCGCCCTCGAGACCACGGCCGGGTATTTTGAATTGCCAAACTACATGAACGGCCAAGTAGCTGGCCCTCTATTGGAAAAGTGTCCAGAGTTATCATACGGTTGTGGAGAACATTGTGAGCCTGAAGGCACTTCCGGAGACGGGTAAGCTTCAAACGGGAAAGGAACCTGTCTTTTTGGCTTCTTCTCTCTCTCTCTCTTTTTTTGGTTCGTCACTGACATCCTGATTGGCTCCGAAAGCGCCCCGTACAATAAAGTTCACCGGATTGACCTCAAGGACTACTACACGTTCGAACAGCTTCCAAACAGAGGGCCACTTTTGACAATAGCAGTGGCCCTCTTTGGAAATGGATCTTCTATCCAATCTAGGGTTGCTCATTCGCAGAACTACACAACCAATCTAGCTTCCGATCCATCCACGAGAAACCCTATATCTTCTTCTGGTTGTGCGGACGTACTTCCCTTCGCGTTTTTCTCACTGTCAGATGATGGGCCATCGTACTCCTGTACCCCCAGCCAGGATGGTGGTACCGATGACCCCGAAGTTGATAATGTGATAGCCGAATGGCTTAATACCCTTTTCGCCAACGATGCGGACATTGTAAAGAATGTTTTTGATGTCGCTGCATTCATTGCCAACCAAGCCTGGATGGAAAGCAGTATCGACGATGAATCAAAGAACCTGGAGATAAGCTTTGACATGGGAAGTGATACCCAGATACCAGTCATCTCCCGAGGAGGCCTTATTCTGGTTTCGATTCTTCTAGCTCTGGAAATTTTCATTCTTCTTCCACTTGCGGTTTACGCGGCTATAATCCCGAGATGGACCTCATCCCTGGACTCGTTTACCATGATGAGGATAGGGGCAGCTGTTGCGGATAAGATGCCATTGCTTCTTGGTCGAGAGACAGACAAAGTTGATGTACTTGATCAACTTCCAGGGTATGTCGGTGACCAGTCAGAGGAGAGTGATGTTATTGGGAAATTGGGTCTGGGGGCTCAAACACCCTTGGCTGCTCGACGTAATAAGCGATTTGAGAGTTATGCTGGAGAGAGTGAGCCTCTCAATGGGCATCAGTCAAAGGAGTCCCAGGACAGCTTCGATGCGGCAAGCGGTTAGCGGGCTCGGTGTTGACTGTATAGACACCTGTTCTCTACATGATGTAACGCCCAATAGAGAAGCGGTAACATAAATTGGGCCTAACGGATATTGGTCTTTACTTGCCATAACTCTCCCTAGATTGGGTGGGTTGTGTTCCATGAACATTCACCATTATGCAAAAATAGGATTGAACGCTATCTGGATTCGAAAAAGACAAAATCCAGTCGCACTTAGGATGGAAAATATACATGAGCATGTAATAGAGAAAGAGAAAGAGCCTGGTTTGTGATATGATTATCATCGTCTTGAAATCTTCGAAATTACCGGACCTAAACTGCTTGAACTCTCGGATTGAGCTGATTTCAAAGACTTTAAGTAGACATATCGAACCTCTGTAACCAATTCTCAGACCAGGAAACCTTGGCTATGTAACGTAGCTGTGAACTCTTTCTTTGACGATCTCATCCCGTGTAGTTAGAGGTCTTTCCCGCTCCTATATACCTCCTACCAAATAAGCAAGGCGACATTCACTCCCCCTCCCGAACAAATTTCAATCTCATTGGGTAGTTCAAATTTCAATTTAACACCCCTTGGTGTCTGTCATAGCAATATAAATAAATCCCGCTCTAATCTTCTTGAAGCCACCCCGAACTCTATTGAAGATTTCAGGTTCTAGAACCATCTCACTTGGGTTGAGGCAGTGGAAACAAGTGAGTCACATTTTTTAATACTCCGTCTCCCCATCTTCAGCCGCATAAACACGACAAACGTGCCCAAAAAGAGTGTATCTTTTAGGCCAGACTTTAGCCAAGCATGGAAAGTTGGAATGTAGCTGGATGGGCCCCACCTGGTAGTGGTCCCCCGTCATCAAAATGGGACTCGAGTGGTGCTGAGTAAGAATTGGCCACATTCCAGCCCTGGAGGCTCTTCAAATCTTACAGGTTCATCCAATGTGCCAGAATTATGTGAGATTGCGAGGGAGTTGTTGCACGGCCTGGCGATCTAGCTCTTTCCCCCCAGGCTAGATCCGCCTCGGGCAAACTCCCCCCGTACAAATTCAATCACAACTCCCAACAGATTGTTGGTATCCAGAAGCTTCCGGATGTTTTCGGTGGATATTTTGCGATGTCTGGGGGGCTCTTTCGAATTGTAAACCACTAGCACGGTGGTTCTGTAGTCCCTGGAATTCCAGCTTTCTCCCCGGCGAACACACATCACCATTTGCACCCCAGTAAGATCCATCTTACGCACAATAGTGCGCAAAATAGAGCCCTCGAGGGTATTATACATTCCAGTCCACATTTTCTCAGTCGGATGCGAAGCAACGTCCTTTGATAGCGACTTGGGTCATTTAGATGAGCCATTTAACCTGTTATACCGATAGTTCTGACCAGTGCCATTTTCAGGATATATAGGGATATAGCTATGGAGCACCGGGGAGCGAAGATCTAGAAGCTAATTAGCTTTATATCACGGGTTTAGGGGTGATATTGCCAACCCTTGTCTCGGGTATGAATTATTTTGAAGTCAATTCACTCGCATAGATTCATCCGTGTCGAACCCGATGACAGTGGCCGTGGTTGATACCTAGAGCCTATTCGATGGTCAAAGGCAGAAGAAGCTATATGATAGCCCACCAAAAGGCTGATAAAGTTCGACAGCAGTTGTTCGCAAGGTGATGGAAAAAGCAGATGTGAAATAGAAGGAAGGAAAGGGAAAGAGCTGGGGATGAGGACTAAGTTCAATATATAGAACAGGCTGGTGCCTTGAGACCAACGCACCCGTTTGCCGTTTGCCTTCCTTCACCCGGCAACATCAACTTCCTAGATAATTTAGATAAGTCTTGGTATTATAGCTGCTTTGGTCAAGATTAAAGCTGTGTGGAAATAAAGCGGATAAACGCTAAGCAGGTTTAAACATGATGAAAAGGAAAATAGTAAGAAGATAATTCTCACATAAATAAACTACTATGACTTATCGGATACAAAGAGAGACTTCATCTACGGAGGCGCAACAAACACTATCTGCATGAATGCCTCACGGAATATGCAGCAACCTACTGTTTGATCATATATAAATTCCTCGCGAAAGAATAATCTGGCAGGTACCACTAAATAGACCCATAAAAGCGGAATTCCTACCATATAGAACTAGCTTGGGTGTGGAATAACCATGCATTGTATACAATATGCTTAAATAGTTTGTGTTCTTTCGGTAATAGGATTCTACCTAAAGTGAATATATATCTCGCATTTATAAAATCGTTAAAAATAATATTGCATTTTCAAGAGAAACGGAGTTTCATTAACTTCATTGCCCCGAACTCAGATTTCCGGCTTATATTGAGTAACGCATTTCGGCTTAAAAAAACTCCGAATTATATGTCAAGTACATGTGCGATGTTGCCTTCTAGAAAGTCGAAATTCATTCTTGTATGTATGACGGAAGGAATTTTTCGCAACAGATTCTTTTGCTAGCAAACATATCTTGAGAGACAGAAGCTATCTATATTCTAGAAATGCGCAATTAAGACCCTGGCACTTCTATGAACTCTCTAAGGGACAGATTCACATATCCTGTCCATTTGAAGGATTCCAGCTTTAGCAATATATTGATCTACCATACTACACAGGTAAGATTGCGTCCCAAAGTCGATACGATATAGAAAATGTTTAGAAACAGACCAATGGTGTCACATTCGGCAATTGACTATCAGCAGATTCCAATTTTGTTCTCTCTCCAGGAGGGTGAATTCTGAATGTATACAGAGGGACGGAGGAAGAAGAAAACCTTGTGGATAGGTGTGTCGGATAGATTGAAATAGAACTTAGACAGGCTAGCATATTCCTGCAAGAAAAGGTATAAAAGAGAGCCCAAGCAAGTTGCGCTAACTGCTTTATTTGTTTGCCAAAGTGATTATTTTGTAAACAAAGCAAAAATCTCTTTCTCTCTTACACAATGCGGGCCGCTGGATTCTTCATTGGTCTTATGAATTTCGTCATAGGGCTGGCAGCCCCAGCCGTTGAGATACATAGCAACGCTCCTCCCTCTGCAAGTGGATGTTTCCCATTGTAGGTTGACACACATAGGTTCTAGGCTATATCAAATAATATATTGACAACACTATAGTGCCGACCCTCACTGTGGTATTGGTACCTATTGTCAGTGTAGGGATGGTAAGTGCCCTATGGATACACTATAAAATTACTGATTTGCACGAAACATACTCATATGAGCGTTAGGTCGCATCTATCTCTTCAACCGTGCTACTGGCAACTGTGACCCGCCTTGGGGCTATGCTGGCGATTCGATCCGCTCGCTTCCTGGATATCGCTGCAACAAATAAGTGGCTATGTCAAGTCAATTGAGAGCCCCTTCAATGTCAAAGTGGCAAGTCGTTGATAGGATGACAAAAAGGATGACTATGTCACTATTGAGCTGGACTATGTAGGCAATATTGTTGATGTATCTTATGTAGTGGGCCCAGTATCCCGGAAAATGATATGTGATAATGGTCTTCTGTACCTCCTGTTGGTCATTATTGTAATCCTCTTCGACACTGCTTTAGTTCAGAATACATTGTCAGAGTGAATTTCAAAGAAATTCATCGTATATATCATTGCCGCAGATGGTAATCCTGTCTTACTAATGCATTTATGAGTACAAAACACCAATAGCTTCTTGGTAAACTAACCAGTGAAACTCTCACTTAGGTGAAGCAGACAAGTACTATGCGCCTTCAAGGCTACTACTCTTAATATATGCCATACAACAAGGACAAAGGGGATAGGTCCGTCTAATGACCGGCTATCTAGCAACTATACAGAAGGAAACATTTGACAAGATTGATGCGGTGGTCCTATTAGTCCTAAAACAACCATTGCGATTATCGATCTGCTAAGGGATTGTGCATTTGAAAATGAACTTACCTAATCTGTTAGCTAGGCCTTTTAGAACATCAATTACCGTACGGATATATGAATATGGTGATCTCATTGAGGTGATTGTGAATAAAAAATTGCTAAGACCCACATGTGCAGAGCTCAGTCTCAAGTCATCTGGGCCCTGATTGACAATAACACTTGGTTCATATAGAAAGGAGGGAGTTTTTAGAATTTAATTTGAAACTTGAACGATCTATCAAGGGACTGCTCTGACTTCTTGTTCACTGAGCCATTTAAGGTGTGCCAAGACCTCTGAGCCGCACGTTGCTACTCCACCTCTCTCTCCACACTTTCCCATCAACCCTCATCTTTATATCTTTTCCAACTTCCCCATCAGTTTTCGCAAATTCTTTCATCCCATATCTTGCCAGGGTGAGCTGAACAGCAACATCTCTTCTTCAATTTTTGCATCTCCTTGGCGTGCACTTTTCTCATTTATTGATACGTTCAAACCATCACCATGTCTGAGGCGTCCACTGGACCCAGATCGGAAAATCCTCTTCTCACTATGTGCGACATTCCTGCTGAGAAAGAATCTGACGTCAAACCTATCACCATTTCCAATTCTCCTGCCGTGACGAGTCTCGATCTTGAAGCCAAAGCCATGTCCGCCTCATCCTCTCATGAGGTCCATGAGCCTAGAAACGCTATCGTGTCCGATAATTCCTCTCCGGGTAGCTCTGATAGCTCCGACTCATCATCTGAGAGTGGATATGACGCCTCCATGAATGGCTCCAGCTCATCTTCGCCCAATAGCTTATCCCCTGACAGCCTGAACAAGACCTCTCCAGAGAACAACGTCTTGAAAACAAGCGATTTGCTTGACGATTACTCCGAGAAAAGCCCGAGCTGTAGGCACCGCGCTGTCTGGGAAACATCTTCTCAGTCTGATTCCGACGCCGAAACTGTTATTTTGTGCAACTCTGCCGCCAACCATGACCTTGACACAATCTCCACCGACAACTCCGGCATCGAAGAACCCTGCGCTTTGTCTGGCGATTGCACTCAAGGGAATCCTGACGCTGAACGCCGTGATACCGCGGATTCTGCCAGTGACGATGGCTCTGACTCGCCCTCTCAAGATCCCTCTGACACGTTCTCCCCAGTCGGCCCCCGATCTCTCTCGCCTGCTAGCTCTAGATCATCACAAGCCCCCCTTGACATCGATGATGATGAGCCAAACGTCTCCAAAGGCTCCCACAACATTTGTGCCTACGCTTCTCCTGTTCAAGATGGCCGTCGCATCAGGACCAGCTGCGATAGAAATGATGACACTGGCATCTGGCATGTTGAACCGGATGGATTTATCAACGAAACTAAACGGGCTGGAGGCCCATACCTTTGCGCTTTCCCAGTCCAAATGCGAAAATTGAAACCCAACGACCCTCTGAACGACATCTTTGAGGATTGTGTTCTCTTCCGAAAAATCTTTTCAACCCTTGCTGAACACAATGTCTACCCACTCTCTATGAAGCTTAGAGAATGCCAGCACACAGAGGATCTTTTCAATTTTATGCCTACTTTAATCTTCTCTGCCATCCGTAACACCTTCGATGACTCTTGGATCTTGGCATGTCGCCAGATCTGGAAACACTTTTCCGATGCCGGTCTTGGACAAGTCAATATCGAAGTATCAGACCCGGGCGCGTACACATTTTTCTTCCGGGCACCTAAGAAATCCGATCCGATTTGGCCAGTCCATGGGGAATTACAACGCAGAATCATGGCCGCGATTGACAGTACAGATATGACCCTGCTTACGGCAGGGCCAGTGGGAATGAACCAGGATGAGGAGAACCTATTGCAGGCTGTGGTGATGTGCGTAAAATATCGGAGCAATCGAGACTGGCGCAATACGAGGGACCTGATTGTGCACGTTCTGGATGAGTTCAATCTTCCTATGGTAGGGGTCATCATCATGAAGGGCGAAAACCGGAGAGGGTGAGTGGGATTGGCTGATATAAAGGAAGACATGACCGGGGCAAGCAGGCCATGGGCCGGGGAAAGTTGCTCAAAGCTAAGGAATCATCAGACTGGCACTATGCGGCGCCCCATTCCTTTGATATTAGAGAAAATACCTTGACTACAATTTTATGAGGTTATGGATAACCTATTGTTTAAAAAAAGCTCTTTCTCAATAAATTCAAATATGGATACAGCTTGCTGATTTATTCATTTGATCTAACCAACGTGTGAATGTCAAAGAGGGTAGATGTGGACCACTAAACTCATGATGCACAAAGAAAGGGAGAAAGAAAAGGAAACAAGGTGAAGGAACATGGTGATCCACCAAAGTCCTTGGTAAAATAAAAGGGAGATGAGGGAGAGAATGTAGACGTGCTAGGGAGAAGTCCCAGGGCGATTGATCTTGAGCCGAACATTAGTGGCTTTGGTGATGTGCTTGATGTCGTCCAGAATGTCTTGGATAGGCGTGAAAAAGGACAATTGGTGCTGGTTCCCGCCAGCAAACAGCATACCAACAGCCACATAAGAGTCGGTGAACACGAGAGATCCAGAGTCGCCCGCTTGGGAAAATCGAGGGCCTTGTAACAGACAGATTGAATGTTCATAAGTTTGCCGTTTTGTGATTTCACCATCTTTCATCGTATCCTCGAGAACGAGACTGTCGAGAGGATGCTTTACGCCTTTGCAATACCCAGACCGCTGGCCGTGAATGAAGAGTGGCATGCCGTCAAGATCTGCGGGGATGGGGGAGTCTCGGAGATAATGGCCGTCGGGAGTCTAAATATAGACATGATATTAGCATTTGCGTCGAACAAAAACACGCGGAAAATATGCTAAAGAAATGTAAAGTCTTACAATGTTTTCACCAATTCGATCACGAGGGATCTCAATCAGGGCTCAGTCCAGGTTTGAAGGTACGTGGGTCGTTGTTGTTCTCAAGCCGGAGGCAGCGAAAATATGACCGAATGCTCCACGATTGTTTGCCTTGAAGATATTGATATCTCGAAGGAATGTTTCCATCTCTGCACGAGTCTTGACAATCCTTTCGTAAGCTTGTTTCGCACCTCGGCCTAGTGTGAACCCTAGGCCGTCTCTCTCCAACTCGCGGAATTTGACGTAGTTGGGATCCTCTCGGATGAGAGCGATCCCAGCGTTCAAAGATTGGATCTTGTCTTCAATCGCGACGTCACTTGGGTGACGTACCTTCAGACGTTGCCTCATGCTATCATGAGGCTGAATTCCATGTCTTCGCCAATTCAGGATTCTGTGGACATACTCAGTTGAATGTCCATGCTCGTTGGGGTTCACACAATGAAAACAGGTGAGCCCCAGCGTTTTATATTCGGTCTCCCCGGGCATGTTGAGTTCTATGAAACCAGCGAAGGTTCCCGAACTATTGGCATTTTCGAGGGCAAGGCTTTGGCTTATCATCGAAGGTTGTTGGATAGCTCGATGATCAAGCTCTTCTTGGTGAAGGTCGGATACCCCACGGGTAAAATGTCCAGGCACAAACTCGACAGCGACACTTGCCAAGCGGTTGCGGTCGAGGAGTTCTCGAATTTTGGCAATCGATCTGTGTCGATGACTAGGGGGTTTCTTTGAATCACAGACAACGAGCACAGTTGTTGTAATTTTTGTAGAATCGAGCCCTTTCCGCCGAACACAGGCAAGGATGCAAACCCCGGTATGGTCAATTGTTTGGACAATCTGATGCAGGAGACCTGGCCAAATCTTGCGAATCACATCGTGCTTCGAGACATAGAAGAGTTCGGAGGTAGGCACAGGCTTCGGGGCCTTTAGCAGGTTGGTCGACGTGGGGTTTTTTGGTATTTCGCTTTTGTGGACGCTTTTTGAAGTCTTGCGATACGGCATCGTGGGAAAGAGTATGGTACTTTGCTAACAAGTCAGAGGATTGTAAGGAGGCACTTGAAAAGAATGCAGCAAGTAGACGAAGAACGGCGATCTAGGACCGGGTGAAAAGACTGATATCAGAGAAAGCAAAGAACTTGAGAAAAGCAAGCTCCCATCAAGTGAGTACTAATTTGCATAGCAGTAGGCTTTTTGAAGAGTGTTGATGGTCAATGATAGTTGAAAATTGACGAGCAGACCTTTCAGTAGACTTTATGAAACGTCAAACAGGAGGCCCGTCTTGCCTTATCCTACGTTCGACTGACCGATGAGGGAGCTTTCTACTGCTTTTGCATTATGATGCCCTATCAGCGGAGCTCACGCTTCCAAGCAGACTTTGACCAGCATGGAGATATAAGCACCTCGCGTATTCCGCTGGATCCGCCAATTATCATTTGGGCTAATGGGTTGCCCTAGTTCCCAGTCTATAAAGCTTTTTAAGTCCTTTGTGGAAGCTGGAACACTGCATCCTACCTAGTCGACAGGTCTTTCTGAGGGTCTTTCTGAAAGTCTTTCTAGAGGTCTTTCTAATGGTAGAAGTCCTGATAAACTAGTCCTACCTTCCACCTATAAATATATAGGGGCTCCCTGTAGGATTTAAACGATGTGGAACTACAGAAAGTATTAAACTTATGCCCAGGGTATATTACGATTTTTTGCCAGGCAAGATACCGGGTATGGTGATGGTCCTTGAAACCCCTCGTAAGCTTGCAATAAATCTCATTTTTCAATTAGTTTGTATAAACAGCGACTTGCATAGGGCCCATCTTTGCGTTCCTACATAGCAAGGTGTTTTGCTTCAGGAAGGAATATGAAGATCAAGCGCGCGAGAATCTCGACATCGACCGCAGGTCGCCATACGTCCCATGTCAGCCCTATTTCGTCGACGCAAGAGATAATGTCGGCGCTTCGCCCGGCCTGTAGCCGGGAGCCGACGATGCGAACCATCTGATCCCAGTCGCCATCCGCAGATTCTACGGGCATGGGCGGGTTCGCATTGAATTGAAGATTGTACGGGTCTTCTCCTGGGGGATGCAGCTCCAGGTGTTTGATGGAGATTACCGGGTGAATCGCCCTGACGATCTTACAAGGACCGACTCGTTAATCAGCAGTCAACCTTGAGACGAAACTAGAGAGCCATCTAACAAGTCGTCTTACAAGCCAAAGACATTTAAAAAAAGACATCTGTGACGTGAAATGGTCCAATACAGGTGTATTCAAATGTTCGCAAACAAATCTGAGGTGTGGACTAAAAGTAATAGACTACGGTAGATATATCAAGTGCAGTTTTTCAAAAGGATACCTTTTACACTGGATTTGGATTCCGAAATAAACCAACTAGAACAATACAAGAGTAGAGCCCAACATACGTTGGTTAAACTCTCATAAAAGCCGGTAGTATCGTAGTGGTCCAAATACTTATCTAGGATACCTATTCAGTGTAGGAAGAAACGTCTATACTTCGGATAATCACAGCGCCGATCCGGGGATGAGTAATTGATGAGTCAGCATGTGCTTGACTTCAACCAGTTTGTCCCCACAATGGGTGTCTGAATATCGACGCATGCAAAGGCCAGGCGTTCATCCGGTCACACAAAATTTGACACCAAAGATCAGTACCAGAGCAAGCGTTTACATCGAAACTGGTTGAGCTGCACATCACTCTCTTAGCATCCCGATAGGAGCCACCTTCAACCCGCCCTGCGACCGAATCCAAAATGGCACACGGTGCGGAGGACTGCGCAACTGTCCTGGAGCAGTTCGTCCACGATGTGGCAAATCTTCCGGCTGAGATCAACCATCTCATGGAGGAAATTCAAGCCAAGGATAAGGTTATGCAGGAGTGCCGCGCTACAATCAACTCGCGCGACAGCAGCATTCAGAAATTCATCAAACTGAACGGCAGTCTGACACCGAACCCAAAAGAAGAGCCATACGGCAAGACTATCCTACAAAATATGGACAAATCCCACGAGCTGCAGAACGAGAAGATCCAGCTCAGCGAGAAGGCCTGCGTCCTCCTTGATCGTCAGATCAAACGACTCGACGTGCGCATTCGCGATCTAGTCAACGAAGGCCTCCTTAGCAACGACCCGCCTCTCCCTTCCCTCTTCGACTCAAAAAACAAATACCGCAACCCACCCAAGATCTTCCTCCCTGACTCCGCCCCCACCGACTCCCCCGCCTACTCAACACCCCTCAACCCGACTTCCGGAAACGCGAATCCCATCCTAGCTGCTGCGCAGCGCTTGAACCAATCTACAACACCTCGCACCCCCGGCTCCACAGCCCAAATCGGTCAAATCACAGCACGCAGCTCCGCACCCGCTACACCCGCTGCTGCTGCGGTCGTACACCTCCAGCAACGCCAGCGTGAATCGTCTGCCGGGGCAGTGGACAGCAAGCGCCGCCGCTTGAACCCCTCTTCCAATACTCTCCCCGTAGCCTCGTCGAACTTGCGCCAGACTTCCACTGGCCCTGGTACACCAAAGCCTGGTACACCGGCTGGCAGTCGTGCAGGCAGTGTCGGCCCCCGTACCAGTATCGGCGTCAAGAAAGCCCTGACCAAGAAAGTCGCGCCACACCAGCAAGTCAAGAAGCTGAAGACTGCGAGCGGGAAGCCCATCAAACGTTCTTCCAGTGCCAGTGGTCGCATCAAGTCTTCGAAGAAATCTCCCAATGGAGAAGGTGACGAGGATGATGACTCCATGCTCAGCAGTGCTGATACATCAGACTCCGATAAGAGTGATGGTGCTGCCGATGATGATGTCGACGATGAGGATGAAGACGAGGGTAATGAGGATTCGAAGGTCTATTGTACCTGCCGCACTGTCAGCCATGGGGATATGGTGGCTTGCGACAATGATGAGTGTCCCTATGAGTGGTTCCACTGGAAGTGTGTTGGATTGACACGCGAACCGGTTGGGACTTGGTACTGTGAGGAGTGCCGACGTACTCTAGGCAAATGATCCTCTGTTCTCTTCTTTTTCTATGATGATATACCCACGGCGTTTTGAGGGACTTTTTCGGTGTTGGGCTAGACTGTGCTGGACAAGAGTATTTACTTGTTACTAGTTCTACTACATAATTCGAATAAACGGAATCAATTTCATCTTCTGTCTATCCTAGACAAGAACTGACACTAATTCCCGAGGGAAGATAGGAAGCAGAGTTCCCCCCTAGGTATCCATTCCCAGCCAGAGCCAAGCGTATGTCCAAGCCGTGCCCATCCAGTGCCCAATATTCCCAGGGTCACCAGTGAGCCGGAGCCTAACCAAATCAAGTCGTAAACGCCATCGCTATGCACATATCCCCGTTTTTTTTTTCTTCCATGCAAACATGTTGGCACACGGGCGCACACAGTGCGCCGAAAGTCAGAAATCAGATGTTCGTGGAAAAGCCACTGCCAGTCCACTCAGAACCCAAGCCCACTGTTCAGCCACGGGTCGAAGTACTCGCAGGTCTCTGGGCTCACTGCGCCGCCTGGGGCGCACAGCTTGAAGACTGGGCACTGGCCACAGGGGGCTTCCGTCATGCCGTTCTTCACCAGGTGCTTGTTTGCAATGGAGAGATCGTCACCCTCAATAGGCGCCTTCCGGGACTGAGTGGCTTTAACGGCTTCAGGGCTCTTAAGGGATCGGTACCACTCGCCGTTTCCTAATGCGACGAGCTTATTGTCATAGCAGAGCATTTCAAGGAGTTGCACGACGCTCTCTTCGCCCAGGCGGACGGGGGTGATACCGCTGTCGTTGACGGCGGCGGTGATCTGTGCCACGGTCGGGTATCCCGCGTAACCGTGGGGGTAGGGGAGGTAAGATTTCTCATCGGACTTCACTTCTGCCTTGCCGGAGGCGGTCTTGATGCGCTTGTTCTTACGGTCGGAGGCGGGGACTTCAAACCAGCTCTTTCGGCTCACGGTGTACTCGATGTAGCCTGCGACACTGTTGATGAAGTTGGCGTCCAGTACACCGTCTGTGAACCAGGCTCCTCCGGTTACTTCTTCGCTTGGAGCAAGCCCGGCCAGCATGTACATCTTGCGGCTGGGATATTTGACATTGTGGAGGGATTTGATGTAGTTTTTTCCTTCGAGGGCTTTCAGGCATCGATCGAGGATCGACTTGTGCAGGTTCGTGCGGTTACCGATGTGCCGCACCCAGATGCCTGTTCGTTCTGTGGAGTGGATGACATTGTAGACCATGGCCTCGTCCGGGGTGAGGTTGCGGAGCCTGAAAGGAAACAGGGGTTAGTTATGTGGTTTATCGACAGAGATGTGGTCTGCAGTTCTTACTTTTCGGCATCCTCGCGGTCAATGAGCTTCCATGTGAGCTTTCCATCTTTTTGGAGAAGTCGAAAGAGATTTTGATTGACGAGGCTCTGGGTGCATTCTAGTAGTAGCGCGACATCGTTCTTGGGGATGACTTTGAGATTGAGAAAGTCGTTCTGATAGAACAGGTGATCGGAATCAAATTCATTCACGCATGCATCGTAAAGCTTGGAGGCAAGCTCGGCCACTTGGGACCCCGCGGAGGCCATCGTTGGAGATGCGACGGAGATATCAGGCAAAATCAAGGTTCATTCGAAGAGGCTCGTGGGTTTTCATATTCAAAGAAGTGTGTTAGAGCCAGGAGGTAAGTTAGAGGACCATGTTGCGTCGATGTCCTTAAATTTGAGTCACGAATGAATCACAGATGGTGTTTTTTTGGCGACTTTTTCTCGGCGGGGAGCGACTTTGACCTAAAAGGGTTTAGCCCGGCGGAGCTTCAATGTCAGCTTAAATGCCTGAGGTGTCTACTGCCTGAGGCTTAAATTATTGATGCCTGAGGCAGTAGAGACCAACGGAAATTTCGAGAAGCTCCGACCGACTGATGAGCTCATCACATTCAGTTCCTTGTGATCTAGTTTTTGATCTTTCTCCTTTTACTGAGCAATTTAGCATATCACTACAACATGGCTGACGCATTGAAAGCAGAGGGCAACAAGGCCTTCTCCGCTAAGGATTATCCTACTGCTGTGTACGCGCTACCCCACCTTTTAACATTGTGATTCTGTTAGAGCAGAGACTGATAAAGCACAGTGAGAAATTCTCCGAGGCCCTTTCCATCGAACCCGAAAACCACATCCTCTACTCCAACCGCTCCGCTGTCTACTCCGCCCAGCACGAATATCAAAAAGCTCTCGAAGATGCCGAGAAGGCGATCCAGATCAAGCCCGATTGGTCCAAGGGCCATGCCCGCAAGGGTGCTGCGTACCGCGGTCTCGGAGATCTTTGTATGTCATTCTAACTACGCATAAAAGGGTGGAACAACTCGCTGTGTGACAAGGTGCTAACTGACAGCAGTGGCTGCGCACGATGCCTATGACGAGGCCCTGAAGATCGAGCCCGGCAACGCACAGGCCAAGTCCGGTCTGGAGGCGACCCAGCGCGCCATCAATGCGGAGGCTACCGCAGATGGTGTCACTGGAGACCCAACAGGAGGTCTCGGTGGCATGTTCAACGACCCGGCTTTGTTCCAGAAGCTGGCCAACAACCCCAAGACCGCCTCCCTGCTGGGAGATGCTGAGTTCATGGCTAAGCTGCAGAAGATCCAACAGAACCCCAACAGTGTTGGAGAGGAGATCCGCGACCCGCGTTTCCTGCAGGTCATGAGTGTGCTTCTCGGTATTGATATGAACTTCGGTGGTGAGGGAGCTGAGCCTCCTGCGCCTGCTGCTAACCCCAGCACTTCGCAGCCCAAGAAGGAGCCCACCCCGGAGCCCGAGCCAGTCGACGAGGAGGCGATCGCCAAGAAGCAGGCCAAGGAGGCTGCTGATGCCGAGAAGAAGATCGGTAACGATTTCTACAAGAAGAAGCAGCTTGACGAGGCCATTGAGCACTACACCAAGGCTTGGGACCTCTTCAAGGACATCACCTACCTGAACAACATTGGTGCTGCCAAGTTCGAGCAGGCCGATTACCAAGGTACCATCGAGACCTGCCAAAAGGCTGTCGAGGAGGGCCGCGACTTGCGCGCCGACTTCAAGCTGATGGCCAAGGCCTACACCCGAATTGGTTCTTCATACGAGAAGCTTGGCGACCTCGCCCAGGCTATCGAATTCTACAACAAGTCGCTGATGGAGCACCGCACCCCTGATACCCTAACCAAGCTCCGCAACGCCGAGAAGACCAAGATCACGTCCGAGAAGAACGCCTACGTGGACCCTGCCGAGGCTGAGAAGGCTCGCGAACTCGGCCAGCAGAAGTTCCAGGCAGGTGACTGGCCCGGTGCCGTTGAGGCCTTCACCGAGATGACCAAGCGTGCCCCCGAGGATCCCCGCGGTTACTCCAACCGTGCCGCCGCCCTCATCAAACTGATGGCATTCCCCGGTGCCGTGCAGGACTGCGACGAGGCCATCAAGCGCGACTCCAAGTTCATCCGCGCGTACATGCGCAAGGGTGCTGCCCTCATCGCCATGAAGGAATACAACCGTGCCCTGGACACCTTCACCGAGGCCGCCGACCACGACGATGGCAAGCACGCCCGCGAGATCGAGCAGCAGCAGCAGAAGTGCCTGGACGCCCAGTTCAGCGCTCGTGCTGGCGAGACCGAGGAGCAGACCATGGCTCGTATCCAAAATGATCCCGAGGTAAGATCTCTATTTCCTGATTATTTAACATCCAATACACTAACTCCTTTTTTTTTTTTTTCTTCAGATCATGGCCGTCCTCCAGGACCCCGTCATGCAGAGCATTCTCCAGCAGGCTAAGAGCGATCCCGCTGCCCTGCAGGAGCACATGAAGAACCCCCAGGTGCGGATGAAGATCCAGAAGCTGATGGCTGCTGGTGTGATCCGCATGGGGCGGTAAATGCTGTAAGGGTGTAGATGTTTCGAGGGATTTGGATACGAATTGACATGAGATACGAGATATCTTTGCCAGCATTATTTTTAGTTCCATATTGCTAAATTCCATTCTGCTTAGCATGTTATATATGGATTATCTTTCAGTCCCAGGTAGTGCGCCATAGTGCTTTTGCATTGCGTCCTGGACAGGTGCAAATACAATTTGCCAGTATCAATATGTTCTGTATCACAGTCCAAATTTGAATTGTACAATAGTGGAGTTCAGCCCCGACATTAATCTTCCATTCTCGTAATATCTCTCGGCCTCAGCTCGGACTTTATCCACAAGAGTTCCTAACCCGAGAGAAAAAAAAAGAAAAGACGCAAGCCTGTGGGGGGGTTTCCAGTCAAAAAAAAAGTGAAGATCTGAACTATTTGATCTACCAATCATAATATCACTATTAAGGGATTCAATATCCGAGAGATTTCTATCTACAGAGTAGCACAGAACACTGGAGTATAGTGGAAATAACCTCTGAGATCAGGTCGAAGTCTTGGATGTGATAGATCGACTGCAGCACTTGGCTTGTCCATCACCCAATATCTAGTTTGTAGTACTCCATACAGGGTAAGGGCATATCATATAAAACACTCCAGAAGTTCCTCGGTAAATCAAACCCATAAACCTTGGGACAGTGGGTATAGCCTTGGCCGATCTACCCAATCGGGCGTAGGGTGGGATGTTCGATAGCGCGTATAACGGAGCAATAATGTGACATGATATTTTTTTTTATCTTTACATTTCCTGCATGCCACGTGTACCTTGACATTGTATGTACTCCGTAAGTACAGAGTACGGAGTACGGAGTAAACAATTCCAGCATACCAGAGCATTGGCGCCGAGATTCTTATCTCGTTGCCTAGAGTGGTAGGGCTATACTCCATAATGAAACGATCTCCGCAAATAAAAAGGGGAAAAAGAATTAGGTTAACTATAACCCTAAGAACCTTGGAAAGGGAATTTATCATCTGTTGATCTTTGACCCTTGACCCTCTGTGGCGGTGCTGAGGTCCAATCTAGTCGGAATTTAGTCCTTGACTTCCGTATAGGGTTGAGTTATAGACAATTGAATACAGACTACAATACTGTATACATATTTATAGACTTAGATAGAATATATAACCTCATAGGTACACACAATTTGAATATGCCTAAAGTAATGCTGATCTAGGGTATACGTCACTGATCTGCGATCGACTTTGGGAGCTTACGATCTCCCCTTTTCTTTTGTTTCTTTCTTCTCATTGGACTAATTATAACAGAGAATTAATTATTTACATAAAAGGTGATCTAGGTATTTAATGGTAATATTGTATGGTAATCCCAGCCACAGTTCCCCTTGACGCAAGCGGCTGGGCAGCTGTGTCTTTTGGTCCACTCCTCTTCTTGTTTTTCTCTTTCTCTCTCTGTAACTCTATACCTTGGTATACAACACCAGGTCCCCCTTTTTGACGACCTCAACGCCATTCCGGTAGGTGTAGACGCAAGTTGGCGTTCTTCCCCCACCATCCCCAGGTACCCATCTCCCACCCATGGATCGAATCTGACCACCCTCCTAGAACATCCTCGGCTCTCCCAATTCCCCCGACCTGAACACAACACAAACCGGCGATATGGCGTCCGCCGACGGGGAGAAGATGGGTATGAAGATGGAGGGTACCATTGAGGCCGCCCAGGAATTGCACCAGGACCCGCAGTCACACGTTAACCCCGACATCATCGAGGAAAAGGTCGTCAAGGAAGCCCAACAAGCAGGTTCGGCGGCATACCAATTCGACCCCAATGCCTCGCCTGAAGACAAGTCCAATGCGGCCAAAGCAGTGCGTGTCGCAAATTGTCCCAAGTTCCAGGCGCAACCCATGCTAACTGCCATGTCTTGTAGCGATTGCCGCCTAATTTTCACCATCCTCATAAACCACAGGGTGTCGCTGTAATTACAGATAAGGTGAGAAGGAAATGGATTTCTTCGCGATGGCGATCTACATGTTAACTCTCCCTAGACCGATGGCAAAGCAGACTATGATCTCCCTGCACCGGAATCTGCGACCGCCATTATGGCCGAGGAAGCCACGCGAGAAAGTGTGGCTGGAAAGCCCCTCGACGAGGATCTTCGATGGGCCCGCGATCGAACGGGTTGGGCCCCCAAGTTCGTCGATGAGAAGCTAGCGGCCACTTTAGGAGAAGAAGGTACATTGCTAGATCACGAGACCTTCTTGGAGGGGAGAATCCCCGACAAGTTCTTTGGTGACTGGTACCACAATTGCGGGATTATCATCTTCGCCTGCGTGGCCTCGTGGATGGTCGCCGTGCTCGGCGGTGGCATAGGTTGGGTTCTTATGGTTATGGCAGCATGCAGCACCTACTACCGTACCTCCATTCGACGAGTGCGGCGGAACTTCCGTGACGATATTAGCCGTGAAATGTCCAAGCAGCGCCTCGAGACCGACACCGAGAGCCTCGAGTGGATCAACAGCTTCCTCGTCAAGTTCTGGCCTATCTATGCCCCCGTCCTGTGCGACACTATCATCAACACCGTCGACCAGGTCCTTAGTACTTCTACTCCCGCCTTCTTGGATAGCTTGCGCCTCAAGACCTTTGTCCTCGGTACCAAGCCTCCTCGTCTGGAGCACGTCAAGACCTACCCCAAGACCGACCCTGATACCGTCATCATGGACTGGAAGTTCAGCTTCACCCCCAACGACGTTACGGACCTGACTGCCCGCCAGACAAAGGACAAGATCAACCCCAAGGTCGTATTGGAGGTTCGTGTCGGTAAGGGTGTCGTTAGCAAGGGTCTCGACGTGATTGTCGAGGACATGGCTTGCTCAGGCTTGATGCGTGTCAAGGTCAAGCTTCAGATTGCGTTCCCCCATATCGAGCGTGTCGACGTCTGCTTCCTGGACAAGCCCGAAATAGATTACGTCTGCAAGCCCCTTGGTGGTGATACCCTTGGATTCGATATCAACTTCATTCCCGGCCTGGAGTCCTTCATTAAGGACCAGATTCACGCCAACTTGCAGCCCATGATGTACGATCCGAACGTGTTCCCGATCGAGATCGCCAAGATGCTTGCTGGAAACCCCGTCGACCAGGCTATCGGTGTGGTCGCGATTACGCTGCACGGTGCTCAACAGCTCAAGAACCCCGATAAGTTCTCTGGCACTCCTGATCCTTACGCCGTGGTGTCTTTGAACAACCGTAATGAGCTCGGCCGCACCAAGGTCATCCACGACACCGACAGCCCCCGCTGGAATGAGACTATTTACGTGATTATTAACTCCTTCAGTGATGCATTGTCCATTGCTGCCTACGACTGGAACGAGTACCGCAAGGATAAGGAAATGGGTGTTGCTAGCTTCGCATTGGATAAACTCGAGCAGGAGCCTTCTCATGAGGGTATTTATCTGGAAGTGCAGGCCAGTGGCCGCCACCGCGGTGCCATCCAAGCCGATATCCGCTTCTTCCCCGTTCTTGAGGGACGAAAGAACGAGGCTGGCGAGGCTGAACCCGCCCCTGAAGTCAACACCGGTATCGCTCAGTTCACCGTGGAGCAGGCCAAGGACCTCGACGGAAGCAAGAGTCTGGTTGGCAAGCTGAACCCTTACGGTGTTCTCCTTCTCAACGGAAAGGAGATTCATATTACCAAAAAGCTCAAGCGCACCAACAATCCCATCTTCCAAAATGCCTCCAAGGAGTTCCTCGTCACGGACCGAAAGAACGCTCGTCTGGGTCTTATCCTCAAGGACGATCGCGACATCATGCAGGATCCCATTATCGGCCGCTACCAGATCAAGATGAACGACATGCTGAAGATGATGGAGCGTGGCCAACAATGGTTCCACCTTCACGGTGCCAAGGACGGACGTGTCAAGTTGACTCTCCAGTGGAAGCCTGTCGCGCTGGGCGGCATTGGCAGCGCTGGCTACATTGACCCCATTGGTGTCATGCGCTTCCACTTCAAGCGTGCGACCAACCTGCGCAACCTCGAGGCTATGGGCAAGTCTGATCCCTACGCTCGCGTGCTGCTTTCCGGTGTGACTCGTGGCCGCACTGTCACCTTCCGCAACAACCTCAACCCCGAATGGGACGAGGTCGTCTACGTGCCTATCCGTAGCGCACGCGAGAAGCTGACGGTCGAGGTCATGGACGAGGAGACCATCAACAAGGACCGAACTCTTGGTTGGTGCGACCTCAGTGCCTCCGACTTTGTTCGCGAGACGGAGAGCGGTGAATATGAGATCGACGACGAGAAGCAGGAGATCACTAGTAGTCTGAAGATCAGCGGTGGCTCTCCTAAGGGAGAACTCCACTACACTGTTTCCTTCTACCCGTCTGTACCGGTCATCAACCCCGAGGACGAGGCTGACGAGGAGGAAGAGCTCCCCGTCACTCCTGGTCCTGACTCCACCGAATTCCCCAAGGGCATCGAGTCCAAACCCAAGGTTTTGCACTCGAAATCTGCTAGCGTTGACTCCAAGGCTTCCAAGGCCTCCAAGGCTCTTACCAACGGCGCTGCACCCATCACTAACGGAACTACCAACGGAACTACCAATGGCGAGCCGGCTACTAATGGCCGCACCAGTCTGGAAACCACTACATCGCGCCCAATGACTGGTACCCCGTCTGAGACCGCGTCTCTTCGTTCGGTCAAGTCCATCCCCCGCACGTTCGTCAGTGCAGATGATCTCCCTAAATATGGTACGTTTTACTTGGATCTTTACGGCAATTGTACAAAGCTAATTGACAATAGAATCCGGTTTCATTGTGTTTAAGTTCCACGAGGGCCAGCTGGCCGTTCCCCATGTCCAGTTGGAAGTCGTGATGGACGATTACATGTTCCCCTCGTATGTCTCATCTAAGATCCACACCACGACTGCCAAGTTCAGTGACGTGGGCGAGGCATTCGTTCGTGAGCTCGAGTTCTCCAAGATCACCTTGCGTCTAGTCAACAAGGATGACCCCAAGGACTCCAGCGAGGAGCACACAGTCGCCAAACTGACTGGTGACACCCTGCCCACCCTCATGCGTATGCTGTACACGCCCACCGAGCTCGTTCTTCGCTCCAACTCCGGCGAGGTGAGCAAGGTCACCGTCAGCGCCCGGTACATTCCGACGGAAATGAAGCTCGACCCCAAGGAGAGCATCAACAACATGGGTACCCTGCGCGTGGACGTCCACGATGCCGCCGAGCTTCCCGCCGCCGACCGCAACGGATTCAGCGATCCATTCTGCAAGTTCCGCATGGACGACGAGACCGTGTTCAAGACCAAGGTCCAGAAGAAGACCCTGCACCCGGCCTGGAACGAGTACTTCGAGACCCCTATCAAATCCCGCATCGGCGCCAACTTCCATGTGGATGTGTACGACTGGGACTTTGGTGACAAGGCTGACTTCCTCGGCGCCACGCCGATTGATCTGGAATCCCTGGAGCCCTTCCAAGCCAAGGAAGTCACTCTGCCCCTCGACGGTAAATCAGGCGCGATCCGCCTGAGCCTGCTTTTCAAACCTACCTATGTGGTCCGCGCCCGCCAAGGTTCCTCTACCTTCTCCGGCACCTTCGCCGTCCCCGGCAAGATCGTCGGCGCTCCCGTCAAGGGTGTGGGCTTCGTCGGTGGCAACGTCATTCGCGGCGCCTCCTTCCTGAAGCACGGCCTCATGTCGCGCATCCACAAAGATAAAGGCGAAGATACCGCCTCCATCATGAGCAACATCGAGGAGCCTGAGCCCGCCAGGGGCAACCATCTCACCCCAGCCGCCTCCCTTGTCGATGGCCCCGGCACCAGCGCCTCTTCCCCCACACCCCGCAGAAGGAACACAGCCGCAACCGCAGCACCGCCTCCCAGTTCGGCGACCGCCTTAGCGTCTTCGGTGGCGGCGGCTCCGGCGACAAGGGTTCCGCCAACATCACCGTCGTCTCCGCTGCCAACTTCCCCACTGATGCCAACCTCCGTGTCATCATTCGTGCCCAGGGTTCCAAGGGCGCAAAGGAAATCCACAAGACCAAGGCACACAAGAACACCGCCGGTACAGTCATCTACGACGATTCCTTCCGCGTCCCCAACACCACGGCCGACGCCCAGTACCAGGTCCGCGTCGTGGACCACGCCACCTTTGGCTCGGACGATGTCCTCGGCGAATCGCCGTTCTTCGTTGACGACCAAGGTTCCGTGGCCGGACAGGATAAGACTATTCCGGTTGGTGACGGCCTCGTTACCATTCGTTCCAGCTTTGCACTTTCCGATGGTGGTCTGAGACCCACTACGTCGCACTCGACGGCAGGTCCCCCCGATGCTGATGGTGCGGGTAGTCCCGATTCGAGAAAGATGCCCCGTCGCAGCTTCTTGAGTAAGCGGTCTGCCAGTGGTGTTTAATTCTTCACGTTTATTATCCTATCCGGTTTGGAATTGCTTTTGCCTGTTTTAGGCTAAAGAGTATATGAAAATATGAATTGCTTTCGTTTTGTTATTAATTGGTTTTCCTTTTTTTTGTGTTGTGATATCCTTTTTCTCTCTCTTTTTTTTCTCTCTATCAATATGAATTGAATTGTTCTGATGGTTCTTGGACTTTGAGACAAGCGTGGAGACTGAAAATAGCCGAGTAAAAATAGTCCAGAATCGTTAGTTTGCGCCACCCAAAAAAACCTGAAAACCAAGGAGTCTAAGAACTGAGACTAATGTCTAATGTCTCAGTTTGGAATTCTTTAAGGGGGGCGATGTCGTGTTTGTATATGCATTCTCGATGGCTTCATGTTAAATTAAAATTTGCCTCTCGAGTTTTTCTGAAACTTTGTGTGCACAGCCCTGATCTGCGTTGTTTAGGCCTCTTCAAGATAAGTTGGTACATAGTAGGTACATACTATGTATATATGTACCTGTGTATGGAATATACTGGTGTAGATATAGATGTACGGAGTAGAGATAGAGATGTCAAATTGTACTTATTATTTTTAGATCAGTATATTAACCTCATTTTAGAAAAAAAAGGCGTGGTGGAGACTATAATTTGCTTGTCCCACTTGGACCGGAATTTGATATAGGATATTAGTTGTAATTAGGAAGAATTAGAATGTGAAGGGAAAATTCTAGTCTGTGCTCAATGTACTCTTTAGTTAAACAGTACAAATTTGCTATATATAAAGGTCAAGTGAACATGCATGTTCTAAACGTTTAATAGTACAACATAGAAAGTTGGCCATTGAAACTGAAACTGAAACAAGGAAAAAGGAGGAGAGCTTGTTATTTTGGTGGGGCTTATTGGTAGGGACTAGCTCTTAGGTGGAGAGGGAAAAGGGGTCTGGATGGACTTGTGTACTCCGGGAGAGGTCTAAGGGTATAGGATATCTTAACTATACTATAACATATCTTACGGACTAGGTCTGGAATATGTGTTGCTTCCGGTGATATCTGTGAGTGGCTGGGAAGCTGACGACATCGGGAGGCAAGGAGGACTGAGCGAGATAACAGAAGAAAATAGAGACTACATGAGAATACATGAGAATACATAAGAATAGAACAGAATACGAACAGAGTACGGAGTACGGAGTACATAGTATAGAGATATAATTAGTGTATAAGGTGGCTAAATAGCTACATAAGTACCTAAATAGAGCCCATAACAAATAAAATAATCACGGGGTCTTTGCTCCCCCACTCGATCATCCTTCACCCTTTTTCCCTTTCTCTCTTCTTATAACTCTGGAACTTTCCTCTTCTCCTTCCCCCCTCCATAGGAATTGATCTGTGAGTGTACTTCCTATGACGGCAGCTTGACATCTAATTGAGAGTGGCCACACCCCTCCTTTTCTGAACTTCAGAGCTCTTAGACCGGCGCCACGTTTCCCTTGAATCTGCCACTGACCTCATACCCTTTTTATAATAGCCAGTTCCCTTCGAATTCTATCCACATCTTCCATAACCTATAACTCATAATGGCCTCCAAGGCTCTTCCCACTCACCTGCGGGCCCCTGTCGAGAGCGAGGCCTTTGGTGGAAAGCACCATGGCAAGTCTCAGTCACACATGGTAAGTTCACTTCAGGCGGTGAATTCCGATTTCCCAATCTTGGAGCTTCGTTCCTGCCATCTTGGTCGTTACTGCCCTTTTGGGTTTTGTTGATTCCTCGACTTGGGACTTCGCGTTCGGACCTCTTTTCTTCCCTTCGCCATACACTGTTATCCCTCTATTTGTTCAATCCCCACTAGTATTAGCCCCTCTTTCAATTGCTGCTCCCCTCTTTACCATGGCTACCTTGGCTCCTCCATTTGGCCCAGAGCTGACCCGTGAAACCTCCCACCAGGCATTCGAGAATGCATCCACTAGCGTCGCCGCCTCACAAATGCGCAATGCCCTGAACGCCCTCGGTGACAGCGTCACCGACCCCAAGGAGAAGCAGCGTTTCGAGACCGAGATGGACAACTTCTTCGCTCTGTTCCGCCGTTTCCTGAACGACAAGGCCAAGGGTAACGCCGTTAACTGGGATAAGATCGCTCCTCCCCAGCCTTCCCAGGTTGTTGGCTACGATGATCTCGGTGCCGACGCCTCCGTCGAGTTCCTGAACAAGTTGGCCGTTGTCAAGCTGAACGGTGGTCTCGGTACCTCCATGGGTTGCGTTGGTCCCAAGTCCGTCATTGAGGTCCGTGAGGGCATGTCCTTCCTCGATCTCTCCGTGCGCCAGATCGAGCACCTTAACCGGAGCTTCAACGTCAACGTGCCTTTCGTTCTCATGAACTCCTTCAACACCGATCAGGACACCCAGTCCATTATCAAGAAGTACGAGGGCCACAACGTCGACATCATCACCTTCAACCAGTCGCGCTACCCCCGCATCATCAAGGATTCCCTCCTCCCCGCCCCCAAGAGCTTCGACTCTCCTCTCCAGGACTGGTACCCTCCCGGACACGGTGACGTTTTCGAGTCCCTGTACAACTCCGGCACTCTCGACAAGCTGATCGAGCGTGGTATCGAGTACATCTTCCTGTCCAACGCCGACAACCTCGGTGCCGTGGTCGATCTCCGCATCCTGCAGCACATGGTTGACTCCCAGGCCGAGTACATCATGGAGTTGACTGACAAGACCAAGGCTGATGTCAAGGGTGGTACCATTATTGATTCCGACGGCAAGGTCCGCCTGCTCGAGATCGCCCAGGTTCCCAAGGAGCACGTCAACGAGTTCAAGTCCATCAAGAAGTTCAAGTACTTCAACACCAACAACATCTGGCTGAACGTCCAGGCTATCAAGCGTGTCGTTGAGGAGAACGAGTTGGAGATGGAGATCATCCCCAACGAGAAGTCCATTCCCGCCGATAAGAAGGGTGAGGCCGATCAGGCTATCTACCAGCTGGAGACCGCCGTCGGTGCGGCCATCCGTCACTTCAAGAACGCCCACGGTGTCAACGTGCCCCGTCGCCGCTTCTTGCCCGTCAAGACCTGCTCCGATCTGATGGTCGTCAAGTCTGATCTGTACCGTCTCGAGCACGGCCAGCTGGTCATGGACCCCAACCGCTTCGGTGGTGTCCCCGTGATCAAGCTCGGTTCCGACTTCAAGAAGGTGTCTGATTTCCAGAAGCGCATTTCCAGTATTCCTCGCATCGTCGAGCTGGACCACCTCACGATCACCGGACCTGTGAATCTCGGCCGTAATGTCACTCTCAAGGGAACCGTCATTATTGTCGCCTCCGAGGGCAGCACCATTGATATTCCCCCTGGATCCGTGCTTGAGAACTGCGTTGTGCAGGGTAGCCTGAGAATCCTCGAGCACTAGATGTTTTTGATCTGATTCTTGTCACCGATCTGTCGCAGTGTTTTGATTTTTCTTGTTTTCACTGGTGCATCCGAGGCTATGGATTCCATGGAGTATGCAAAAGAAGTACTTGTATTACATTACAATAATCCAGCGTCTTTTTTCTTTCTTTCTTTTTGGGTTTTTAGTCTAGACCTGACTTTGATTCCCAAGTACTGTGATTGTTGCTCAAGTTCTCAATGCATGCCAGTTCAATCTTTCAAAATTAAAACCCTATGTGTTGTAGCTGTATACACAGGTAGTTTATCTCGGCGGTTTCTTCCGCTACCAATATATATAGCCTCAATAGTAGAATTATAGAGTTCCCCAACACCTATATATCAACCTCAATTAACATTCAAGTTTCAAATCCAAGATTTCAAGAAATTTCCCCTACGCCATTGGGGCAAATCAACTCCCCACGTTAATAGGCGGATAAAAGTTCCCCATGATATCTACGCAACGTCATTCGCGGCAACGCCCTAAACCCTGTTCAAGATTCAGTACAGTACATCTCATTCTAAACATCTCACGATGAATTGATCTTGTACAGTGTCAGCTTTGCTTTTTGTATATTCCGGGTACATATTCGACTGTATATCTCATCTTCTTATATATTCGTTTTTTTACATACGCTTTTCACATATTTGATCGGTTTTTGTCTATATATTTGATTTTCAACTACATTTTACATTTTACATTTGAAGAAAACTCAAAAGAAAAACATACCGGAATTCACCTGCTCATGTCAAAATATGAGTAACTATCAACGTCGTCTTGTACCAGGTTCCTCGCCTTCTGAGGATGACCATGAGGAACGCTACCATGAACATGACACTGAGAATGGTAGTCCACCCGCCGAGGAAGGGAAGGGTTCTGGTACGTGGAAGAAAAGGGTTTCGACTGCTTGTTTGGCTTGTAAGAAGTCGAAGAGGAAGGTGAGATATTATACACTATACCTATTCTACATCTATATCCACATGTCTACATCCATATCACCATAACCAATCTGACAAAAAACCAGTGCTCCGGCACATCCCCATGTGCAAACTGCCAAACCTTTAAAAGAGTCTGCATCTTTGACGAATCCCTCGACCAACGTCGACGCGTAGCCGCAAAACGAACAGCAGACGAACTCTCCTACCACCGCGACCTCCTCTCAGATCTCTTCAAGCTGGTCCGCGAAGCAAATGAACAAGACGCCCTGCATCTCCTAACAATAATCCGCCACAATGCCCCCGCAGATGAAATCCGCGCTTATATAAACGAAACACTCGCCTCAATCACCTCGTCCACATCCGCCACATCTGCAGCCGTCAAACAGGAAACTGTTGCAAAGCTGGAAGATATGCGCCAGCTCATCAATGTCGAGGGGACCGGTCCCACTTTCAGAAGAAAGGTTATGGATATCCATTACCTGTGTGACTCGGCGCCTTGTGAAGTGCCTGCGGCGCCGTGGACGAAGGTCACCGCTGATGCGGATCTGGTGTCGCATCTGGTGTCGTTGTATTTTGCGTGGGATTGGCCGTTTAGTGCGGTTTTGGATAAGGAGGTTTTTCTTAGGCATATGGCCAGGGGTGTCTTGGGGTCTGAGTTTTGTAGCCCGTTTTTGGTTAATGCGGTGCTCAGTAATGCTTGTGTGGGTATTCCTGTGTTTTCTTTTCGTTCTTTGGGTTAGTCTGCTGATTGGTTTAGTACTTCTCTGAATTCTCCGAGGCTTATGTTGTTCCCGGTGATATCTCTTCGAAAGGGAGCGATTTCCTTGCTGAGGCAGAGAGGTTGAGGGGTGAGGAGAGTTCCCAGCCTAGTTTGGCGGGTTTGCAGGGGACATTGTTGATGTATGAGAGGTTAGTATAAACATCTGTCCTGAGTCGACGCTGTTTTGACACAAACAGATATGCAATGTCCCGCGAAGACGATCTGGGCTATATCATGCTGCACGAGGCCATCCGAATGGGCGAGGCACTGGGTTTGGTCGGCAGCACAGGACCCAGGATGGCTTCAGGTTGGTTATCTCATGACATGGACATTTCATGCAAGCGCACAGCCTGGGGTCTTTTCAACGTCGACACGTAAGTGAACCCTGTCAACACTCACCCTTCGAATGTATATTCATTCACATCTGTAGAATGGTCCACACATCCTTCCTTCGCCCAAGTCTCATCGACCACGTCAACATGGCCCGTCTTGATATCAACCAGCCCGAAGACAAAGCCCTCTGGCACCCATACCCAACCCACCGCGACCCGCGCCCGTCATTCTTCAGTCAGTACTTCGACGAAGCATGCAATCTGTCGACAATTGCGCGCGATATCTCGCGCAGCATGTTCGCAGATCACAGGAGCAAACCCGCCCTCGGCCCAATTCACCGCCAGAGCCGTGAGGATCTCTACGACCGGATTCGTCGCTGGCATGATCTTCTCCCGGAGGATTTCGATGTGCGATACAGACCAGCTCCGCATATCATCTTACTGAAGTGAGTACCATGTCCACAATAACCCGTCTTGGCGAATACTCATCCCACGCAGAATGCGCTACCACGCCCTCATCATCAACCTCTTCAGCTGCATCTCCGAAGACGAAGTCCCGCCCATACAGTTCGAGCCCAAAACACCCGAAAGCCCGCCGCGTCATACCCCGGAAAGAAAATACAACGCGCAGGAAGTAACGCAGAGCGCCGCGCGAGGCATCGCTGTGCTAACCCGTCTGCACAGACGTGAGTTCGGGATTAGTCGGGTGCACCAATTCGCGATGTACGCGATCAATCTGGCGCTGTTTACGATGCTCGAGCAGGAGTCGTTTGATGTGCTGGATGAAGATTTCCTCACTCTTGCGAGTGCATTCTCTGTTGTTGCGAGTCGATCTGCACTGGGCAGGAATCTGTTTCATATTTTCCGGCAGTCGGTTCGGGCCAAGGCGCAGGGGTATCGGATTCGGGAGGCGAGTTCTGTGCCTGATGAGTTGAAGGAACTGTTTGATGAGGAGTCGAAGGCGAGGGGGTGTAATCGGTATGATGAGTACGCCGATGGGCTTGAAAAGTTGAATCAAAATGATAAATACCATGGGATTGGAGAGGGAGATGGAAAATTGCAGGATTATCCTGGTCTTGGGCTTTCGGATATGTTGGATCGGTATGAAAGTCTTAGTCTTGGCAAGGATGTTTTGATTGAGAGGTATCGACCTGTTGGATGTTGAAAGTGAGAAAATGGAGACAATATACGATGTACCTCGTCATCATCGTCATATGTCTCCCCTTAGTGAAGTGGCGATAGGATTGTATGGATCTGGTCCATATAGAGATGAGTCCATAGGTGACACTAAGGATTTCTGTGGAATTGAGATAGGTACTGACAAGTCATTAACAGTTATTGGTAGCCCATTGGTAGTAAATGGTGGGAACAACTTCGACCAGGTTGATAGAGAAGATCGACTGGATGAGATTCTGTCTGACGTCAAATCGGCATTTCATCGAGACTCCACCAAAGTGGCAATTTGTGAATATCATCTCTATCTTGGTCTACCATAGTCCCACGGTGATTCTAAAAGATAATTTCAAAACAATCAAAACAGTTCAAAAAGCAATTCTCCCCTAACAATCACCTGTTTTATTTTGTTTAACACTTTTTATCATGTTTCCGGCTTTTTCGCCTAACATCACCCCTTTTAACAACTTTGATATATTTATATTGTGAAATCGATATGGATCCCAATTTCGACAATTGGTTGACTACAGTAAATGTTGCATCTGTACCTCAGCCATATCCTACACCTATCCCCAACTCCCCAATTCAAGCCCAGGGCTTCCAGTATATGTCTACCCCATCAGTCTATGGAGGGAATACCGCGCCAAAGGTAGCCATCCCACGTCTAGCTGGTTCCGACGCCTTGTTACATGGGCGGCGACGGTCAGCGCGGGCCTGTGAGCCCTGTCGCCAGCGCAAGATCAAATGTGATGGTATCCGGCCGTTGTGTGGACAGTGTGTTTATCATAGTCACACCTGCTCCTACGAAGACGTCAAACGAGTGCGTGACCAGAAACGACTAGGTTCCTTAGTCAAGCGAGTGGATACATACGAAGCCCTCCTTCGAGAATTAGAAGCCGAAGCGGACCACCCCACAGCTCGAAAGATTAAGAAAGCATTGAAGGTATGTCCGTCAATGTCCAATCCAGTTCCCCAGCCGCACCTAGACTTGGATCTTTTGGTCTGAGTCCCGAGTTTAGACTCTGACCATTTTTAAAATGGCAAATTAAGTCCAAAAGTGCGAAATCTAGAAATAATGTCGACTACTCCGATGATTCCTCGACTTCCATGGGCTCACTCGATGCTATCGACCAGGTTGACGAAGATTTGGACTGGAATGAAGACACCCGTGCTGCGGGATTCTTTGGCAAGAATTCAGAGGTCAATTGGATTCGCAAACTGGAGAGCGGCGTTGGTATGAAGAGTCTGCAGGAACATCTGTCGAATACTTTCCACGAGAGTCGGCGTGATTCAATGTCTATTCAACAACGGCAGCAGTCATTGGAAAAGCAAATTCCCACGTCCATGATGGATTATCACCTCGACAGCTTGGATATCCCGTTGATTGAACCATGCGACCCATTAGCTCTGCCTCTGCGGGAATCGGCAGACAGATACCTCGACGCCTACCTGATCAACGTCCATCCGACATTCAGCGCAATTCGGAAGATGACTTTTATTTCCCAGTATCAGCAATTTTTCAACAATGCATCGACACCACCACGGAAATGGCTGGCCATTCTCAACATGATCTTTGCTATTGGTTGTCGCTACTGTCGACTTATAGATGACCCCCAAAGTACCGGCGAGGAAGACCTGATATACCTGACCCGGGCGCGCCATCTCGGTCTGCATAGCAATGTGTTATTCGAGCACACCGACCTCCAGCAGATCCAACTCGAGCTCCTCGTAGCAGTCTACTTGCTTTGCCTAGGCCAGGTCAACCGGTAGGTTTATATCTCCATTTCCCCCATCACCATACTAACTCCCCTATTTCCTTTAGAGCATCCAAATTCTCCAACATGGCCCTCCGCTCCTCCTTATCCCTCGGCATCAACCTTCGCCTAACAGACGACCGCACCAAAGACGCCGCCAAAGAAACCCGCGGCCGCCTCTGGTGGTCCATCTACTCCCTCGAACACCTCCTAACCTCAATGACCGGCCGCGCCTCCTGTGTCGGCGAAGGCCTCTGCTCCGTCCCCACACCCCTCCCCTACGAAGAGGAAACTTTTGACCAACCCGACGCCAAGCGTCTCCTCCAAGATCCTGCCCTCCGCGAAGCCCAACTTCGCTCCACCCTCTTCGAATCCTCGAGTCAACACCACTCCCCCTCATGGGTGACCACCTGCTCTCCCTGTCCATCTCTATTCTTCAACTTCCTCGTCGATCTAACCCTCATAACCCACGCCCTCATGAACAAAGTCTACAGCATCGAAGGCCTCCGGAGAGGCCCCAGTCAAGTAGAATACCACGTCCAAAAATTTGGCCTCCAAATGAACCGCTGGCTCTCAAAACTTCCTTCCTTCTACCAATTCACCATCCCGGACGCCGGTCCCTGGCATCTAAACCACAACCAACTAGATGACCTCTCCTCGCCCTTCGTTCGCGAACGCGTCTGTCTAGCAATGAACTACTACTCCTCCCGCATCACCCTCTGCAGACCATGTCTAAGCCACATCCACCAAACCCCCCGTCACACATCCCACACAGATGAAATCACCGTACGCGCAAAGCTCCGCACCGAAATGGCAACACACTGTCTGCAAGCTTCTTGTGCACTTATCTCCATCCTCCCCGAGGAACCAAATATGGCGTGGCTAGCCCGCGCCGCGCCCTGGTGGAGCATCCTTCATTTCCTCATGCAGGCGACTACCGCTCTATTATTGGGTTTATCGTACTGCTCTGAAGCGCGTACGTCCAACAGTCCGGACCGCGCGAATCCACTCCTCAGCCCTACCACGTCGTCACAGACGGGGCCCTACGCACTACTGTTAGAGACGGATTTAAGTACAGCGATTGGAGCGACGAAGAAGGCGCTCGCTTGGCTTTATACTACTGCTTCTGTGGACCCTGCGGCGCGTAGGGCGTTTCTGCTTTGTGATGGGATTGTTAGGAAGATTGCACCTGGATTGGGGATTGATTTGAGTGAATGGCCTGATGGTAGTTCTTTTGGGGGGATGGACGAGAGGTGGACGGGGTCTAGTGGGAATTGGATCTGGAATGGGAATGGGGATAGTAGTGGAAGCAATGGACATGATAGTGGGATGGAGGTGTTTGAGGAGTTGGTTGATTTTGAAGGTGGTGTTTTCTAGGAAAACTTGTCCTTGGATTTATCTCAACTTTTTGACTTTTTGATGCCTATGTACCTATATGAATTCCATCCCAGGCTTTTGAGAAGCTGTTTACGAGGTATTCCTGCGTACCTACCAAACCTGCCTCTAGGTTCTTGCGTATTTTAATTGGGGTTTAATTGACAATAAGAGAACATTGTATCCCTACAATTTAGCAATATGAAGTCCACTATTTCTCTGATTTGTACAGTGTACATGTGTGAGTGTTTTGAGGTTATATCAGTCCTCAACACCGTCTTCCACAATAGTCCTCACCTTATACATCAAATACTTTTTATAGATCCAGGGCTACAGGTAATAGACTTGGGACATGCGGCCTGAGGGGTTTCGCTTTCTGTCTTGAGCACAAATGAGGAAGAAGGGATATCATCCCACTCTTTTAGATTGTAAACAAATCTCCAGGTATCGGAAGTATCTAGCAGCAACCTTGGGTGGCTTATCATTGTCGTCGTTGTCCCATATACTATCAACAGGCCGATCTTAGAGAAGCCACCACGGAGCCGGTCCCACATATGACCATTCAAGATCTACTACCCTAACAACAGTGAGATCTTCCTTACTATGGACAATCAGGTTTGCCAGTCCAAGATCGTCGCAAGTTAGCTTAAATTTGCAACGATACTCTCGGGTATCGGACTTTTTAGGGCTTTGATTGCCATATATTTGTTTTCGGCATAGGAACCAACAGTCGAGTTCGGCCGGGCAAGCTACTCCAAGTCTTCCCGACGACGTATTGGAAATAGTGGTTGTTGCAAACCTTTAGGCTCGGTCTCCTATATACTGCTTAGTCAACGAAGAAAACAAGAACGTCGAGGACGAGTGTTGTAGCTTGTGGGGAAAAAAATAGTTTCCCTGGGAATCGAACCCAGAACCTTTCCGGAACACTCGCTACATAGAGCAATTGTTAACGGAAAATCATAACCGCTAGACCAGGAAACTGTTGGATATTTTTCGAGGGCTGAGAAGGGACAGTGAAGAGAATGAGTCGTACCGAAAGTATCCCTCCGTTTTGTAGTATACAATGCGCTTTGAATGTTAGGGGTCTTGATGGAGTAGGGCCATGGTCTTCAGGGTTAGGTAAACTGTCGATATGGTCAAAATCGAGCTTGAAACGCCGAAGCAGAAAATTGGCCATCTGCCTATAGATAACTTCAATGTCATCATCAGCGATGTCCTGCCTCATCACTCTAGTAGGACGCTCGGCATTCGGGTCCCGCAGAAGTTCGATAAGGCCTACACCGTCAACGAAGTCCATCATGATGAAGGGGTCTAGGCCAAGTGAATTGCTAGCAGCGGGAGCCAGACTTGAACTCTCGGCACGGGAATGGTAGTATTGCGGATGAGGTTGCTGGCGGTCACTTCCATGGCGACTTTCTCGTCGGTGGAGTCATCGAAAGTCATTCCTACACGAGGGAAATGAACCGAAAGTCATTCCTACACGAGGGAAATGAACCTTCCAGGCAGTGTTGTCAGTAAAGACCATCTTCATGCCGGCGTTATATGCGCCATGGTGAAAGGTGCCGTCAAGTTGACAGGGTAGCTTATCCGGGTGGAAAGTTGATACCCACTGGCAGAAATAGCCCGTTCTACAGGTCTCGTTCACCTTGTCAACTCAAAGCTGGTCCTACACTTCGTGGACGATGTCGATGAGCGCGTTGGTATCCATAACGCCAAGCCAGAATTCGAGGGGGTGAGGATCACGAGCACCGTGGCGATACGAAGTTGGTGAGTGATTGAGCTTGAGATACACGCGAGATGAATGAGGGGGGTTGCGACCGTTTTTGACGTGTCCCGCACTGTCTTTGAGGTTTCAATGAAGCAGTGGGTTGAAATGTGTAGTGAGGTGCCGAACTATTGTACTGACCGCTCAATGGGGGTTATGGTCCAAGCTTAATGCGGGTCAACCCTGACCCCAGAGTCTTGGGGAATTTTAAATATTCCCGTTTGGGTATCAGATGTATTTGGATTAGTAGAAATTCAATGGAGATAGGAGATATCTGTAAAAAAAAGACGTCTTTTACATAGTATATACTATGTATACGAAGAGCTGCCTATAGAGATACCATGAGGACTAGAGAGAGAAGTTCACTCTTGTATGCCACCATGTGGAGAGATGAAACAAAACTAGTTGGGCATAATTGACAAAATGAGATTAGAACCGAGTATGTACTAAATTGAGAACATTAGATATGTAAGAAAAAGAATAAAAAAAGGACAGGCTAAGTAAACAATAGACGGAAACAGGAAATGCCTAAGATGCCAATGAGACAAAAGCACGCAACGCCATAATAGGCCCACGAAAACACTTGATACGAGACTTCATGGACGTAAAACGATCAATAGAACACACGTGACAGAGCCCAGGAATGATATAAACACCGATGTTCTTTGGAATGAAAATCAAGTCAAAATATACTGGTCAGAAGTGAAACTTCGTGGATGTTGCAGTGATTGGATGAAACCGATATCCCGAAAAACATTCAGCACTAGGTGGGTTGCGGTTGCATCTGGATCTGGAAGGTATGCTGATGCTCATGTTGCGGTGCAGGCGGGGGAGGGGCCTGGCTCCGTTGTGGGATTGGGGGTCTGCGTGGTTGTCCTGGCATCCCGTGGACAGGGGACTCAGACGACATCGGATGCTGTATCTGTTGCTGCATCGGTGATTGAAGATATGGCTGTTGATGAGGGAGGGGTCGCGCGGGGTGGACAGGAGAGTGGTGGTGCATTTGCATGTGTGGCATAGAGAGCGCTTGGCCGGGCTGCTGGGGCATGGGTTGGCTATGCGGCAGATGAGAACCAGGCTGGGAGGACATGTGTTGGTTCTGTTGCTGGTGCATGTGCTGGACTTGCGGCTGCCCAATATGTTGATTTGTCTGGGCCTGTGAAGACTGATTCTGTTGGAACATGTGGAGGTTCTGCTGTTGCGGCAGAGACTGGCCTTGAAGCATCTGCGGTGGTGTCGGGCAGGGCCGTTTGCGCGCCTCTTCATCGACCGAAGAGGTTGCACGCTTGAGTGCGCTCGTTGTATCTGTGCCCTCACCTAGTTGAGGGTTGATATCTGCTTGCGTCTGATCTCCACTGGCGGCGGCGGCGGCGGCAGCTGCAGCCGCAGCGGCCACATCAGCCTTGCGAGGTCTTCCACGTGGTCGGCCCGTGCCAGGTGCTTTTGGTTTGGCCGAAGCTGGCTTTCTTGGTTTAGGCGGTGGTAAGGGTTGGCCCGTTGCAGCTGCCCAGGCAATTTGATCAGCCTTGCGAGGGCGCCCACGTTTCCGCTTCAAAGGAGTCCCGTCCGGTCCCAGAATAGGTGTCCCCTTGATTGTGGTGTTTGGTCCGACGGAGCCTGGGGCAGTCGGCGTCATATTCGCAGTGAATGAAGCCTGCCCTGGTTGAGGTACCCCCGGAATAGACTCGCCGTTTTGGGCAGCCTGTGCGGCCTGCGCAGCAAGCCTGGCCGCCACTTCCTCCTTCCGAGGTCGTCCCCGACGGCGCTTCGGAGGCGGAGTGGCAATTTGGTCACCTCCAACTGCGGCCACGGCGGGCATCTGCCCTTGTCCATTGGCCTGTGTGGGGAGAGCACCCGGAACGGCCATGGGGGCATTGAGTTGAGGTTGAGCATGAGGCTGGGTTTGGATAGGCTGAGCTTGAGCAGGTGCAGCCTTCTTAGGTTTGGCTTTCTTCTTCGGTATAGGACTCGACTCGTCAGACTTCATGACCGGGCTTTCCGTGACTGCAGGGATAGCCGGTACAGGTGTCTGTGATGAAGGCACGGCAGCCGAGTGCGGTCCTGGCTGATAATGCTGGAATTGAGCTTGGTGCGGAGATGGCTGGAACTGGGTCTGCTGCGGCTGAGAGAATTGTGTCTGGTGTGGGGCGTACTGATGTTGCGATTGAGCTTGATGCTGTTGATATTGCGATGGGTGGAACGGAGGCTGGGTATGCTGGGAAAAGGGTGACTGTTGTTGGTATGGGTTGTGTGCCTGAGACTGGTGCTGCAATTTTTGCAACCTCTGCTGCTCCAATTGCTGCTTCTGCTGGTGCTCAAGCCGCTGGTGCTCTAACCGTTGCTGATGCTGTTTTTGTTGCTCGAGCCTTTGCTGCTCTAGGCGTTGCTGTTGCTGTTGTTGCTGCTCCAATATCTTTTGCTCATCTAGCTTTTGCTGTTCCAATTCCTTCTGTTGCTCAAGCCGCTGCTGCTGTTCCAAGCGTTGCTGTTCCAGACGCTGATGCTGGATTTGCTTTTGCTGCTCCATCCTTTGCTGCTGTTGAGCCTCAAGTCGTTGCTGCTGGAACTGTTGCTGTTGAATTTGCTGTTGCAACTGTTGGTGTGTCTGCTGTGGCGATTGCGGTTGTGACTGCGGTTGGGCCTGGGCCTGTCGCTGTTGATTCAAGGCAAACATAGATGGGCTAGGCATAGACGGACTGCCGGATGTATGGTTATCTCTCTGCTGCATGCCTGCGTGGGGTAGTCTATTCATCGCCTGCTGCGGCGAAGGAACGTTCATGGGATGTCCATGAGTGAGGCCAGTTGTAGGACTCATTCCCGGCTGCGGCCGAAGGTGGGCCATGGGATTAAACCCACGCTGGAGGTTCTGCAGCGCCATCGGGTCTGGGTTGCGAGACATCAGATCCGGGGAGCTCTGTGCGGCAAACTGTCCCGGAAATTGGCCAAAACTGCTGGTGGTGGGGTACCCACCCAATGACCCGGATGTTGGGGTCATCTTGCGCATATCTGGAGATTGCGACGAACCGAAGTTCTGCTGAGGTTGCCCCCGAAAAATTGGCTTATTGCCCGGGAATGGACTGCCATGTTGTGGCAACTGCGGCCCCGCACCTAGCAAGGGCGACTGGGCATGCTGACGTTGAGGCTGCGGACCCAACGGATGTTGGGGTTGGACACCCTGATTTTGCTGTTGTTGAGGTTGCTGTGGCTGTTGAGGGTGGAATGGGTGACCACCGTAGTTCATCATTTTGACACAATTTTAGAAATGCGCTGGCACTCGGCCGTAAGCGGCAGATAATGGAATGATTCGATCACGAAGCATGCAAGGGCGAGAATAGACAAAATGATCGCGAACTAGCTTGAAAGGGGAAAGGTGGAATACAGGGCAATTTTTAAACCAAGTCACCGATGCGCCAGCGCCGATAATTCTACACGGAGAATCGCCACCTGAGTCGCGCCGAAGCCGCGTGTTTGTTGTTCCCTAGCGGCCTGAGGCCACAAGGCAACAAGGCAATTTAAACTGGGTTCCCGATTAGGATTAGTGGCTACGGAGACCGAGGTGAGTCGGTCAGCGCAGTTCGAGAAAATGAGTCGACGGTCGCTCAAAGGGATTCAGGGGGGGGGGCAGCTGGTGGGAATCCAGAGAGACAGCGAAGGTGATCCAAATCTATTTGCTAGAGGCCTCAGCATATAACAGGGCCTAGCAGAAGTAGATTGGAGATGAAGTGGATGACGCTGGGCTGGAATCCTTGATGGCGAGGGAAAAAAACATTAAAAAATAAAATAAAAATAAAAAATAAAATGCGAAAAAACGGAATTTTCAGATTCTTCTCTCCACATCACGTGATACTATAGGCAGCCTTCATAGTATCATAGTATACTCCGTACTGAGTACATTCATCTAGCCTATACGGACTATTCATTCTATCTGTCAAATTATAAACCTCTACTATTTGTTTCTGCCTTCAATCCCCCCCCCACACACCTAGTCATCTAGTTATCTTCCCCAATCCTTGTAAAGTATAGAATCACACCACTCACAAGTACTACACAAAGTACGTACTACCTGAAAACTATGGAGAAATCATTCTGCTTTGCCATCCTTGTCCTCTGATACCCGAAGATCTGCCAAACAGGGCGAAAAAAAGCTTGCCGGAACCCCTTTGAAAGTGCCAATACTGACGATGATCCACAATACCACAAATATGGAGCGGATCTGCATAACATTAAACCAAGCACTATGTAAATTGTAGATCATGAATTTCCTCGATCTGATCTTTTCGAGAATATTCAAGAATTTTAATGCAAGGCCTTTGCTGTATTTGTTATTCTGTTGGCAGTTGTGCTATTGGTTTCGTGCCTCAGGCACAGCCCATTTTGGGAGGAACATAGCCGAGGTTTAAGGCGCAGGCTGGGACTTGGCCTATATACTAGCGTTCAAAGACTTCAATTCGGAATAAAAAAATGACTAAATAACCAACATACACTATAAATCCACGTTGGAAATAGTATATTCAGGGTAATTCTTAAGTATTACAACACTGTCTGCTCCGCTAAAAGAAAGTCTTCCCATACTTTCTTAATATCATTCTGATAAATGAAATCCTTGTCTCCATAGAGGAAAGTGTCGATTTTAGCTTGCAGAATGACATCAAAATCCTTCTCTTCTGCTAGAAGTTGTTGCGTCTTGTCACGTATTTCGTCTAGATGCTGATACCTGTGAAGGGAAAAACCATGGTCAGACCCAAGCCATTTTTCCCATAATATCAACTCCGAACTTACATTTTGGCATAGTATGGAGACCGAATCTGTTCAAAGATCTCCAGAGCATCCCGTGCAGGGCGAGAAGCAAACCGCGTAAGCTCAAGCGCGCGCGCGAGAATCCAACCATCCTCCATGGCAAATGTCGCCCCAGAGCCAAACGCTCCTGGAAGGGTGTTAGCGCTGGACATGGTAATAAGCTATTAATGATAGCACTTGGACTTACCCGAAAGAGGGTGACTGGCATCTCCGATAAGGGCGACTTTATCCCAGTCGGTGATTTTGTTCAGACGAGGCCCAGCGAATGTCGCAAACTCCCTCCATTCTCCTTCAGTCACTGCGCTTACTGCATCTCTTATTCTCTGGTCGAATGTCTGTCTTATATGTTAGCAATTAGGGTTCGATCCAGCAAAGCTCTGTCGTACCTCAACACGCGATCCCACTTTCTCGCTGGCTGCAGGGATACCCCAAAAGACCGTCTTCCCCGACACCTCGGGCTCACGGTAGGATCGAACAGTAATCTCAAAAAGTGGATCTTCGGTCTCTTCCTCATCATCCACATCGGAGAGATATACATGACCAGCTTCGCCCCACCACCATGACGATGTAGTCGTGATATCCGGGATATGCGCCAGATGAGATTTCGGAATCAGAACACGGAATGCAGAGTTGCCTGTGAAGTGAAGCTGATGATCAGGCAATAGAGTCCTACGGACAATCTACTCCACAAAGCTGGGTCAGTCACGAATGCCAGGCCCAACACAAGGGGATTGACGAACAGAGTGTATCCCGTCCGCTCCAACGACAATGTCAGCGATCGCCTCCGTGTGATCCTGGAAAACCAAACGAACTCCCTGGCCCGGGAGATTTTCCAACGATACAACCTTTTTGTCAAATTGGATCAAACCCTCGGGCACTCTTGATAGCAGAGCTGACTGCAGTCGGGTTCTACGAGCACGGATTGATCCGCGGTCACCTGTAGACGAGCTTTCTGGACGAGGACTGATGCTCAAAACCTTCCCTGTGTAGGCATTTCTTTGAATTTAAGGTCAACATATATATCGAATGTTACCGCGGCTGGGAAAGCCTCGCTTACCTTTGGTGTGTATTGGATTTAGAGCCCCCTTTGACGCCATCACTAGCTCCAAGTAAATCCAGAACCTTCCACGCGTTCGTAGTCAGACTGATGCCAGCACCGGCTTCTCGGGGCTCTGTGTTTTTCTCGTACAGAGTCACTTTCAGAAACGGCAGTTCTGATAGCGCAATCGCAGTTCCCAATCCTCCGGGTCCGCCACCAACGATGGCCACAGAAGTCAATGCTTGTCCGACCATATTTGCGAAACAATTCCAGGATTGTATGGGTCAAGTCTCCAAGTGAGTGTTGCTTATATATCTGAATTATTGCGCCTCGTGGTCGGGAGTGGCCGGTAGATAACTACATCGCACGCCATATTAAGCTTCGAATGTGCCATGCGCCGCTAGTGTCTTGTCATCCAATCCGACAACGAGATGATGAATCAGTTAATTCGGAAAATCGGGCCCCGCGTGTGGAATGTCATGCAATGGTTCGTTCCAGCACGTGCTGGCTGGTGGTTGATCGGTGGTGGCTTCTGTGGAAGCACGCGGCAGCCTGGGAAGCGACGGAGGACTCTTAGCAGCTAATCTGGAACATCAGAACCTTTCATGGAAATTTCCATGGACATAAATATTTATACATCGGTAGGGAGTGAATGCCGCTTTGAATGATGGTGCAGTTTAGACCTGATGCGACATTTCCGTATCTCAATGTTGATGTCCCATGCTAGGCTTCGTGATGAAAGTCATATACCTCAGCCGCTAGACCATAAGAAACATGGTATCCAATTATGAGTTAGGGAGACTGTATTCTTGTCTGGAATTTTGAGCTAGGCACAAGGAATTATCATGGACGCATAGTGAGGAGATAGCCGGATCACGAACGACAGGTTATACATACATAGAAAGGCTGTCTGCGCATTCTACGTTTTGTTCCACTATATAGCCGGAGGAAACGGAGAATGGGGAGAAGATATTTTGAGAGGAAGATAGAAAAGGAACCTAGAAGACATGCAAAAAGAGATATAAGAGAAATACTCGAAAAGACTACCACAAAGACATCCCAAGGCTGCATAAAATGACTACCTGGGTATTCTTATATAAATGATTACAATTAGCATGACCACGAACAATACTGCATGTGTGGATCAAGGAGGGTTATTTGTTTGAAATCTTATCTTCCTTTTGTTAGAGCAGAAAGAAGAAACAAGCATCTGAGGGACAAAAACTAGAAAAAATCGCCTGGAGAGATCTGGACATGTGACTACGTATCTCAACCACCCCCGACATATATTATAACTGCTTGTACAGTTGCGGGACAAGTTGTACTGTATGGTGTGGCCGACAAGTCTTGTTGATAGCCTATGAGTCTAATTTCTATGTAGGGCCGGAAAGTAAATACCAGCGCAGTTTTAAATTTGGAAAGAAGGCGCAAAGTTACCCGCTGGCGAGAAAGCAAAGACGGAAGCCATCGGAATGCTTAGGTTGTCTCAATTGGACTAGTAAGATCAGTGATGGGGTGACTCTAAACTTTTGGAAATATCCATGGAAGCTCTAAGGATCTGACTTATAGTTCCTAACATTGCTTCTTTTAGGGTACAGGGGCGTTACATCAATGGGGTTTCAGCAGGTCATTTCTATGATACCGTGCCAAATGGGGAAGGGGGGCCTTGAGATGAAGTTTTGAACAAACATCGTCCCAAAATACTAGTCTACCTACTATATAAGCGATAGATAAAACGCAACAACTAAAATGTAACACTACAGCCTATTGAAAAGACTCTGCCATTTTCGATTGTCAACCCAACCACGAGACCAAGGAAGGCCAACGGGTGTATGCGTAAGTGTCATGTGTAGCTATGTTACAGGAAGACAAGTGCACCATCAGCATCAATCTTGTAACACCCGCTAGTTCAAAGCCTTGGAGGATGGGGTATAAGAGTACGTGATCTGGAAGCATGATCTATCCAAAAAAGAAACAATCCCATCTCGAGATAACTACCACCCACCAGTCTTCAAATCCTTGCCTCAATCCAATTCCTACCATGCCCGAGTCCCAAGGCAATATCAATGGCTCCGATGAGCCCAACACAGTCGCATTCGGCAAATGGGACTCCTTCGCTTGGGAGGCCTTCCCTGAATGGGAGGGCACCAAAGCTATCATGTTCCGTTCTGCAGATGGCAAGCGCGTCGCTGGCGCTTTCCGTGAGTCTGCCACCGCCACTATAACATATCCCTGTGACGAATTCAGTTATGTGACGGCAGGATGGATCAAGGCCCGTGTTCATGGCGGCGAAACATTCACCCTCAAGACCGGAGACTGTGTCTACTTTACCAAGGGCCAGACGGTGGATTTTGAGTGCAGCGAGGACTATGCCAATGTCTCTGCCTTTTTCGGTACTGAGCCTGTTACTATTGTTTGAGCTCAGTGTCGGGCAAATAATTAGTGGCACGGAAAGGTAGTCTTGGTGGAATGGTCAATTAGTCGCAAATTGAATTGCAGATGACCACATCAAACCTGTCGATGGTTGCCGTAGATTGTGTAGTTTTTAGCTATAAGTATACATAATTAGAAAGAGTCAGAACTCTTGGAACAGACCTTAATAACTAGTTAGTGCTAGCAGCCTGAGGTAAAAGTGTCGAATACACTGGTATCCTGAAATGTATGGGTCCAATCAATGGTGTTAAAATCTCTGTATTTCAGTATCCCTTTTCCTAGCAATTTATATGGATTACGGATTACTAATTCAAAATTACTGCACAACCTGGATTAATTAAATCCCCGGTATGCCGGTCTGTATGCTCCGACACACCCCCTCAGCGATGCCAGTATGGGATTGCTGGAACCCCACACACCTCGGCATACTGATCTCTGTTTCTTCATGCTATCAAGTGGCCTATATCCACCATATGAAGCATTTGAATGAAGGCTTCATGCTTTTGCCGAGTAAGCAATTTCGTGAGTCCATCGGCTGCCATGCTTGCTGTGGGCACCCATTTCACCTGTATCCTCCCTTCTTTGACTTCCTGTCTCAGCCAGTGGCGATGGATGTCGACGTGCCTAAGCTTTGTTTCGAAGGCTGTATCCTCGCTCTTCAATAGGCTGATAGTTCTCTCATTGTCACAATCGATGGTCAATTCGTGGGAGGGGTTGAAACCAAGGGTATTAAGTAGTCTCCTCCACCATTGAAGCTGCTTTGCTGCTTCGGAAAGCCCGAGTAATTCGGCTTCGGTGGTGGAAGTGGTGACTGTGGGTTGCTTGCTCGCCTTCCAGTCCACTGGGCCACCGTACACTTGGCAGATATACCCAGCTGAGCTCTTTCTATCAGAATGATCCCCGTACGAAGCATCACTTGCGAATTGCACCGAGTCTATCCCCGAACCTACACCGTATTCAATGGCAAGACACCGGGTGGAATGTAGGTAGGATATCACCCGATCAGCTGCTTGCTGGTGCTGGGGACCTGGGTTTGTTAGGTATTGCGCTAGGCGTGCGGTGGCCTTTGCGGCGTCGGGCCTCGTGATAGTGGTGGCATACCCAGCAGATCCCACCTTTTGCTGGTAAAGAAGGGTCTCTTTCGGGGTGGCCACCCCCTGAAATGGGGTCAAATCGACGACTGGTAGTGGGGTATAAACCGGTGGTCTATCTATCAGATTGTACCGAGTCGCGATGCTTGTCACATAGCTATCTTGGCATAGCCATAGCTTCTTCTGCTCCCTATCCCTGATGATTCGGATATTTAGGAACCAAGCTGCTTCTCCATGATCAGTCAATTCCCAGTGGGATTCTAGATCTCGTTCAAGCTGCTTTGCTTTCTCCCGTACAGATCTGTGGCTGGCGATCAAGATATCGTCCACATAGAAGAAGACTAGTAGTCCTTCTCCTATAAAAACACATGGGTCTTCAGGTGCTTGCTGTAACCCTAATTTACGGAGTACGCTGGCTGCTTCTTGTTGCCATAGCCTAGGCGAGACTCGTAGACCGTACAAAGCTCGGCGGAGCTTCCAACACTTGCCTGGAATCTGGAAACCTTCAGGCATATAAGTGTATATATCCTTGTCCAATTTGCTGTTCAGGAACGCCGTCACAGCATCTCTTTGTCTTAAATCGAGGTCAAAGGCAGCGACTAAGGCGAAGATCATCCTTGCTGTCCTTGCTGCTAGGGTGGCAGCCCTCTTTTCTTCATGAGAAATGGTTTCTAAATCTCCTCGTACACAGATACGAGCCTTTAGCTTGATAAGATAGCCATCTTCATCAAATTTGTACGTAAAGACCCATAGCAAGGGGAGTATCTGCTTGCCTCTATCCTTTGGCCTTTCTGCAACCTCGTAGGTATCCTTCTCGGTTAAGGAATTGATCTCCTTTCTCATTGCTGCGAGGAAGCCTTCTTGGAAAGGATGATTCATAACATCCTTCCAGTGCTTAGGGACTGGTGGAAGATCATCTCGATGACGCCGGATCTCTGGCTTCTCAGCGTATAAGCCTGCTGCAAAGGCGTGTCGTACTCCTGGCGGGTCTTCTTCTGTAGCCAAAGTGGAGTAGGCGAAATCCTGGTCTCGTCTCGCCTGACGTCTTCGCTTGCCGCTGATAATATTGCTTGCGTCAATTCCACCGGTGATCTCCCTGCTTGGTGCTAGCAATTCTGCCTATAGCTGCCTTTCTAGCTCATCTTCCACGTCGGAAATAGCTTCAGAAATAGCTTCGTGGTGGGTCAGGTCTCCGTCTGGTATATCCACCCCCTGACCTGGGCCAGCATCGGCTTCGGATTCTCGTTCTCGGGGCGGGGTAATCGGCAGCGGAGGAAGGTCTTCGTCGCTTGGAAAAGCACCTGGCGGTGCTTGAGGTTTCTGGATTTTGGGGACTCGGTGAATCGCTTGTGAGACTATCGGTGAGGGTATTGATATATCTCGATTCACCCCCTGAAGTGGGGTAGTCTCCCTATTTATCCCTTCTTGCTGGGGATTTTGCTGCTGATTCCGCTGGGTATCTGGTTGCTGGGAGTCATCTAGATCCCGTGGATCCCTTTCCTCTTGCTCCCTAGTCTCCTGACTAGTAAGCAGTTGATTTATCACCTTGACAACCTCGTCGGCGGTGAGTTCCTGTGGTTCTTGTACAATTGGCATAGGAATTGGCTGATATCTCTCATAATCAGGGGTGTATCTCCGTGTTTCGTCGATGACTGCGTCCCTAATAGGCTTCACTTTTCCACTATGTGGAAACCAGATATTCCAGATATTTGATGCCACATATCCCACCAAGAAACCAATCTCCGCCCGTGGATTCATCTTGTCGGTTCTCACTTGCTTCTCAATCCTACAATAGGCCAAGCTCCCGTACAATCTAACATTGGATAGGTTGATTTTAGGTGCTTGCGGTGCAAACTCCTTTCGTACCTCATCCCACGGCACGACCCAGCGATTCTCGGCGGTGATATACGACGGCGTACGGTTCAAAATCCATACTACGGCTCTCGCAAACTCCGGCCATAGGTCCTTTGGCAGCTTCCCTTCTAGCGCAAGCATCCTCATTTTGCTTATAATCATCCCGCCAGATCTCTCAGCATACCCATTCATCTCAGCGTGCCCAGGGGGAGTGTGATATATCAGGATACCATCTGAGCTGAGGCTATACTCGGCGGTGTTTCCGGCGGAGGACTCATTGTCATAGTGGAATGCCTTGATTGGCAGCTTCCACTGGTTCCTTGCTAGTTCCACAAAGCGATTGATTGCTAGCTGGCACTCAGGCTTTAGTTCGTGGGTCATAATCCAGTGAAACCTCGGTCCTTCTAGATAGAAGTGGGATATCCAGCGGTGCTTATTGTATGCTGGTTGTATCTGGATTAGATCAAAATGGACCCTTCCAAAACGGCCAAAGGTGCGTCCAACTGGTCGTCTTGATATCTGCTTAGGTGCTCGCCCTAAGTGGCAGGTTTGACATAGGGATTCTTGCTCGGTGGACTTCTTCTCTTCATCATCGAGGACAACCCCTTCCACCATAGTGGTGAGTTTCTTCATCCTCTTACGATCAATATGGCCCAATCGCCGGTGCCATAGCTCGCTTGATGCCTTTGTTTCTAGGGGTTCCACTGACTTCCTCTGTGTGAAATAGGCTTGCTGAGGCGGTGCTTCCCCGGGTTCGTCGAATATCCAAAGGTTGAATTGATCCCATAGGTTCACACAGACGACTGGCCTATCGTTGGGGTCCCGGATACAGTTTGTACGTTGGCACCATATCCCCCCTTTCTTCATCAGCATCGAGTACGATACTAGGTTTGTGTGGAATCCTGGCGAATACAGTGCATCGCTTAGGGTGATCTCCATTCTCCCTTTCACTGGGTGTCTTCCCACCAATTTAACCGTACCCTTCCCTAGCACTTCGGTGGTGCTGTCTCCAGTGGTGAGGTAGGTGGTTTTTGGGGTATATTGGACGAAGAGATCTCGATTATTGCACACATGGGAGCTAGAACCGGTGTCTAAAATCCAGCGGTTCTTTAGGATAGGATCGCTTTCCTTAGCAAGGGATAGGGCACGCTGGCTAATCACTTCTTGCTTCTTCTGATCCGCACCTTGCTGCTTATCCTTTTGGTGCTGGACGGTGGTCGCAAAGCTGACTTGGTTGGCGGATTCGGCTTGCCTTAGCTGATTTGACTCTGCTATGGTTTTCTCCACCCATTTCTTCCAGGCCTGGTTCTTTGCTAACACCTGGGTTGCTTTCTCTAGCTTCCTCTCGCTGATTTTCAGCCCTTCCGGTCGAATTTCCTCGTTTAAAACCCAGCATTCGGTGACCCTATGCTTAGGATGGGTGTTACCACAGGGGCATTTCCTCTTTTCGAAGGGTAGGTTCTCTTGTGAAGCCTGTGAAGCCTGTGAAGCCTGTGAAGCCTGTGAAGCCTGGGGTTTGGCTTCAGGCTTAGCTTCTGGGTGCCCTTGCCAGGTGGAAAAGGCGCTCTTCGGGGGCGAGGTTGATGATACCTTTAGCACCCCTATTTCTCTATTCATTGCGCGAAAAGATTCGATGAGATCTCGGGTATCGTACACCTTCTTGTCGATGACAATCTCTTGGTATTTACCCTGCCACCAGATAGGAAGCACTTCTTTCACTGCGTGTAGGAAGTCCCTATTGGCATCTCCAACGTTGATACCAAGGCTGATCGCTTGCTCTCTTAGGGAATTCCACTGCTGTAGCCACAGCTCAATATCCCCCGTCGGTTTTTGCATAGCGAAGACCTTCCATTTCATTCGAACCTCCTCCTCATACGCCGTCGACCGAGCAAAGCGAGATTTCAGGTATACCAATCTGTCATACGGTGTATGATGTCCTATCAGATTGAGATGGTGCATTGAATCCAGGTAGGTGAGGATATATTCATTTACATCGCTCAGTCCTTTCGCCTGTTTCTCCCATCGAGCATATCTCAATTTGTATATATCCATACGATCTCTCCAATATCTCCGATCAGTTTCACTCCCATCCTCTGGGTATTCCGGTTCAATTGGCTCTTTCAGAGCTTCCGGTCTCTCAGTAGGGGAGGTATTGGGATCACAGTGGTCCCAAACATTCTTCTGTGTCGCATATAGCTGCACCCGAGCATACCAAGTGAGCCACTGCGGCGAGTCCTTCAGTTTATCGCCCTTCATGGCGGAGAGAATTGATGCTGCTTCCATTGATGGATTCAGGGTTGCCATACAGCGCTGGGTGCTATAGGGATAGCTTCAGGGGTTGCTGTACCGCTTCAGGGGCTATTGGGGATAGCTTTGGGGGGTGTTCGGCCCTATACTTTGGTGATCGTGGCCTTACTGGGTGCGAACCGGGCTCATAACTGTCGAATACACTGGTATCCTGAAATGTATGGGTCCAATCAATGGTGTTAAAATCTCTGTATTTCAGTATCCCTTTTCCTAGCAATTTATATGGATTACGGATTACTAATTCAAAATTACTGCACAACCTGGATTAATTAAATCCCCGGTATGCCGGTCTGTATGCTCCGACAAAAAGTATTTGCCTTAGGCCGTCAATATATTGACGGAGTTAATCTTCGGCGGTGGACGGAAACATATATTGTTTATGTCCCCCTTCTGATAATTATTTGCTGCTTTTATTAATCTCGATACTGCAACATGCATTCCAAAGTCTTCTAAACTATATTTTGCCAGTATTGACAGGTATTTATCAGTCCTCCGAACACTAGACTCAAGCCCCTGTCTGTTCCTGCCGAGGCTGAGACTGTTGGCATTTTTGCCGGTCTTGGTCGAAGGAAAGTGTACTTTTGGTCACACGATAGGTAGATTTGGCTTTAAGGTGCAACCTTTGTGCAACACGTGAGTGCTAGAAATCTCCCCAGTTGACTGCCTTGTTGCGATACACCCGATGCCGCAGTTAGACTCTGCATGGCAAGGCATACAACATATTCTACCACCCCATCAAAAGAAAAAGCAAGTTACAGAATTATTGCCTGAGCTAAATGGGGCCATGAGATGTTGTGTGACAATTTGGCTAAACGGGAAATCCGAGCTAACGGTCCAGGTCCTGCAGAATTGGATTAGCCACCACGCTACTCCCCTAACTTAATTTTCCTGTCGAACCACCGTCGTTGTGGTGTTGAGCGGCAAATATTATGATAATTCAATAACATTGTCTACTCCTGCTAGGGGTAATTTAGCCTAATTTCCCCACGCTACCCCGGAAAGTCGTCTATAACCGATGAACCGGCAGATGTTCAGCTTCATCATGCACATTGAATTCCCGGGCCTTTGCAAAGTGGGATTAGCTCTCTTTTATCGAGAGGGGTATATAGGAATTTTGCAATTCCGGCTGGTTTAAAATGAGTCCTTTTCCGCGTCTGCTGCAGTCTCGTCTTCATTCGCATCTTGAGTTACATGTCGGTGACAATGCGCTCTTTCATTGTAACCGTAGCCTTACTGGCTGGTCTCACCCAGGCTGCACCCCATCACCAAGATCGCAAGAATTACAACCTCAATGCCCTTGCCCAAGCTCGGGGTCAACAATGGTTCGGAACAGCTGCTGATATCCCCGGGACGGGCGAGACGACCGATGCTCAGTACCTGAAGATTCTGAAGAACCAGTTCGGTGAAATCACTCCGGCTAATGCGCTCAAGGTACGCTGAATCAAACATCTAAATCGGATCTTTGGGTCAAGCGCGACTAACATTTAACTATGCTCGTACCACCAGTTCATGTACACAGAGCAAGAGCAAAACAAGTTCAATTTTACCGATGGTGACTACTTCATGGACCTAGCCGATCGCTTTGACTCCAAAGTTCGCTGCCACAATTTGGTCTGGATGAGCCAGGTCTCAGATTTCGTGACCTCCAAGACCTGGACCGCCAAGGAGCTCACTGCAATTATGAAGAACCACATCTTCAAGACCGTGCAGCACTTCGGCAAGCAGTGTACCTCATGGGACGTCGTCAATGAAGCCATCGACGGTGACGGCACCTTCTCCTCTAGCGTCTGGTACGATACCATCGGCGAGGAATATTTCTATCTCGCCTTCCAGTATGCGCAGCAGGCTCTGGCCCAGATTGGCGCGCACAAGGTTCAGCTTTACTACAATGACTACGGCATTGAGAATCCTGGTCCAAAGGCTGATGCCGTCCTGAAGCTTGTTAAGAATCTGCGCAAGCGCGGAATTCGGATTGATGGTATCGGTCTCGAATCTCACTTCATTGTTGGCCAGACGCCCTCCCTTGCCGACCAAGTCGCTACTAAGAAGGCGTATATCAAGGCTGATTTGGATGTCGTCGTCACTGAACTTGATATTCGCTTCTCGGAGGAGCCGTACTATACTGCCGATGTCCAGAAACAACAAGCTTCGGACTACTACGTCACTGTTCAAAGCTGTCTCCAGGCTGGACGTCGCTGTCTTGGTGTTGTTGTTTGGGACTTTTATGATAAATACTCTTGGGTGCCTGAAACCTTTGCTGGGGAGGGAGGTGCGACTCTTTTCAATGATACCCTCGAGGCTAAGCCAGCGTATTACGCTGTTGTTGATGCGCTTAAAGGCAGAAAGTGTACTGTCTGCTAGGCTTTTGGTATTCGGCCATATATAAGCTATTGCACTTTGAAAGAAAATAAATTCAGAAGTTTCTTTGATGGATTTGCTTGTACTGACTGATACTTCAACGAACATCCCAAGGTGGAAACAGTGGCGCGACCAACATGCCACAGCTGACAGTATATATAAGCCCCCTTGGCGTGCACGGCATCGGTAACCTTCCAGTCAGCGATTTGCGAGGTAGTAAAGATACCAGGTACTCCCGGGTATCCAGCAGCCTGAGAAAGTTAATTTCACAAATTAATTGACCTGCTCGACCGGAAGGAATTTGACATACATGTCTGCTAATCGGAGTTGCCTCGGTCAACATAAACCCTCCCCCCGAAGCTCGCTGCGAATAGTACTTGACATTAAGCTCATTCGGAACATAAACACCCTCAGACTCCTTGCCCGCTCTCATCCGCGTTAGTGGTGCCAAAACAACGCGGTGATTGAGAGTCAGAGCACCCAGACCGACGGATTCGAACAAAGGATCGGTGATTGCGATTGAGCCCATTTTGCAAGGATATATTGACTTTATGATTAGCCCATTTTGGCCTTGGCTGGACTGATATATATAGCTTGGAGGGGCAATTGTATGCCATTTTTCGCGATTCCATTATTGGTTTTTCCATTGAAGGTGGGATCTTGAATAGTGGGATGAGTGGTAAAGGTTCGATGATCGAAATCAAGAAAGACAACCCCCACTATAAAATGACCTCCCCACCCTCTAAGATACGATATCTCGTTGATTATCAGTACTCTTGTACTCCGGTTTTGACGAGATCGAATTGCTAATTGTTTTTTTTCTTGGACTGCAGGTGCAGGCTTGATAGTCCCTACGTCTGTTATGGTATGTAAGTAATCTGTGAGAATTTCGACCGCATTCTGTGAAATATATATCCTCATAGGCCATTGTATATCACGCTATGGAATGTTGTTATAGAGGTATGAGAAGGTTTAAAATACGACCAAGCTCGCTATAATCATACGAAAAGGAACAAAGCACCAAAAAAGAGGACGAAAAGTCGAGTTGGAAAGCAAGCTGTATTCTAGTCATTTTGCACATTGGATTTGAAGGAAAATTTGTAATAGTTTAATAGCCTAATAGGGGAAACTGAATAAAAAAGCAAAAGAGATGAAAAGGCGGCGTTGACAATGATGGTGTCTTGTGATTTCTAAACAGACATCCAATGAAGCCCTTCAATCGAATACTACACCATAAAAGAGAGATAATCCTGCACCCACTGCCCTATCGCACCGACTTGTTTGGGGTTCCAAGTGTCAATAGCTCCAACATATCCATCAGGCCTCAGAACAGCTATCCCAATGCTCTCCCCATTCAAACCCCCAAACCACTTGTTAGTACAACTCGGCCCTCCAATATTGTCGACATACAAGGTCCACCGACTAGTCTGGAGTATCTCCGGTAGATCGACAAATTCAAACTCAGACTGAGTGGACTGCGTGACCATCGCAAAAGTACAAGCGTTGAAGACAGCAATGTAGCGTTGAGCCTGAACGAATTCATCTGACGGAGAATGCCCCTTCGGATGTTTCTCATATGACTGGTCTGCTCGCACACTGACACTAGCAAGAATAGATTGCATTCCTTGACAGATATACTTCAGCGATGCCCGTGAGCGGCAAAGATCCGGTACGAAAATATAGATCTTGAATTGACCCAATAGCGGAATATCCAGCTGAATATCAATTGGGTTAGCATCAATATAGCGAGTGACTTTGGCTGGGAGTTGGAGCATTCCAGGCTTGAGAGGAGATGTAATTGTTGGAGGTTGTGTCAACATCCCTGGAGCATATTCGGCTCCAACACCGGATGTAAATCGAATGTGGTCGTCGAAGTTCTTGGCCAATTCTGCATCGCCTGCCGCGAATGCTTTGCAGTGCTCGAAATCGAACTTGGTAAGGTCGTATGCTATCTTTTGTCTTTCTGCTTCGTAGGTGTGGAGTAAATATGGGCTGGCAAGTCCTCGGGCTACGAGGTTGAGCTTCCATGCGAGGTTGAAGCTATCATGCATACTTGTATTCGCACCTTGGGCTGCAAGAGCTGAATGATAGTGACCCGCTTGTGTATAGGTTAGCTCAGGGATAAGGCGAGTTTTAAATCGAGTTTGACATACATCACCTGTAATGGATATCTTTACCTCTGAATCCATGAATCGTTTCGCAACCCGTTGACCCACAACGTATGTTACGAACCACTCCACTGTCTTCCACTCTAGGCTGAATGGATGCATTGCTTCCTTGGCACGGCCCATGACGTGTTCTGTTGTGGCTTTTGATTTTTCCACTCGCTCCTCATCGGTGGAACTCAACTCGACATATAATCGCGTCATACCTCTCTCGCGTGGAATACATAAGGTCGTTCCAGCGAAATGAGATCGCAGAGCGACTTTGCTCCATAGATCAGGAAAGTCCGTATCGATGACGCTTGTTGGGTTAGGCAATGTTCTTCTTGATAGACCGGAGAGACATATCATCTAGCACTCCCCAAGCTTCATTTGTTAATTCTCCGTCAAGCTCAGCATCCGGAATAAATGATCTGACTTTAGATCGAGATCCATCGCATCCAACCAGGTAGTCCGCTCTGATCTTGTGAGAAGTACTTGTAGCAACATCCTCATAAACAATATCCAATTGGGTCGTTCCATCCACACGCGAACAAGACACGAACTTACTATTACGAGTGACGAACACACCTCGTGCCTCCATGTCGTCGATCATGACCTCCTCAACCATTCCCTAATGGGCTAACAAAATATATGGATCGGAGGAACCGACGTGTTCAGGGTAGTGGGTTTTGCGACCTGTGCGTCTCAGTGACTCGTTGGCGGTTGACTCCTACCAATTTATCAGCCAGACCCAGGAGCAGCAATTGACTTAAACATACCCAGAAGGAGATATCGTAAACCCGAGCCCCATTCTTCAATAATGAATCTCCTAACCCAAGTTGTCTGAATGTCTCGATGCGCCCACCACCACAACGGTAGTGGACGTATTGATAGGGCCAATTCTATAACCTTCGTGGTCTGCACTTGGTGATATTATGAAATTCAACTTAATTGGAAAATCCATTCATTTTGTGCATCTTCTCTATTTATTTGGAATCGATTCCTGGGGAAACCCCCACTCTTCGCAGCTGTCTATCACCATCGTGTCACCCCACCGTCCACAACAATATCCGACCCGGTCATATACGAACTGGCGTCACTTGCGAGGAATACACACGCCCCCATGATATCTTCTGGCTCCGCGATTCGGCTGTTCATTACGTCGGATTCCCAGCCGTCGAGGAGTTGGGGGAACTGGCCATTATTAGCGCATAATGAATCGGCAGCTCAACACTTGCTACTCCACATCTAGCAACTGTCTGTTTCCTTTATATATAGCCGCGGCTTAATGGTATTGTATCGAAAATCAGTTTCAACCAAAAGTTCTAACCTCCATTCTTGATATTTTGGACTTAGGGTAAAGTGGCATTTGAAAAAAAAAAATCTTATTATTTGACATATGCAAATCCTTTTGAATCTATGTACTTTTAAACCTCCGGCACAACATCTATCCTAAGCTGCAAGTACCACAGATGGTCCTACGGCCTGAAGGGCAATTCCGCCAAAGCTCCCCGATTCGAAACTGTACCCGATTTTGATAAGACCCAGCACTCGCTGTTCCCTATCCACGTGTACATCGACAAAGCTGGTTTTGTGTGGGTCAATCTGCAGGCCGGTGAGACGGATGTGAAATGGGAAGACGAGTACGAGAAGGTTGATGAGGACCCTCGAATGCAGGATTTTGATTTTACTGCCGAGTTCAAGTTCGACCATTATTGGGAGATGGAATTGGATGCGAATTGGAAGGGTGTCATTGAGAATTATAATGAGTGCTACCATTGCGCTACTTCTCACCCGCTTATCAACGGCGTTTCAGATTTGTCAAGGTATCGGGTTGAGCCCAAGGCCCGGTATATGGAGCATCATATCTTCAATAAGGTGGATGCTGATAGCCAGTTTCGTCGGACGATTACTTACTTCTATCCTACCGCTTCTGTTATGGTGACGTGAGTACAGTACATACCCCTTTGGCGCTGCCGAGTGGATGAGCTGGGCTAACGGACATTGAATCAGTGATAAATTCTTCTATATCCAACGCATGATTCCTGTATCGACTACTTCGAGCAAGATTGAGAACGAGGTATACCGCCACCGAGATGCCACCGATGAAGAATTCGAGAATATCAACGCATTTTACAGGCAGGTTCTCGACGAGGACAAGTAGGTTTGTGTTGGAACGCAGGAGAATCTGAGTGCTGGGATTTTCACCAATGGTGAACTACACCCCAGCAAAGAGAAGATAGTAGTCCATCATGGGTCTCCTAGACAGTGGTTAACCGAGAGTCTAGGGACCCATCCACTTCCAAAGTAGCGTCAGAGAAATGATCATGGAACACCGGAAAAGTGAAGAAAAGCAAGGAGCGGAGATTTGGCCGGCCACCCCCGAAGGCTCAGTTGTCTAAGAATTCGGCAGATGATGACAACTTCTGTTCGCAGTTGGAGGCGTCTAGTTGTATAGCAAAATCGGAACTGGCGTGGTAGTACTAGTAGTACTACGTTGATTGACATATACGGGGCTTGCAATGCGAACCTTCAGATATAATCTTACAACCTTGACCATGGGCATATGAAAATTCCCCGAGAGACGAAATAAAGGAAAACGACAAGCACGACGGCCTGGATCATAAATTCGCTAACTAGTAATACATGTAACCGCCACAAATAACAATAACCTATTGGTTCAAACCGAGAGGGTTATCCGCAGTCTGCTGCTTTCCGCCGAGACTGGAAACACCACTCTGCACGCCCTGACCAGCGCTCTTCGTAGTATTCCCAACACCCTCTGTTGCGCCCGAGACGGTATTTCCAAGGCCGGATGTTGCGCTGCCCACGGTTGAGCCGAGACCGCCGACTGTGCTGCCTAGTGTGTTGGTCACGCCGCCGACTGTTTTGCCCAAGGTATCGCCTAGGCCGCCGAGGAGTCCGGCTATTGATTGGTTAGTGGGAGTTGAATTGTGGGATTTGTGTATGGGGAACGTACGATTCTGATCGTTGGACATGGTGATTATGTGGAGAGGTATGTGTAGTTTGTAGGAGTATGTGGTTGAAGAAGTTGGTAGTGTCAAAGTGTTTGATGTTCTTGTATTTTGATTGAGAGTATGCTAGATTCGTGGGCGTTGTATTTATATCAACGCCACGCCCTGAAACCGGTTACATGGCCATGATATAATAGGTGCAACCTCCACTAATATTGTATGCCTGTCATATGAAGCAACCATGCGCCGCAATCGATGGTGCCCAATGACAGGTCAGAAACAAGGGCGATCTTTTCCTAACAGCCACCATGATCAGGCTTAATAAATTGGATGTATTCATCTGACGTATGGCTGTACCCCATAGTACCCATATCCCCCGCAACATGAATTATGAGGTCATTATTGGTTGATATTCTCCGGTCGCATGTGGGTAGTGACTATGTTGTAAATAGATGTGTGTTTCTAGAAAGTCTGTTATATTAAAATGAGTGTAGCCAATAGGTGACTGGTGAGATGTTCTGAATCCAAGTTTGGAGTCCAGGGGTATGATGTCATTTTGCTCTCCGGTTTGGGTGGATATTGTATAGTATACGATGATATCATGTCTGACAATATGGTTGTCTGCCGGGATTAATTGGTATGAAGAATATTTACGATTTACAAGCACAGGGGGCAACAATTACTCATCATCTAGACTAGATCAAGGTCCATCCTTGAACTATTCTAGGTGTGAGGACAGATTGAATCAGCATATTTACAGACTCGACTTTCCGCGAGACTCATACGGCATAAACAACACAAGAATGCCTGCTGCGATGAATAACGCACCGCTAACATAAACAGGAGCAGCGGTCGTGAGATCGGCGAACATGGCAATGATAGGAGCCATGATGCCAAAGATCCGATTTGCAGACGCAGTTAATGCGTTGCCCGTACCACGGTCCTTGGTGAGGAAGATCTCGGGCGTGTATGCGTATAACACGGCATACATGAGACTGCTCATGAAATTGAAGGCGCAGTTCCAGCCTAACAAAGCATTTGATGTGGTAGCTGTGGTTGACGCAAGGAGGAAGGCTCCAGTTATGGCTGTGGAACTGCTGAGAGCACCTTTTCGGCCAAAGCTTGGTAGTTCGACCAGCACTCCACCGAGCAGACAGCCTGGGATACCCATCACGGCAATAATCAACGAGTTCCGATACGTGATATATGTCGACCCATCACCGAATTCAGCGCCACGGGACTGCTGGATGTATGGAAGGAATGCATTGTATAATGGGAAGCCGAGACCGATAAATGCCCAGACAAGGATGATTAAGGTCGTAGCCCATGCTTGCTTGGGGGTATTGAAAAGAGCGCGGATATGATCAAACCGCACGGTTTCTAGACGTTGGCGGACGATGTTCGCCGCGCTGAAATGCTGTATCTCGCCCTGGTCCAAGGCGTCGAGCTCGATTCTCGCCAAATCAGACGTTTTTCCATTCCTTCGAGCAACCTCGTGGACAACCTCCACAGCCTGTTCGTTCCTCCCCTTCCCCATAAGGTACTTGGGCGACTCGAAGATCGTGAAAAACACGAACCGACCGACGAACATGAGCATCGCGATACCACCCATTGTGATCATGAACCATCGCCATCCCATGTTGTCAGCTTTCGTACATCCTTCTGCTGAACCACAAGTCCTATATCCAAGCAGCGGCCAACCAATCAAAGTGGCGAGCAGCTGCGCCAAAGCCCAGTAAATCGACAAGATAGTCAACAAGTACTGATGCGATCCAGGCAAAAACTCGAGGAAGATGGCCGAGTCAACCGGTAGATTCCCACCGACGCCGACAGACCACAAAGCGGCAAATGCACATATAGCTGCGAAATTGGGCGACCCCGCCGCGACCAGGCCAAACACCGCTGTAATTCCGATCGTCAGGTTGAACGCCCATCTGCGACCGAATACATCGCATCCAAACCCCCAAAACACAGCGCCGACCAGCAGCCCGATGTTTTGCGCCAGCGTCAACATCGGCGCTTTCGAGGGATGAAACTCGTTCGACACTGCGGGGAGAATCAGGGAAGTAACAATAGGCCACAGGTTATCGCTCGCCCAGCCGAATCCGATCACCACGAAGAGCTGCCATTGGTATCGGCCCATTCCGATCGTCTGAATCGCATGGTTGAGAAGCTCAGCTTTGGCTTTGTAGTTCGCGTCGGGACCCTCATCTCGAGGGACAACTGGGTCCTCGATCACCGTTGGCTCGAGCCCAGGCGATTTGGGCGCTTCTGACATGTCGTGTTGAAAACAGGGAAGGGGTAGGAACGTGGCAGGGGACAACGCCTTATAGCTTGTTTGCATTCTCAATCTAACCCCGATCAGGTTGGAAACTCCATGTGTCTAATCATATCCCTTGTATCGACCCCAGATCAAGTTTATTCAGTGGATTTCTTTCTTTTTCCTTGACTTCGATTGGATGTTTTGATGGCGTGATTGATGGGTGGTTTTGTGTCAGATTCGGGGGTTTTTCATGCATTTCCCCAATTCAGCAAGGGAGAATCCTGCCAATCCTGGCAGGGATACTGAGTGTCACGTGGCTTCAAAGCATTATTTTGGAATAAAAATGATCTCAGAATCATCTAACAGAACTCAAGCAATTTTCAGCCAATACTGCTTATCGTGGCCCATTTATATGTGCCAAGAGACCACGCGGAGAGGGATCAAAGCATTATATATTCAAAGATGAAGTTCCCACATAGATGTGCCAACCCGAAATTTAGCTGCGGTACCTCGACTTGAAACGAGTCATGGGGAGAAACGAACTGCTCCACTTGTCGGGGAGGCCCACATCCCCGCAATCAAGTGCGATACGGATGACAAAAGTTGAAGCTCGAGAGCGCAGAGTGTCGAGAATCGAGATCATCAGGGGTAAGACTGGACTGGTAAAGTTTGAAATTTAGTTGGCTTATCTGCGCGGCAACTTATTCGCGAGACATATGAGTGCCAATTGCCGTTCGATTTTCGTTGTCAACCCTTTTCTTTTGGCTTCGTGTTCGCTGGTTTCCGTCGCCTACATAGGCCGTAGACACGCCTTGTCCCTGTTCATCACGCCATCGATTGTTTGGGCCGCGCTAAGAACGCCAACTCATCCCCCACAAAGCTTGGTGATCTTGTTTTTTTGTCCCTTTTTTCTTTTTTCCAACGTTGGCAGTTGCGGGCTGTTCAATCTGGCGGGTTCGTTAGGTTGTCTTGTGCCACCCATTGACTGCTTGTGTCTAATTGACTCTTACGATTTGTCTCCAATGATATTTTCATGGGTCATTGGATGACTTGTTCGAGTATTGGCAGTTGAGTAAAACTGGGCTGTCAACAAAAGGATCTGGAAGGGTAAAGCAAAATATCCCAGATCGGACGAATGTGATTACCTGAGGCTTACAATACTACCTAGGTAATAATTGACGTCACGTGAATTCATGAAATCAGTCAGCTACTATATCTGTCCAGATTATCGTATGATGTTTGCACTTTTCATTTTGGTGATTCCAAGACAGGAAGGGTAGTATTCATTAGTCTGATGGCGCATCGTGTGTGAAGCTGACTGCATAAACGCTAGTAGACGGGTCGACAGCGCCAAATCTTCCGGACTCGATTTTGGGGCCAAACCAATTAAGATTAGTGCTGAAACAACAATCCGATGCTAATGAGATTTAACTGCAATTCTCTGAATGCTGATAATCTCAATGGAGACATAATATGTATTCACTATGGAAGCGGAGGGAGAGAGAAAGAATGATCTATCTGAAAACGTAGATCCTGGCCTCATGGGGCCTAAACAAACCCCGAACTGCATATCGAATTATACTTCGGGTGACATCAAATGTTTCAAATTATGTCTCCAATTCTCCACAGTCCTGAATTGCTGGCATAGTGCTAACATTACGGTAATACATTCAATTACCCTCGAGTAAAACAATGAGCCAAGCTGTGCATATTCTTAACTCAGAGTCTTTCACGTGGCTATAACTTAGGAGGCCTTATTGTCTACTTCTATCGAAGTCTGATGAAAAAGGACCGGTATCTGAGAAAGGTTTACCCTGAATTTGCCCTCTATTCATGAAGGATTCAAACAGGGAGTACTGCATATGTCAAATATTTCCTACTGTTTATCACGCCAACACAAAGGGCATTACTACATAGAGAGTTCAAAACCAGAGGTCCAAATGAGACGAGGTTAACATTTGAATGAATTGTGTATACCATCTACCCATCAATGATTGACAAGTAACACGCTGGTTCGAGGTTTGAGCTTAGTTGAACTGAATTCCAGAAAGCCAGCCAGCAAATTGTTTGATGTTGAATCCTTCCAAGTTGCCCCAGTAGTTCCGGTGGGAGATGGGCCAAAATACCACTCCAATCCCAATATCAGCTCACCCGCTAGTATCAATCTAGCACTTGGCTCCTCCCTCGGTGCCACCGTGGCACGAGTTCCTGCCACAGTCTTGAACCTCTGTCCACTTTCCACCTTTGCACTCGACCTTTTCACAGAAAGACACATTAGTAAACCGGAGCGGATATTGCAAACTGAATATGTCAACTTACAATACCGGTCCTATCGCAACCGCAGAAGTGTCTGTCTCCGTTAGACGATTGGCAAGGGCTGTTTGTGCGTCTTTGGGCGGGATCGTAGCCACTTCCGCAGGTGTCGCGTGTATCTAGGACTGAAGCACTGACGGCAGTGGCAGCCATGAGGGTGAAGAAGATAGCTGTGAACTTCATTGTGAAAGTGCTGGATATTGTGGTTTGTTTAAGGTCGTTGATTGTTCAGAAAGGTTTGATGTCCAAGAGGATGAGTTTCTAGAGGATAGTTCAAGGTACTTATACTTCTTCGGAAGAAAGGCCAAGGCTTCTAAACTACCTCCCTAATAGTGGTAATACATCGCAGAATCTTGGAATAGGATGCCCGATTAGGAACCATCATGCGCCGACGCGATTAATTGGTTCTTCGGTTGAGGTCGCATTGCAGGAATCTGACCACACGACACTGCCCCCGAGCTGAAGAAACGGCTTATAGGGATATATATGGCTTTACTCGAATAGTAGAATCTCTACGTTGATCAATCTTGGCAGTTTGGAATACGAATGAGCATTCGTGGGGACTATCCATATACCCTTGAACCTATGCATATAAGCCTGCACAAGTTATGGGGGCCGAAATGATAATGTTAGTGGGATATGTAATATTTTCTGGTGGCAGGTTATATCCGAGGAATTGAAGATTTGGAGATCGTTTCTTAGTACTGCAGAAATGAAGCACGGACATATTGGATGTCTTCAATTGTATCCTATTTCTCAGTTCATCGCCTTTCGCTATAGGAAATCGACTTTACCATCAAAATTATAGAGTGCCCAGACTTCCCTAATGAAATGCCCAGGAGACTAGGGGCTACTAGTCGCCAATTTGAAAATAAAAACTTGGACAATACAACGTTGTCAGCCAAAATGGGTCACATGCTTGGTATTGACCAATCGAGGCAGTTTCCTCAGCTCCCAAGGTTCCTTGGAAGGATGTCCTATGAACACGTGCGTAAATACAGATACGCACCGCGAGACGTATAACAAGTATTGAGATTCATATTCAGTTATACCTCCGGGTTACATAAATTGCATGGTATATATCTATGCATATAGGTAGCGGTCAGGTACCAGCCCTCGAGGTCTCACACCCATAAAGAAAATATTGGCGTTGCATTTTGGTTTTGTGGCGGGCCGGAGTACGGGAGATCCGCAAGCCTCCGTCTTTGCCAAACCCCCTTTTGCACTATCTTTATTGAAATGTTTTGTTAGCCAAGTATACACGGTATGGTAAATTGGTCCGCTTCTCAACATTATCAAAAACTATATATTGCATTACATTCAAGAGTTGTCATGATGTGAATGGTTCATCTACTGCAGAGGCTATAGTCTCTTGGCAGTACTATGCACCTACCCCGCCTAGCGCATGGCCCGAGACCTCCAAGGGGTTAAAGGAAGTAAACTGTGTAGGATCGAGTACAGAGTAGGGATGTACTCCTTGGTCTTCTCTCTAGCATATTGTATACCAGATCGGGACGCTCGGTATCATACAGGGCATTTCAACACCAGTGTTTAGATATGCGGAAAGGACCGCCCGGTGTCCCGGCACACCCAATGTTCAGCTGAGAATTGATTGGGTTCTATTGAGCGTTCAGGCCCCTGCCATGATATGATCTGCCAAAGAAACAGGGCTACATCCTTCAATTGTTTCACAAGATTCACTACGCTCTCGGTTCAAAGTTCGAAGTGTCTCAATTGTCCCGGCTATGTACGCAAAACCTAGTCTCAAAAGCTAAGCAAGCCAGTTGCACACTTCGACAACAGGAAGTCCTCATGTCACAGAAGAAATCCGATGCTAAAGCTAACAACCATTTCCGAGTCTACTTATTCGGAGTCCAATCCTCCTCCCGATCATGTCTAGGACAACATCTTAGATCATGAGGCGCTCGACCTGGTTCTTGATAACCCGGATCTAAGCGGCCAGCTCATTAGCCTAGTTGGTGGGGATTGAGGCAGCGATGACGGGGCGGGAAATACCGGTGGCACGGCTGAGAGCCATCTTTCTGGGAATGTAAACGTAGGGAACCTAATTATGATGATTAGTTTGGATTCCTGGTGTAGGGCTCTAGGATATAAGATAACCCCTAAAGCTTTCTCCGGACTGAAAGCCTAGGGGGTCTCGCTCAAGTTGGTCCTCAAGTGGGATCGCAAAGCCATGTTTTCTGGCATCATCCAAGACACGTGCAAGGGCATCTGATCCATCAAGCTTCCAGTATTCGGGCCACGTCACATGGATATCAACATTTCGTAGCAATATATTAGCCTGGCCCGAGGTCCTTTCTGTCTTGGAGTTGTGGGGACAAAGATGAGGGACGCTTTGCAGATGAAGCAGCCTCTTTCTGTGGGGTCATTTTAGACGACTGCTGTCAAAAATGGGTTTAGTGTTCGCCATGCGAGGGATATTGTTTCGGGGCCTTGCCTTTTTCTTGGCGACTTCGCTAGGGGTGGAGCTGGACTCCCTCCTGGTTGAGGGTGCCATCTTTCCATGTGCACCTGAGCGATGCTGGTTGAGCGAGAGAATTTAAAAGATGTGTAGGCCAGAGGTTGAAATAATAAAAGTTAGACGTTATGGAAGGCAGTCATACAGAGGGCACAGACGTACTAGGGTCTGAATAAGTGAGGGTGATCGGAAGGATATGAAGAACGGAGCGCTTGGATAATACGTAATACAGGTAAGAAGAGCCACTATCACTGTCTCCGTGGTTACCTTGTAACCTTCTTGCTTTCTGCTTTGCCTGGAACAGTCGGTTCTACGTTTTCACTCCCTCATATGCCTTCTGGGAAACGAAAGAAACGAAAATGGCTAGAAAATAGCCCGGTGTGCTGTTGCACTTATCACATCTACACACCCTCGAGAAATTCTATAGGGATTTAGGTCTGTTTTGAAGCTTTGCTCATACCTCATAATGAAGGCCTTCGTTTCTTATCTTGAAATGCATGGAGTGGTCAAAGTTTTAGTCTCTATTCTAAATACAATTCTCTAATTCAAAGTATCATGATATGCTAAATCGCAAAATAAATAGTGAACGCTTAGTTAGTGCCATTGACAGTAGCAGAGGCAAGTCTAGAGCGTGCGCGTAGTGCAGGACCAAACTTGAACAAAATGAACGGAATAAATGTCAACACAGTAGCCACCATTGCCAGTAACAATCCAGCGTACTGACTACCCATGTTGTGGAAGAACTGGGAGGCAAAGAGTGGCGAGACAGCACCGAGTGTGTTTCGCATGAAACCCTGACCGGCAATCGCAGAGGAAGAGTGTTCTCCGTAGCAATCAGCCGTGTAGCTGTAGCACGACTCGAAGATGAAGAAGATACCGATAGTGATGAGGGCCAGTCCGATGACTGGACCGATCCAGGGAGACCCTCGTACTGGGTGAAGCTGTAGACGAATAAACCAATCGGCAGCCAGACAGCTCCGCACAGGGCACCATACAACCGAGCTTCGGGTGCGATCTCAATGTTCGGGTCGGAGGTGAGGGATTTGTATTTTCGGATTTGGAGGAAGTTGAGACCGAAGCCGATGGTGGTTCCGAGGCAGAGGGATATGTAGGGAAGACCCGAGACTCCTTCGTTCCAGCCGCGCTTTTCTTGGAAGGTGATTGGGATGACGGACAAGAAGAGGAATGTGAGGAACCAGGCAAAACTAATCCAGAGACCAAAGGCAAAGACGACGGGCTCGGTGAAGAGCATTTTTACAGCCTTGACAGAAGAGTTGTGCAACATGTGTTTAAGGCCAGGGGCTTCGATATCATTGTGGGTGACGAAACGGTCGTCGCCGGTAGATTGGCGAATTTTCTTCGCACGCTTGCTAAGGCACACACTGCCGCGAGTCTCGGGTAGGCAAATTGCAATGACGATACCAAGGGGGATATTTGCCAAACCCTGGATCCCCTCAAGCCAGCGCCAGCCGAGGGCCTGGTCGATGAAACCGGCGTAGATTGGTGCACCAACTGTACCGAGGATGGCTATGAAGGCGAAGCAGGCCATAGGGATAGCGCGGTGCTCCGGTGTGTACATATCTCCAAAAGTGCCACCAACGAGAATTGTGCCAACACAACCAAAAAGACCAAGCAGGGCACGACAGACCAGGATCGTGGCAATGTTCTTGCCTAGCGCGAGGCCGATGAACATAAGACAGAAGCAGACGTAGGCACCGACGTAGATAACTCGTCGACCGGCCAGCTCACAGAATGGAGCGAGGAACAGGGGAGCAAGTGCACATGTAAAGTTGAAGGTGAATAGACCCAGTTTTCCAATTTCCTCTGATGTTCCTAGGTCCGCTGCCATGCGTGAAATTCCAGAACTGTATGCTGTCGTGGCGAGACCGATGAAAAGTGTCATAAGGCAAAGAAGAGTGCTGATGAAGGCCTTTCGGCCTGAACTCCAGTTGAATGGGTTCTCCTTATCTCCATCGACGAAGTCAAGGACGATGAAGTCTTGGCCATCGTGCTGCTTAGGCTTTGTGGCTGTAAGGGGAATATCGACGTCTACCTCTTGCAACAAGCTGCTGTCGTAGTGCTGGGTGTGCTCTTCTGAAAGTTCGTCCCGGTATTTTCCTCCGACGATTAAACCTTTTGGCGTACGTGCCTCGTTGACTAGGGTAGTGTGAAGTGAGGTGACGTTCTCATTATGGGAAGCCGATACCGGCTGAGCATTTTTGGTGGCCTTCATTATAAAAAGGCGTGGAGAGTGAAGGTCGGAAAATCTGTCCAGGAGAAAATAATCAGAATGGGCGTTATGGCCTTTAAGCGTTCTGCTCACCAAATCCACTCACTATACGTCACGCTCCGGACTCCAGCATTTCACGAGAACTGGGGCTGCGGGATTATACGGAGGGTGGGGGAGGAGAATTGCTGATGATTGATCATCCTGCTAGCATGGAACCAAGGAAGAATCTGTTGATCAATGACTGAGTTGGAATACCAAGTAAGTGGATATGGCGGAAGCTAGGTGAAAACTCCTAGTGCCTGAGACTTTTTCGTCTTCCTATGGTGGATATAACTACCGTCAATATCACTTATCACTGGGACAAGTCCTGTAACGTTTTATCCAAGCGCCGCTCCTGATATCCTATTCTCCTTTGTCCATCCTCGTGCTTCAACGTCTGGGGTACACTTAGACCGCATGTATAATTCTACACACCCGTAACCAAGGTATTCAAGTTTCGGGCACTTAAACTTTGAATGTATCGCCGACGATGGTCCGAATAACCTCCCGAGCCGGGTTGATCTCATTGGCGAGAGGTTCCACATTTGGTCGGCATGCCGTCTCCCACTCGGAATGCCTATGCCGAGATATAGAGCGAGATATTTGAAGGAAACCATGACAACTTGTTTTGAGGTATTTTTACCCGTAACTCAACTTACCATTGAAGTGAGAACTGTTTATATTCGTATATGAACTACATACTAAGCTTCGGGTTTGACCCACTCGGGAACTATCACTCTGTGGACTTCTCGGTGAGTCCGATTGCGGAACCCATATTTTCCCCCGAAGTTGATCCCGATGATGTGATTAGCTGGTTAATCCTCGGGCTCCATATAAATTGGTATCATTTCCAATGACATTCTGTGCCTGGACCGCTGGTTTATGACCTTCCTTAACAGTCTAGCACCATCACAACCCTGCTCAAAGGTTCTGGGGTCCGCGAGTCAGTTTACTCCGCCGTTTGATTCCGATTTGTATGCCATGGGGACAAGGAATTGCAATAAGATTGATTTCGTTTCCACTGGCTTCGCGTCTACCGGCTGACCCGGCCATATTGTCGAGGCTCGTTCCCTTTACCACCCACGTCATGCTATATGTCTGATATAATGGCAGCAACATTTATGCAGCGAGCATAATCTGCTGCAACTTTCTCCATCCTTGTATAAATCATACTACGAAACAGTCTCTACGTATACCCGGCCATGCGTAGTAGGGCCGGGCATCCGTTTTAATGCTCATGAATTTAGTTTTGAATTGGTCTCTCAATTCTCGGTGATTACATTTACTAAAGCCTTTACCTTGCCAACTACATATCCCTCACTAGGATCCAAGGCGCGTTGGAACTCTGGAAGATGGCAAACCACGATCGAGATCTCTGCTAAGACCCCACAGCGAGTCTCGGCGAGTGTGAACGGCTCATTCTTGGCGTCTTTCAAAGCGTACAGGGGAGTTTCTCGTGCTGTATTTGAATTACTTCGGTATAGGTGTAGGTAGTGGCATTGAGACGGGGTGATGGGAGGGAGTTGATCAAGACTTTTTTTATCCCATTATTAGGAGACTGTCATTTAACAACATCTCATCGTATGTAGTAGGTACCATAGATAGAACAAAATATACCAGAATGTGTACAATCTAAGCCAAAGGCTCTTTCATTCGCCAAGCCAACTTTTAACCTCTGAAGGGGCGATTTGAGGATGCACATCTCGTTCCTCACGAGACAACTGCCAGTTTGCTTCGAACAGGCTTGTTCTCTGCCATTCCAGGCTCTGGGAGCCCAGAAACATTGACACCCTTCCGGAAAAGAAGACAATGTGTCGATCCACCAAAGTGGAACATACCAAGTTCATCTCCCTTCTTCACTCGATCCCCCTCCTTGACAGTGATATCGCAAGTGGAAACCTCTGCCATACCAACTCCAATAAACGCCACCAAGCCAATGGCTGGCTCATCTGCTTCAATGAAGATAAGTGCCCGGGTCGCAACTGAAGTAATATATCCCTGTGAAGTAACCTGGCCCGCCATGTCAATCTCCTTCTGCGACATACCCGGGTACCCAACACCTTCAAACAGTGGCTCAGAGTAGTATGTACCGTCAACAACATAAGCCTTGACAACCTTGCCAGTAACAGGCGAATGCCAGCGGTGATAGCTCAGCGCACTCAAGAAGGCCTGGTACACAGTGCCTCCAACAAACTGCGGCGCGAGATCATTATGATCCAGCATGTCGAGCACAGAGTAGGGCTGACCCTTGACCCAGAACCTGTCACGGGCGTGGGCATGGTGCGTAACCCTGAACGGTTTCGACTCGCAGGCGTTAGCGATAACCTTTCCATCCTCGGGGTCTTCGACGGGACGGATTCCCTCTTTGACGCGGCGGGTGAAGAAGTCATCCCACGACTTGTATCCGTGGTTCGGCGCAGACGGGTCACATTCGAAGAGATCATGGAATTGCAGATCTGTCGCAGCCATCGGACCAACCTTAGCAGCAGCTGTGAGATCCCGAGTGCCAGTCGCACCGAACCATCCGTGAGAGGTATCATTCAGGACATCGGCAGAAGCGGGAGAGCGCAAGAACTCGCCCCACACATTCAAGACCTTCTTGATCATGGCATTGATCTCGGGATCTAGGAAGGCTGCATACCCACTGGGTGTACCCATGGGCCAGTCGAGGACGGCATTGATAGGCAGACCGACTAGACCGACACGGTGTGCCTTGTCGGTCCACGTAGGTGCAGTGGTGAGGAGGTGATTGAGAACATGCAGGAAATGGGAATAGTCACGGATTTCGGGGTTGCCTGTTGGATCATGCACGTATGGCTTCTTCCGTGGAACTTCCTTGAACATGGCCGTCAAGAGCATGTATACGCGGGTGTTTGTTTCAATGAGGTGTTTGAATTCCTCTAGGACTGGGTGGAGGGTTTTCTCCTCGCTCTCGTCCACCTTTCGGATTATTCCTCCCAACCATTCTTTGTGGGCTTTGTGGTCTGCTGGCATCCAATTGCCGACCCTTTAGAATGTGAGCGGCATGCAGTAGTTATGATAGGATGGATGTCTCACTTGTGAAGGTGGTGCTGGCCACTAGTGTCTGTCATTTTGTTTTTGGTTTTCGAATTCGCAAAATAGTATGAAACTAATCTGCTCCTTTTGCTGATGGACAGATAGTTATACGGCTCTACTTTATAAATTAGAAGGGCTCATAGGTTACATCAGTATGATGATCTGGGAAAGAAGTAAGCCTGAGAGAAGGTTGCAATGTCAGGGTATCCGAGTCAATGAGGTCATGAGGTTGATGAACTCATACAAATTATACTTTCGATATCAAAAGTATTAGACTTGCGAATCCAAGACATATTCAAAGGCAAAATAATCATAGGTTTAAAGGTAGAAAGGGTAAAAAAAAGGAAAAAGAAAAAAGAAAAAAAGATAGACATAGCATGTCCTGGTTTCGATCCAGGGTCCTATTGTGAGTTAGTTGGATGTTCAATTGGGAAATTGGTTGCGGTGAAACGTACCTCCGGGTTATGAGCCCGGCGCTCTTCCCCTGAGCTAACATGCTGATTGGTGGAATATGCTTGACTTTGGGAAAATAAATAGAGCCTTATTAGTATTTGAAACGTCCAAACTATTCCAGTTCTATGAGTCTAGAAAACCACATATTGAAGCAACATTTCCAAATAATCCTATTTTACAGAGTCTGAGAAAGTGCATGTGTTTGACGAATTGCATTGCAAATTGATAACTCGGGTATGGATCAGTTTGGGAGATAAGCCTCAACTTCAATCTCTAAATGAAGGCCTGGCATCACGAGAGAGGCCACATTCACACCAGTCCATGCCGGGCGCGTCTTCTTCAAGTACTTTCGAGCTGCTTTCCCAATACCTTCCCCAAGTCCCTCTGCTGCAACCTCGTAGCTATTAATCTATTGAAGATATGGATTAGTTACGTTTCACTTTCTCATTTGATATATCAAACCTTATAGACATGTTCCCAAGCATCAGCTCCGAACCCAGCAGCCTTGAGAGCACGCTCAACATGTTCAAAGGCGATCTCCGCTTCCTCGGCCGGGTCTGTGGGGATAGAACCGTCATCTCGAATTCCAAGTTGACCTCCGATCAATACGCGGCGAGCATTTGCGGGAGTGATCACGGCGTGGGAGAGGCCGAAATGCTCTGCGGCCTGCTCGCCAGCTCCTGGCCAGTTGTAGAACTTGAAGCCGTGGGCAATAAGCGTGGAGCCGGTATATTCGGAGCCGTAATTTTGCGACATTCTGAAATATATCTTAAGGATGAACACGAGGGACTTCAATAAAAAAGAATATCAAAATGATCAATGAAATGCATTCAACTTATATAGCCTTACCAAATACAAGAAACGACCGGATAAACAGTCAATTTGCTGTCAAATTCCCGTTGCCCACCAAAGTAAGGATTAAATGCTCATTGGCCCATTCTACTCAATACTCTCCACGGAGTATAATAACCAGCGCTACGTTGAACATCTAATTCTGTAGATGCTGAATTCACAACAATTTGCTAGTGGGATCTCTGATCGACAAAATGTGAAAGATACCATTCTCCATCGGAAAGTGGCATATATTGTCCCCCGTACTACTTGGATATAGCTTATTATCTAGTACGAGGTGCTAGAACGTGGTTTAATTTATGAAGTCTTAGATTCAAAGTGTGTGTCTTTTAGTGGGATTAAATATTTACTATACAGTATCATTAATCCATTGGGCCGTATTCAATCTTTGTTATTGACTGGTTGCCTTGGTGGGGTTTAGTAATATATTTCCCGAACGGGTGTCCAAACCGGTTCGTTGCCAGAGATATATTGTCAGGTCGGAGGACCTCGTATTTCACCTACTCTTAGCATCTCATGTGAACAAACAAGAGCTATCTGAGCCCTACTCTATAACCAGCTAACAGAGAAAGTGTGGAGTGTGGAGTATGGAGTCGATTGGGACACTATGTGATCCATCATTATCATCAGTGGTTGCCCTAACAACAACAACATCGGGACCAATTCGTTAGAGGATACTGCAAAGAACTTATCTTGTCACTTATCGCGACTCCTCCGGCGAGCGAAAAATAAGGTCAACTCTGCGGCATAACATGTTGCATGCAATTCACCCTGATGTCTGCTGGGCAAAACCCCGCCATCTTGTCTTGGGTCGAAGAAGTTGCGAGGAGCGTGTCCAAAACCCCGCCTAATACCGAACGGCTCGAGGAACCGGTGGGCAACCTAACGAGGCCTGCTTCAGCTCTAGCATCTCAGCACAAACGCAAGAGGTCGGTGTCTGACGCTGAGAATCCAACGTCGCAGTCAGATCCGCCTAAGAGACCCTACCGAACAGTCTCTGAAACAGCATCCACTGTTTCCGTCCGCCTACCTGACGACATTGTCTCTCTGACCTCTTCAAGTTCCGCGGCTAGTCGGGGTGGCCGATCCCGTTTATCGAGTCCGTCACGCGTGAAAGCTGAACTGCCGCCAATCCCCGAGTTATCTATGCACATGAATCTGCCGATCCGCGAAGCCTCGCCGCAAGTCAGCTACTTGCTACTCTAACACAAGATTCTGAGCTCGGTGAGAATGAAGATGTTGCTCGGAAAATCTCGAATGCCTCGTGCCAATGTGCTACCGAACTACGTAGTGAGGGTTCTTGGGTGAATAAGGTAGCACTGCCACTGCTGGAGGGGGCTATTGTAGACCTACCATTAGAGTGTTGGATGTACTGCTGTTGGGGAAGACTGGAAATTCTATATTGCAATCGCAGTCGAAGGATCTGGTGTCTTGAAAGAAGTAGTAGGTAATATATTTTGGTGACTTGGTTACAATGGCTAACTCCTTTTTGCTACAGCGCATCTGGGGTCCTTTATCTGACCTAGACGCTCGTACCACGAGTGTGAAACATACCATGTCTCTTTTGAGAACTCTTCGTCGAGTCATGGAGTACACAATTGAACAGTACAAGGATGGGATTTTCCGGGCAATCACTGGAATTTGAAGGTGGCTTCTTACTTAATGCAAGATCTATTCACCTTCTCAAATATAGGCGATGATATATTGTCAGTATAGAGGACTATTAATGGGCACTTACAAATTTCAACGTCACAATGCGATCTACCTAAGAATACCCAAATCAAGTACTATGGTGCACAGGGTCACTCCATCCCGCTTCAATTTGCCTCGATTCTCACCGAGTTTGTTGAAATCCGGAAATTCCACAAATTATTATAACGCATGCAGTTTACGATATTCAAGTTGTAATTCTCTACCCCCGTATGAAATAGGTTTGATTTACAAACACTCTCCAGGCTAGTTCGTTAGAACCCCATTTCAAATGATTTCCAATTTCGTGTTGGTGTGTTTGCTGTCCAGCCAGTGCTTGGCTGAACGCCACCCCCTTGTTGCATCCCTTGGCGGTCTCCGGGTATTGCACTACAACAACCTTGGCCCTCAGAACAATGGAACTTCGGCCGTTTTAGCACACGATCACTCGACCTACGTTGATGCCGCTGCAAAATGCACTGCGCTTGGCGAGAAGCTGTTCCCGTGGTCTTGGAGGCGAAACACCACTCACACCGAACTTGATTATGAACTGGACTATCTCGCCTTTACAAACGAGCTAGGAGCCAATGATCACTTATGGTTATCGACAGAACAAGAAGATGGAAAGGGCTGTTTTGCTCTCTCGATCTCCCATCGAAAGGTCGTACAGAAATCATGCAAAGAGGAGCTACCAGCCCTCTGTACCTCAACCCCTCCGAAAACAACTGATCTCGACAATGCCGCAAGGGAAACCACAAAGCTGACCGTAACATCTGACGATTATACCTTGACCGGATATCGAGATGCTCGATCCTTCCGCTTCCTCGGCGTACCCTTTGCAAGTCCCCCAATCGATGATTTGCGCTTTGCCCCACCGCGACCCTACACAGGATCGAAGAATATCGATGCGACTAGTATGGCAGACTCATGTATCCAGTCCACTTCGAGCCTGAGCACTTTGCCTATCGGTGGAATGTCCGAGAACTGTCTCTATTTGAACGTCTTCACTCCCTTTCTGCCTCATAACATCACCACAAACACCGCGCTCCGCCCCGTGGCTGTTTATATATACGGGGGTTCATTCACGAGAGGCACCGCAGCCATGGTTGACTATGATGGGGGAAACTTCGCCAGCCGCAGCGATGTGGTCGTCGTCACGCTCAACTATCGGCTCGGAGCATTGGGCTTTCTGTCGACGGGAAACCTGACAACTGGGAGCTACGGTATTCAAGACCAGATTATGGCCTTGCAATGGGTACAAAAGCACATCTCTGCCCTGGGGGGTGATCCCTCGCATGTTACTGTCTTCGGACAGTCTTCTGGTGGTCAAAGCGTGGTAGCTCTACTCTCTTCCACCGCAGCGAAGGGTCTTTTGTCGGGCGCGCTGGTGCAATCCGCAAATTTTGACCTCCCGTGGTTTCCCCGCGCTCTCTACTCTAAATACATTGCCCCGGAAGTCGGGAAGGCAGTTGGCTGCGACGGAAACGCTTCCGAAGCCGGTCTCCTGAGGTGCCTTCGTTCCGTCCCGGCTTCAATGTATCTCGATAACTCAACCGCTTTTGAGACAGCTGCAAAGACCTTCTCATCCAGCATCGCAAATCACTTCCACCATAGCACAGCACTGAGATCCGCAGCTGAGCCATTCATGCCGATGGTAGACGACACCGGATCTGGCGTGATTGATGATCAATTCAACACCCTTCTAGCCAACAACAAGCTCCCCATCCACGTCCCGACCATGTTCACCACTGTCCGCGACGAGGCAGGCCTCTACATGGACATTTTCAGCTTGATTAAGGGCCCACTTGCTACCTTGCTTAATGTCACACTCGGCGACACCCTCGCGCAGAAAGTGATATCATCTGACACTTATAATGCCAATAACTCGGACCGCAATGCTGTCCTCAACGCTGTTTCCGATGCCTTGACGCACAGCCAGTGGGTTTGTCCACAGGGTTATCTTCTCGATAATTCCAATTCCGCATTCCCATCTCTATACGAAATCCAAATAGCAGATGGTCATGCGCAGACATCACATATGCCGGATATCTGTTATCCGAATAATGTATACAACGCTTCCTGTCATACCTCGGAGAACTTGCTCGCGTGGGGTACACTGAATATGAAGACCGAAGATGTGCGCCCGTACTACGATGATCGGGATATTCTTCACTCGCAGCTTATCCATGATGTATTTGGGGCTTTCTTCCGTGAGCGAAACCCAAATCCGGATTTGGAGTTCTTGAAAGCCCGTGGTCCCGCGTATGCAAGTACTCTTTCGATATTTGGTGGGGAGGTTGGTTCGAATTCCTTGCTTGAACGTGCTGCGAGAGGGCTTGTTATTGAGCAGTATGCATCGGAGCGTAATATGACGCTTCTGGGGATGCCGCCGTCTACTACGGTGAATTTCAGGGACAAGGATATTTGTCCTGTAGTACGTGAGTATGGGTTTACCTTCCAGAGGGCCGCGTTGTCGGATTAAATTCATGTTGAATTCTGCTTTTCTATTGATTAAATGGTTACAATGCACACTTGCTGAGCCGGTATAGCTCATATCACATTGGAACTATCACCCTTTGTATCATGTACAAGACTGTGTCTTAACGACCATGGGATCTACGCGTCGCAACTTTGAGCTTGTATTCGTGTGCTCCAATATTTGAGCTTGTTCATTCGATATTTGTTCGAATGGTGATTATCATTTGTGTAAAGAAACTTCAAATCCAGAAGGAATAAAACGCCAGATAAAGAGTACCACCAGAAAGAAAGAGTGGAATGCTAGGTCTGCCGTGATAAAGATGAGCCAAAGGAACGTGTCGGAGACATGGTTAAATAGAGAGGCAGAGCCAATGAAAAGAAAATGCTCATATGCTCAAAATGACGGGAAAATATGACAGAAAGGAATTCGTTAAATCAGCTAGCACGTGAAAATTATTCGTAAATTGGGACCCTTCGCGAGGGAACGTAGCCGTCATCTTCGGGCACAGTCGCCGGGGTATATCGCTTTGCAGCGGAACTCCTCGGGCTCGCCCATCCAGTTGAGCGGGGGTGGAATCCAGCGCTGCTGTACGATCGCTGCCGCTCAGACCCGCTTCCCCCGCTACTAGGTCGACTATTACCCGTACTGCCACCGCTGTAGCTTCCCCTTCTCATGTCATCTGCGGCGTAAGATCCCAGATGTCTCGGTACCGCTCTTGGTGGAGGGGGAGTTGATGATCTGTAGAAAGGTGGCTCTGGAGCAGCTGGAGCAGGGGCGTCGCCAAATATAAATTCGTGGAATTTCACACCCGCTGCGCGTGTTCGAGAACGGTCTTTTGGATTTTCCTTTGGGTAATCTCTGGGATGATCCCGATCTCTCGGATGATCCCTTGGGTGTTCTCTTGGGTGAACTTTTGGCGAAGGTTCAGATTTACTAGATCGTGAAGGATAGCTTTCTTGCCCGCGGCGCTGGCGGGTAGGACTCGTGGGTGACAGATCTCGGAATGGTCTGCGGGTGTAAGCTTCGTGGGAATGGCGTCTGGCATTACTGCTGGAAGGTGGTGACAGATGACGTCGCTCTTGCCTATTTGGTTTCGCACGGTCCTTGTGGCGTGCAGACTCATCTGAAGACACATCAGAGACGCCTGGAGCCTCACCTGTCCCGGGGTTTGATGAATGATCGTGTCGACCAGCTTGGTCTCGTCCGCTTGACCGGGGTGGACGCTCTCGCTCTCCCCATGGGGGAGGGGATGAAACTCTGGGGGTTGAGAAGCCTGGTCGATTTGTTCCCGGCCTGCGTGCAGCAAAGGCGGGATATTCTCCGCTGTGGTGTCGGCGGTGATGGCGAGGCTCGCTGGGTCGATCGGGTTCCACATGGCTGTGGCGCTTTGATGCCGCCCGGCGTGGACGGGAGAAGTAATCATCTTCGTCGGGTAGAGGATCCTTGCCACTAAAATGGTAATGATATGTCCCAAAGTCTGGGGGCGAAGCCCGTTTCGTGTGTCTTTTTAAATAGTCACGCTCCAATCGCCGACTCACGCCTTCATGCCATTCCAGCATTTCTGGGTCGGGCTCGGAAGGGAACGCGTCCCGAGGAATCGTCTTTGGAAAAAGCTCGCCATTTGCGTCTGCAATATCCCAGAGGTTGACCGCATTTTGCAAATACACCGAGTGCTCATCTGGGTCCATTAACAGTTGTATTGTCTGCCACCGCACGAAGCCATTTGGAAGTAACGAGGGAATCGATGGGGGTTCATAAGGATTGGCTGAGGGTTGGAGACTATGGAAGCATCCTAGTGACTGGTAGATGAATGATAGGGCCTGTGCCTTGGTTTCCAGGAATAAAGGATCGTAATTTCCGCCAACTTTGCGGTAAAAGGTAGCGAGTCTCTCGGGAGTAATATCAGTAGTACCGTTGGAATCGAAGGAGGACTTTAGAGCTGTCAGTATGGTCTCCACGTATACGGGTCTAGAACTTACCATCAACTGCGCGATCCCCAGACATAGCTGTTCAAGCAGTGGGGCTGGGCTCTTGTCTGAATTGATCAAAGTACCCCAGTGAATATCCGAAGCCATGAATGCGAGAAGTGCATGCAAGATGCATTCAAAGTAGCTTCGAAGTTGGGAGAGAAATGAAGAGCGGTCAGGCACACATGACCCACTGCGGGGAGGAAAGCACTTTGAACTATGAAAAGTTGAGAAGTAAACAAAGAACAATTAGATTAATATAGTTATCAACATATTAACATATTAACATAACCTATTCACATAATTAAGAGAATGTTTCATATTTCTATCTTGACTATGTGTGACTGTACTCGTGACTCACATACCGTTGCATGACTATGAAGCCTGATGTGGCGCCATATCCAATCAGCAAATTACCGAAGATCTGAATTAATGACATCCTTTGATTCGTTCATATATTGACTTGTCTAGTAAAATAACTATTGCCTTCATTCTCCCTGAGCTTTAGGCAGAAGAGCCCGACAGTAAAAAAAAAAAAAGAATATTATTTTTGATTTTGTTCTAATAGTCTGTATCAAATTGTTGCTCTTCATATATAAAGAGTGTTTCTATATTGTCTGTCTTTCTCAGAGCTACAGAAACATATCTCGGGTTAATCCGGGAGAGACTTGATCGGGGAAGACAGAAATTAGATCTATGGGGAATATGGCATCATTGTTTGGACAAGGAAAACGGCAAGTATTAGGTAGTATATCACCGGCATCGCCACTAAGGTATCCACTCTGTAACTATCGACTGCTTTACTCCTTATGTAACTTAGGCCACAATTGCCAGACCCAAGCCTTCTGTTGAACCTCGACTGCAATCAATATCAAGATGCTACTCGCTTAGAAAGCTTCTATGGGTCAAATCTAGTATTCGCCGCAGTGGACCGTTACACGCGATACTAGAGCTTCCTGCTAGCGCATCTATAAAAACCCCATTCGAGGTCCTCCATAGCCGACGTCGACAAGGTATACTTTAGTACCACTTGAAATGGTCAGCCTCGGCAAAAAGCATACATGGTAACTGGGGCCTTCATGAACTTCGAAAAGCTGACCAAATCCCATTATCTCAATCTATATCAAGCAGAACATTCTAAGATTAGTGTCGAGCTCATGAGTCAATTCTGGCTTAGCAAAGCCGCAAAGTTTGCGAGTCTCGGTCTTGAAAATCTATAAGTCGTTGGAACATTGAGCAGAAAAGAAGGCAAACGTGACACTAAGCCACACTAGAGATGGCCACACTAGAGATGGCAGACACAGTTTATGAATAGCATTGGAAAAGAAATAATCTTGTGGAGTGCCATATTCATATGGCCCATCCCCGAGATCATAGCACTAGAAATGGAATGGGGGAAGTTGTTGCAGCCCAGTCACTGACAAATTGACCCTGTTGAGAAGTAGGGTATCGACCTCATGCAGTATACCGTGTGGTTTTAGGTGGGACGAAGGGAGTGCACGCTGAATCTTGGAATCAGGTCTGGCTGCATATGCACACCTGCAGGTCGCCGTGGAATCCCAGAGATAATTTCCGCAGATCATCATCTAGAACACCCCCAATTTATCTTCGTGCATGTTCTACATAATTACTTTTACACCTATCGCTTCTAGTTATGTAGATCCCTGTCTGCGTTCTATCATGTTGAAATTTCTGTATTTTCCATGGCATTTAGTCCTACTGTAGAGAGTGCACCTTCGGTGTGCATACCTACATAGTATCGGATATTCGTGATGACGGTGGAATACGACAGCTACGACACTTATTCCTATATGTTCCAACATCCTGTATTCAGGGCGTTTTTGCGAATTTATTATTATATTGTAAGAACACCCTTTCATGTGGTCCACAAAGAAAGGTTTGGCCATGAGTATACAGCATCAGTAAGAGAGGGGTCGAGCAAGTCGAAATCAAGATCTGGCTGAGCCAGGAACTCTTCCATGCTCTCTCCTAGAAAAGCCATGTCGTTTGCAGGGTTTTTCAGTAGGGTAGATTCAGGAATACCAGAGAAAGTGCTATTCCCAAAGAGTCCCAGTTGGGTCGGGGCGACCACAACAAGTGAGTCATTCGAGGTCTCTGCAACACGAGATATATCACTCTGAAAACTGCCGCCTTCTGACCCTCTCAGCTCATCCAAGCACTGCTTCACGCATTCCAAATTATCATAAAATTCCGTCGCAGCAAGATTCCCATGGTTGCTCATCGCCCGGAGTATTTCGAAAGCTGCCTCGAATAACGCAAAGTCATTGCTATTCTCGGGGTATACTAGGCTGGAAATGACCATTATCAGTGCCGAAGAGAACAGATAGTGAGCATAGAAATATCCAAAGATCGGGAGTGATCCGTTGGTCCATTCTTCCACGATCAGCGAGTGGGTATGTCTTGCCGCGTGAATACACGCATCGCTAAGAGTTTTCAGGGTCTGGCGAATGTTTGGCTGGGCACTACCCTCTTCAATGGTCTCTGAAGAGGTAGCTTGGATGAGTGTGTGAAGCAGGATCGGCCGACTGGCTAGCATTATACACTGCATTTGATTAGCTGACAATGATTTCATGGCTTGACTCTCAACCTACCTGGTTGAATTGAAGATGGAGCGAGACAACATTCTTCGGAACGGGGCCGTCGCGGTTGAGGCGAATCTGCGGGGGAAGAGCACCGCACCACTCCTTAAGAGAGATGAGTAACTTTTGCTCCCGCTGCAAGAAAGACTCTGGGAACTTCTTTCGGCTGTACACATGGTCAATGACTTGACCTGTGATCTTGGCCAACTCAATACTGGCGATGAGATATTCAGTGTCAGAGGTATGATCGTCGTGGATGTCACCCGGCACCTTCGATGGCATTTCAACGTAGATGTCGGCGTCGGAAATTTGAATCGGCCAGCCGACTTTCGAGCCGTACATTCGGTCGAATACATAGATTGCCCACCATAGTCTGGTCCGATGCTGACGCTCCACGGGGTCTGGGCACTTGCTTTCTGGGATATTGTGATTTAGACCCACCGTCAAGCCTAGTCGCATAGCGCTGCCGACCAACAGAAATGCCGAATGGCGTCGGTTCAAGAAAAACGAATATAGTGACTGCAATCGTGAGTAAATAAGTCACGTCCGATAAATATGGTGAGTATCTTACTAAAAGTAAAAGAGTTTCAATATGTGCCAGACTTGGTCGTTCCGGCAAGATGGGTATCATCGTGATCGCATTGACATAATAAGCCACGCCGGGGACGTTGCATTCAAGGCTCGGGGTGGATCGCGCCGAGTATACCTCTCCTAAAGCGAAGAGGGCAAAGAATTTACACGTCAATACGGGATCGTCGAAGTTGCCATTGTGATAGGCATCTTCGAGCTGGTCAATGGTCGACTTGCGAAGAACCAAATGATACACCCGCGTCACCTGACTGAACACTATCTGAAGCAAAAGCCGAGCCTGGGGTAGGCTCGGCCATTCGATTGCGGGATTGCGTATTTTCATCAACGTAGCCTCTGTCGTATATTGCGTCCGTGGCATGTGAGAAGTGGTCTCGCTCTTGGTAAGAACTTTTCGGAGCCTGGTGGCGAATGCCGTGCATGCTGCTTCACAGACGTGGATGGGTGGTAATGAAGGGTCATATGGTAGGAACCATGCCCGTTCACCGAGCATTGGATTCCGAACATGTGTATCTGCGTCTGGTTCGGGTACATCTAGATAAGAGTATAAGTCGAAGTCACCAGAAAGCAAAAGAAATTTTAAACACCTTCATCGTGGGCTTGATGTTCCCTCGGCGTAAGGAATCTAGGTGACTGGGATAATTGATCACGCAAGCGCTGGTTCTCTGCAGCCAGGTCCTCAAGATAACTGGTCGAATATTTAGCCTTGCACTAGAGTAAGCCAAGCTTGGTGGAGCATACCTCTCGTGCACTTTAACTTGACGATCTCGATTGATATAGTGGCATTCGGTAGGACAATCAGCCTGACGACATTTGAGACATGGCTGGCCACCAGTGCATTTTATTTTGTGCGTGTGGCATCTCCGGCATCTTATTATGTTAGCGGGTAGACTCGGAGGTTGGGTTCTCCGGGACTTACGCGATGGACTTTTTTTCTGTTTTCTGACTGCATCGTTCGAGATCTTTGACGACTTCATATTGATTTGAATCAGATGGGAAAACGGAGCTGGGAGGAATAAAATTGGAATTTTGCCGATGCGGCAATATTTCATGTTGCCGAGCCAATCATCGTCTACAATTCAACCTACACACCTTCCAAGGTTCTTTCATCAGTTCGACATAGAGGACTGAAAACTATCTGGCCCCAAGAAGAAAATAGTAAAATATATGCACGAGCTAGCTGATTCAATGATTTACTAGGTATACGCGCATGTCGTGCTCATCTGTGGTCACACAATATGTTGCTATTGGTCGATCTGAAAGATCAACATCTTATATAGTACCTGGCACTTGATGACTTGCAGGTCTGTGAGTATTGCAAAGAATGCAAGGGGACAGTTGGTTACATTGTGCACCCTCTATTCTCGCCATTTGCTATAGTATGACGTGTGCTAGAGCGATCGTCAAGTTGAATTTAAGTGGATAGCTGGCCGTCTTCGGTGAGCCGTCTCCCAATTATTCTATGTACTTTCAAGCAAGAGCGAGATATGGAGTTGATACGCGAGTCACCCCTGGGTCAGCTTTTACGCGCGATTACAGGGAATAGGATTCTACTTTATCCAGAAGAAAAGCCTGGATTTGTTCCATCGAGTCCAGATGAGACAAGACACCAGATTGAATCTAAGCAAAGTCTTGGAGGTGACTCTGCCATAGCTCCAACAGCGACTTCATACGACGGACCATACGAAGAAAATGATGCAAACTATATAGTTGACTGGTACGGACCAGACGATCCATCAAACCCGAGAAATTGGTCGTCATGGAAGAAAAGATTTGTTACTTTTCAGATATGGTACACATCACCTCATATTCTACCTCGATTTTCACACAGTCGAAGGTTTGTCTAACTCTTGATAGTTTTTACACTTTCGCCATATATTGTGGCTCATCAATCTACGTGCCAGCTGAATCGTAAGCTTGCGAAACAGAAACATGCCTTCCGCCATGGCAGCTAATTATCCAACAGTCAAATAATGGAATATTTCCAAGTCAGTCAAACAAAGGCTTCATTGGGCTTGGCATTATATGTATTGGGCTGTACGTTCTTCTTACACTTTGTACGCGATAAGTTCTGAGGCCTCGGTTCTTGCAGATGGCCTCGGTCCATTGCTCTTCTCACCCTTGAGTGAAGTTCCATTATATGGCCGCAATATCCCATATATTACCTCCCTCACCATATTTGTTGTGTTGTGTGTTCCAACCGCTTTGGTAGACAACTACGCCGGACTCATGGTTCTTCGACTGCTCCAGGGCTTTTTCGGCAGTCCCTGTCTGGCAAGTGGTGGTGCCTCAATGACAGATATGGTTCGTGCAAAAAGTGCCTCTTACGGGAATAGGCGGTATTTCTTCTTTTGTTAGAGCTGACCAGATGTTGGATGATAGTACTCGGATATTTACCTACCACTGGGATTAACTAGTTGGGTAGCTGCGGCGTATGGTGGACCAGCTCTTGGGCCGCTTTTGTCGGCCTTTTCGGTCGCTGAAAAGGGGTAAGTCTTCCAATAGATGTTGCGTGAATCACACCAGTGACTGATTACGGTGCTAGGTGGCGGTGGGCGATGTGGGAAATTCTTTGGATGAGTACACCCATCCTTGTTCTTATGGTTATCTGTCTTCCAGAGACATCGGCCGACAATATCCTTCTCCGCCGTGCAGGGCGACTACGCAGAGTTACTGGAAACTCGAAATTTTTGTCGCGATCGGAGATTGCACACAATAGCCAAGCATTTGACAAAATGCTCCTTGATTGCCTGATCAAACCTGCCGAGATAATGATGAAAGACCCAGCCGTTCTATTCGCCAATTTCTATACCTCCCTGGTGTATGGAATCTATTACTCCTTCTTTGAAGCATTCCCATTGGTTTTTCCGAATAAGTACGGGCTGGATGCTCGGGATGTTTCGCTAATTTTTATCTCAATCATTATTGGTTGTGCGCTCGCAGCGACTGTGTATATCTTCTATGTTTATACCCGCCTCATGCCTGATCTAAAGGCCAAGGGCCAACGTGCACATGAGCACCGCCTGGGGCCTGCTCTATTCGCTTCACTGGGGCCACCCGTTGGACTTCTAATTTTTGGTAGGCGGTTTCAAGCTTCGTGTTTGGTGTTAGAAACCCGAGACTGACTTTCATTTCATTTAGCCTGGACTGCCAATGGAAAAATCCACTGGGCTGTCAGCGCACTCGGTGTTGTCATATACTCAGGATCGGTATTCATTGTGTTTCAATGCGTAGTGATCTACCTGCCCCTTGCATATCCGAAGTATTCAGCTTCGCTGTTTGCCGGCAATGATACAACACGATCTACTGTCGCGTTTGCGTTCATCCTATTCTCCCGATCCATGTTCATTGAGCTTGGTATTGACAAAGGTGTTACTTTGCTAGCCGGATTGAGCATCCTAGGGATTGTAAGTCTCTTCTTAGTTCCACCTATGTCACAATCCGGATATGATGGTGTATTTACCCTACTAACTTATACCCAAGATCGGCATGTTTATCCTCTATTTCTACGGTGCAAATCTCCGTGCTAGATCTAGCTTTGCGGAGCAGAGATGAACAGAGCGTAGCAATGACTTTCGGCTTTACCTTTTTAAGATGTCTCGGGATGGACCATGTGATTTAGTGGTCCATAGGTAGAATATACAACATACTCTTTTTATGAACAGACTAGTGTTATATCTAAAAATCGTGACATACACAGTTGGCTATCTACAGCAAGAACGATCATCCCTTCTGGAAACGGGGTGCAGCAGATGGCCACTGACTGTAGCCTTCCGAGCTAACGTGTTGGGTATAATATTTTCACTTGTACTAACGGAGTCCAGCCTCTGGTCCACAGTCCGGCGTTCCTTTGAGCGAACGAAATATATCGCCGACATAGTTAGTTGCTTCTATACCCCTTTCAAACTGGGTGGTCCAGCCATGGAGGATACCTTCGATAACAATAATTCCGGCGAGGTAAGGTGGATTCACCCTAGCGTGCCGTAAAGATTCTGGCACGCTAGGGTGAATCCACCATAGTCATAAATGAAGGCCAAGGAGGCAGCCTCAATAAGGGATTAACTCCTATCAAAGTTTGAGTGGCCTCGCATAAGAATGATACGAGAGAAATCCACGCATTTCTGCATCGCGGCCCGCAGGAGGGCCGCTAGGGTCCCTGTGTCTTCCATCGCTGTCATATAGTAATTCGCCTGGCCAGACGTGTACAGATAGACGACCTTCTCAAATCCTTCACACAGTTCCCGTGTGAAATGCATGTTACCCTTAATTATTCGGATTCATGTGCTGATATGCATTGCTGCCTAAAACGGAAATGAGCAAACATGTTTATAGACGTCAAGAGAGAAAGATTGGATTTTGTACATTATTTAGTATGCAATATTGTATTAGCGGCCATTGGTAAGGAATTCGAGAGAAAAGGAGGTGTGTATCTGGAAAACTGCGAGGCAGCAGGCCTGTATCCTGATGATCGGGAGTATGACCATGTCCCTGAAATTGCTGGTTATGCAGAACATGCTCTCAATGAAGAACTGGCCAATCAGCTTTGGACGGATTCTTTGAAGATGGTCAGCGGAAAATCGGTTTGATAGTGGACCCATCAGATTTACCGTCCGACAGACCCGAAAGTGAAACTTGGAAGCTTTTGTGAATCGACTTTTACCAGGAAATGATTATTTTTAGATCTAAATCTCCTCCTCATATGATCTTTATGCTCGTATTGAATATCCTTTCCGTGGGTTTAACGGACAGAGAAGCTCTTGAGCCCAAGTTCGAGCTGTGCCATCTAGGTTAAGGAGAGTGCGAAGTATGAGATGGCACCATTAGACTGTATCATCGTCAAAGAAACAGACGCAGTCTTCCTCACACAATGTAAAATGCCACCGGTTAGTCTTCCAGCCTTTATTATGCTTCCGAGAGAAAGCTTTGTTGAACTTGACAATGACGACTGTATGTACAAAGTATATATACATCCATATTTCCCCAAATTGACATTCCCTTTGGTCTTGGTCACCTGAAACCAAAAAAAGGAAAGACATATACTCTGATATCTAATTGGCTATCCCATCTCAAGGCAAATTAAAAGACATCGGCTGTTGAGAAAAATTATCGTCCAAGTCTGCCACCATATCATCCAGAGAAGGATTGTTCCATGTTGGTGAGGTTGACATTAAAGGATTGATGAAAGACTCTGGGGTCTCAAGATATTCATGTTGATCTTGGAAAGACTCTGGTGCATCGTCTCGTTCCTTCCACATGTCCATTCCGCAATCTTACATCAACGTCAGTACGTGTTTTTGCTGTAAACTGGGAAGACTCCTTCATACCAGTGTCTATTTCTGAGCCTTGCTCAATTGAATCACAGAGCTTGTGAAAGTGCTTTGCCAACTGCCCTCGCGATTTAGCGACAAGTTCAACTGCTGTTGCTCCATGGGAGCCGAGCACACAATCCCTTTCTTCGCTCGCTCTGTCGCTACCCCAATCAAGATCACCTGTCAATGCCTGGCCTATGGCACTGGAGGCACTGTACCAAGTGTCCTCAGTAAGGCACACTTTCGCCGCATGATATTCATCCCCTGTTCTTTCAGCATCGTGAAAGTGCGGTTCTGGCAGCTGCCAGGCCTGGGTTGAACTATTTGTAGCATACATCGCACCGAGTCTTTCGGTGATTGTAGAGAATCTGCTGTCCGGTCCAATCTGTGACAGGTTCAGAAAATTTGAGGAAGAAAAGGTCGTTGGCCAACGGAGAATTTGCGGAAGACAGATAACCAAATCACCTGGCTGTACCACAATGTCTCGAGCTTCACCAAATACCTTGTATGCATTTCCATACTTCAATTCCAGTGAGCTCTGCAGCCATGAGTTTAATTGGCGATGAAATCCTGGGACCAGTCGGATCTTTTGTGCAGTATCACAGGTCGGGAGGATGACAGTACTCTGGATATCGCTTGTACCTTCTCCTTGGACCAGTGATTTAATACAGTCAATTGGGACACCGAACCCAACATCGTCGTTTTGAAACACTGTCCTTTGTTGATGTTGGCCTGGGCGATGAATGAGGTTCCAATGTTGATCCGGTCTGCATGCGACTAAAACAGCATAATAAGCTGGATCCCGTTGTATCATTTGGGATATCATGCTGTAGATCGCATTTCGACTGAGTGTCAAATTGTAATCTTTCTTGGTACCGCTTCTGTCAAGGTACCTTCGGGCCCGTTTGAACACACCAAGCTCTTCCATGTAGGAAAAGAATCCAGGTACGTGGAGAAATCCATCCCTTTGCCAACGCCACCACGCATCAGCAGACCCAGTATAGCGACATAGGAGCTCCGTATTTGAACAAAGGTTGGGAGTGGAGATGGAGGGACGATCGCCTAGTAGTAACGGTACATTAGCAGATCAACATTGAAGAACACACGTATCGGTCATAGAGGGGGAATTGCCGTACTAATGGAACTGTAGCATTCACGCGAGCAGAAACTCTCCAACTTCTGAATTGTATCAGCTCTAGTTCGACCCCGCGAGTCTGCTCCGGAAATAAACCGCGCAAGGCGTGTGAGGTGCTCTGAGCAAAAGCTACCCCACGACATGGTGTAAGCCCAGTCCACTAATGCCGTCAGAAGCCTCTTATCGAACCTCGCCTGGGGGGTGGAGATTAGGGCGATCAGGGGCAAGCATATAGGAATACATCCACAGCACTGCCACTCATTTTGGTTTGTGTTGGTTTGTAGCCCCTGTGGAGACGAGGGGTCTAACGACAACATCCCTTGAGACAGTGTATTTGGGCGGGACAACACTTCTGATTGAATGGTAGAAGATAAAGGGTCAACCTCAGTGCGATTATGGGCGCCTGTGCTTTGAGCCGAACTTGAGGAAATTCGGAGTTTTTTTGCTTGAAATGCCGTTAGCCTTCTTAGGAATTCAACTTGAAAAGCGAACATCATGACTTACATCCCCGTACTGCCAATCGTGCCTGAGGTATCCCTAAAGTCTCTAATGCACGTTGAACATCACTTGCCATGAGTCGGTTCTTATTACGTCCACGTTCTGGCCTATTTTTCATGCTTTCGTCCAGGAGCGAGAGTGAGTCTAAATGATTTCGGTGCTTGCTCAAACAGGCTATCAATGAAAGCAAATGTTTGCTCCAAGTTAAGGGACGAGTATTTGGCGGAAGAGCCTCGTCGAATGGAACTTGCCAGTACCGAAATATTGTTTGGGTACTTGATCGTTTCGCTAGCTCCGACTTTTTATGCCGCTGTACAATCGGTCGTACAGTCTCCGTATATCCGATGGCCCTCCGGTAGTCGCTGAGGCTCTCGTACCTTGTAGACCAAAGATCATTCTGACATATCCACTGCCAAGCGGCACTAATAGATGAAGCAACACGCTCATCGACATCGGAAACTCTTGTCAGAAGATCGGTCAACACATCCAAGTGTTGATGCTCTGGTTTCCCGTGTAATAGAGTTGCGATAAATGCTTCAGAGGAGTACTCTATATCACTCGAGAGATTTCGTGCAACGGGATCCATGTTGAAAGACTGAGTTCTCGCTCTTCAAAAGATGTGATGCTTGTGGGTCTAGTTGTTTCTTTTGGCTATTTTCCTGTCATGTACAGAAAATCTGGCCTTATATATACCTAGAACAGCAGCTTGATTTGGGGCATTTCTTCTTTGCACCAGAAGACTTGGTCTGGCTAGCTGCAGGGCACTTTAAGTTGCCACACACGTCTCTAGTGTTGGTCGCCATCTACAGAAAAGTGCTATTGGTCCTGTTAATATCTCCCGGACTACAACATTGCATCAGTCACGAAGATGATGAGTTATGCGGATCAAAAACCTGAAATGAGGTTTAAGAAACTATCTATGGTTACCTGGGACACTTCGCCAAACCTTCATACTCCACACAAAGGGTGTTCTGATATTTATTGGAGCTAAAATATCCCATTCAATCCCATTTTATTGCCTATGGATGGAAGCTATTTAACAGGAGCGTTGGATTTAAACTGAGAGATGATTGAATAGTTACCAGTCATCTAGCGTTCCCAATACGGGAGACCTAGAATCATGCACATAGTCGCCTCTAAAGTGGATGGATCGACACTGAGGGAGGGGGGGAGGAGGAACAAGTTCGTGTGACCTACTAAATTAGATTTACTCCTGCATGACGATTCTATTTGTGTCAGACAATGGGCTCAAGCGGGGAGATGGAGGAGGGTATTTGCCAATGCTTGCCTTATTCTTGCTGCACTTGGTTTTATAGATGCTGCCACCCCACTGATCTCTATCATATTCCTATTGTCTCACGCTCTTCTTGGGCTGAGGCATGCATTGATTATACATTAAAATGTAATCATACCCAGGTAAGAAGAAAATTAGAGGCCGCTTTAACCGGTGCTTTCCGTTGCATTCCTTGGCAAATTCTACGGCACTAAAAGGCAAATAGCATTGGTTATATTGTGTACTACATAGATGCACCAATCAGACGCATAGGCGGACACCCTGAAGAATTACCTAAAAACGTGGCTTGGACTGCAAGATATCGAATGATATTCCCTACTGACTCATTTATATTTTGCCAAATCCTCACTAGCTCGGTATCAAAGGTTAATATCTCTTCATCAAAGTTTCATATCGATACTCTAAACTTTACCGCCTTATCGTACGATGAAAGAAATGTAGCAGATCGACATACACATAAGCAGCTAGGGTGTGGCACCCTGTAGTTCTTATTGCTTCTGGTATTAGCAGAGATATCAATGACTCACTTTGGCCTCCTGCTTTGTTAATCAGTCATATCGCAATCTGACGCAGTGTTATGGGTCTCTCTGCAAGGAGTGACGCAATAACCGTGAACTGATCTACCTCTGCAATCAGAAAAGGAAAGCTACTCCACGGAGGGGATTAAGTGTCGAAGGTAACACCAACTCAAATCATTTGGCTTGGCCACTTCCAATGGTATATATTTCCCTTACACATGGTTGCGCTGCCTGCATGGTACCACTGGATGAGGATCCAAAGGACTAAAATTCGTCACGGTATATAGGCTGCTCTTCATTGATCGCACTTACTACACTCGCTGCTTGATGTGCACGTTGCGCATCTGCAAGCCGCAAGTTCATCAATATTCTTATTTCAGTCTTTCAGAGATATGCTTCTATGCCTTGAGGTTGTAATTCCATATTCCTTTTGTGATCATACACACTGACTCTTACCCAATAACTTTTATTTCTTTTTATACAGGGGGTGGGGTATATATTCATGGAGACCCTGCAGAAATGAAATACGCGCGGAAAACAAAAGCTATAGCTATGTACCCTAGCAAAAAAGGCTTAGAATTCTTCTAACAAAAAGCAAAGATCTGATCTCACCGATTGGTCCATCGGTCGATCGATGAAAGCTGAAGTAGAAAACAACAGGGAAACAAGAGTCTTCCCATATGAATATCACGGGATACATGCTGGAATGACGAAAAAAAGCCGAGCAACTCTCGGAATACACAATGAATCTCGTACCAAGACATAGGACACAGGGTTCAAACCCCCTTTGGTAGGTGGAAATTGATGCCTGAATGCCTTATTTTCTCGGCTAAAGTTCCTTTGGCCGTATCATCGAACGTTTGAATCGGGTATTTTTTTCTCAGTTCGGCTCGGGAAGATGTGAGTTTGCCGATTCCTCTACGCACAGAGCGGACTTGATATTCTCTGGTGTTTTGCCATGGGGGAAAGCATTTCAATCCCATCGGGTTACCCGAGGATTTATTGTAATCCGATGTAGGAACTATTTTATATTAGGTTCGGGAAACTGATATTTTACCGGCGCATCCTCCGAAGTAGAATCAAACACAATTAGTACTTAAACAATGCACCCCGTTAGGGGTTGGGCTGACCAAACATACACATGTGCATCATGAAGTTCTCAAATGTGAAATTCGTTGTGAACAGCTCTTCCGACTCACCAACTTTCAAACCCCACGACATAATCGATGGCAACATCCTTTTTACACCACTTCACGAAACCAAAACTGAAGACATAAGCATCACATTCAAAGGTACGCGAGCAATAGACCAAACATGGCCGTCGTGATATTGACACGGCGAACAGGCATGGCACGAATCGAAGCCGAGAACATGAATACACATCTTCCTCTGCCTTTCAGCAAAATCCAAAAACCCTTCCTAAGCATGGAGTTGCCGATTTACGACTACCTATGGGATACAAAGACCCTCAAACCTGGCAAGAGTTATCGAATGCCCTTCAAGTTCATCGTGCCCGGAGAACTTCCCATCCATGCCTGTCATCACGAATGCGCCAATCACCAAATCCAACAAGAACATCTACAGCTACCTGCAAGTCTCAGCTACCATGCCACAAAATCCCACGAAATCCATGACATGTCACCAGAAATGGTGGAAGTGGTCTATAGCATCAACCTTGCCCTCTGGCAGCGAGACGGCAAGGCGGGAAGGTCGAAGAAAATCCAGGAATCAACACATCCTGTGCAAATCCTCCCAACACGAAATGAGCATCCCCCAATCCTTGTTCCAAGCAAGAACAAGTACTACAAGCTACGAGCAGAAAATTCTTTGTTTACAGGGATGCTGCGGCATGCATGCGGCAAATTCGCTGCCTGTTCTGCCCAACCACCGGCGATTTGGATACACAGTCTCCAGCCAACGAAGATGGACGCGTCAACTTCTATAAAGATCGATCTTCGGTTTGACCCTGCTCATTTGGGCCAGTTTCCACCAAATCTTCTTGCCGCCGAATTTCAGTTGCGGGCAATGACGTTCTTTGGGATGGAGCCATGGCAAGATTATCCAGATCTCACTGATATTTCTACATGGGGTGCACGGCGAGAATTCTGGTCTGATTGTGTGGCGTTGACGGCGAACGATGAAGTACAAATGGACTGGAAGTCTCAAGCAGAAGGGGAGCGCACGATCTTCACTGCATCGATTGAGACTTCGATTTCACTGCCTACCCATCGACGATATCCACCCACTTTCCATTCCTGTTTGGTCTCTCGGGTTTACTCCCTAAAGGCAAGATTATTCTATCGTGTACATGGAAAGGCTCGGGGTAGATCATCCATATCGGTTTCTGTTCCTGTGGAGATTTGTGCAGCATGAGATACATTAGTGATGAGAGAGCCCTACAAATTGATGGTTTTTTTTGGAATGGTGTTCAATTTCCATGCGCCCGGAACCTTATAGGTTAATACTTTCGCACGAGATGCGGATTCAGGAAGTGATATCACATACAAGCCGCTAATATCCTTCTACCACAACGTTCTGTTCGACCAAGATTCAAAATTGATGCTGTAACAGCAAATTTGAGGTCCACATTCCTAACCCTCCATCTACCAATCTCATCACTTGAATGCCAATCAACAATTCCATGACGAATCTCCCATTCAGGTAACATTCCGTGATCGACATGCCATCCGTGGACTGGCATTTAATCACAACAATAACCAATACCAGCTCCCAATTACCACCTGGTAGTATTTCCCTGCCTTGATTCTCTCGTCCATGGCCTAGACTCAGGTGTTGTTTACACAAATCAGCAACTTTGGTATTCCAGCCCTCGGGGAGTACATGCATAGGAAGATTCAGAATTCCACACCCGAGATTTTATCACCGAGGCCCCTCTCGTTAGAGGATAAGTGCAGCCGATACCCCTGGCCCATCTTCTCCAAGGTTACGTCTTGCTACTGTTAGCCGGCGAATTGTTGTCTGTCTTCAACTTACCATTTTGATCGAACACATCGACTTCATCTCTTGTAGTCAATCATCTCGGGATTGCATATCTCCATCTCTACTTTAATCACTCGGTTTATTGCTGCATCCTCATACATTGGAGGTTGCTGTCTTCTCGGCCGCTCACTCGACCATCCCTTGATTCATCCAATCCGCCACAGCGCAACAACCAACGCTTCTGCCTCAGATCAATCACAGGTCCCATCATTATGGCGCTTGTTCGAGATCCATATTTCTGGAAACGGTTCTCAGCTGCAGTGCACATGGACGAAGAGTCCAAAGCAGTTAGCCAAGGAACGCAAACAAAACAAGACGCGTAAGATACCATCATCCCCTATATCTTCGGCGAACCTCAGCTCACCTCGTCAGGGCATCATGGCTTTCCCGCGAACGACGAAAGAGTAAGCGTTCAATTATATGGGGATGCGTCATTTTCCTCGCCGTGGTGTTGATCATCATTGTCAGCGTGGTTCTATCGTGGCTTGCTAAGAACAACTGGCTCCAACCTCGGTCAGATAACACTGAATAACTGGATTTGGCGAGTGAAAGCGGCTTTTGATTTGAAATTTGGCGTTCATCTAGAGTTCCTGGGCGCATTTTTGCATTGGAGATATACCCGCCGCCCGTCCACACGGCGTTTGGCATTTTGCTTAGATAGCTATATAGAACTGCATATAAAATAGACAGTTTGAACCGTCTATGCTCTATCTCGTCTATCTCGTTTATCTATGACCATAATATACTTGACCTAATCTAACTGCGCATAAACCTGCCGTAATAGGCATAGTGTGCCTGGGCGCCGGGTTTCTTATCTTCAAGTGAAATTGCCGCGCTTAGTTGCCAGCGTATAGGTTGTTGAAAGTCTTGATTTTGAAATCAAACAGAAGCAGGCATCAGGTCAAAGGAGTATATAAGTATTATACAAAAAAAAAGGCCAGGGCAAGGGTTGTCAGGTGCCACGGCTAACCTCGGTGCTACCCGATATCGCGTTCTCCACTTCTCCAATTCCCCGCATATAAGACCCGGACTTTCCCCCGTTCTCTTCTACACCAACCGCCATTATGCTTCCTCCATTTGACTACTTTGCGTACCGTCGCATACGGTAAGCTTACCTTCTCTTAGACTTACCTCGATTTAGAGCTAATATTTGAATATCTACAGGAACCAAAAACAAAGTGAACGAGAACTCCGGTTTACGGGTCTTCCCCACCACTATCACCTCCGCCTTGCCGCCGAGGACCGCAAGATCATCGACCAGCCTATTGAGGAGCTTGTTCACGATGTTCAAGACTCAGCTGTCTCTCCACTTGATATCCTCCATACCTATGGAAAGGTAGCCAAAAGGGCCCAGGAGCGGACCAACTGCATCACCGAGGTGATGCTGCCTGAGGCCGAGTCATGGCTGAAGTCAGATATTAACCTCAAGGGTCCACTGGCTGGTATTCCGGTCTCTTTGAAGGATTCCATTCACGTCAAGGGATTCGATGCAAGTGTTGGATATGCTGCTATGGCTGGGAACCCGATCTCGGAAGATGGGCCTATGGTCCAGCTCTTGAAAGATGCCGGTAAGACCAGATTCTTTGAGATACATTCTTTTATAGTTGTTTTTGATGCTGATCTCCACAGGCGCCGTCCCATATGTGAAGACTGCTCTGCCAATTACTCTGCTCTCTTTCGAGTCAGATAACGGGCTTTGGGGTCAATGCCGCAACCCGCATGTCCCCGCATACTCTCCCGGTGGTTCAACCGGCGGAGAGGCAGCCTTGCTGGCCCAGGGTGGCCGTATCGGTATTGGATCCGATGTTGCTGGCTCGGTGCGCGTGCCCGCCGCCTGGAGCGGTATCTATTCACTCCGCTGCAGCACTGGCCGCTGGCCCAAGGGCGGCGTGAGCACCAGTATGCCCGGCCAGGAGGGTATTCCTAGTGTGTTTAGTCCTATGGCCCGCACTTTGGATGATTTGACCTATTTCACTCGTGCAATTATTGGCATGGAGCCCTGGAAGTATGAACACACTGTGCACCCCATTGCCTGGCGCAGCGAGGTCGAGAGCGAGGCTCAAAACAAGCCTCTTCGCGTTGGTGTAATGACCTCCGATGGTATGTATCACCCACCTCACCCCGATGATGACAGTCAGATACTTACAAATTTTCAGGCGTCGTCCCCCCAACCCCAGCCATTGAGCGCGCCATCGCAACAACAGTGGCTGCCCTCACCGAAGCCGGCCACACCGTCTCGGAAATCACCACTCCACCAAATGCAGACCCCTTCACAGGCCTGAACCTCGCCTCACAACTGCTTAACTCAGATGGCTGCCATCACTTCAACGCCAAGCTCAAGAGCTTTGAGCCCTCCGACCCAGGTGCCATCCAACTGTCCCGCATCGCTCACCTCCCCCGCCCGGTCCGCTATCTCTACTACCTCTACGTGCGCTACATTCGCCGTGACAAGGTCTCCGCCACTCTTATTCGCGACTTCGGCCCCAAGTCCTCCGCCGAGTTGTGGACCCTGACTGCCCAGCGCGAAGCCTTCCGCGCCGCCTGGCACAAGTGGTGGGACGCCGAGCCCCAGCAATTTGATTTCATCCTATGCCCTGTCAACGCTACCCCGGCTCTCCCGCACAAGGCCATGCACGATGCCGTTTCCTCGTGCGGTTACACCTTCCTGTGGAACTTGCTCGACTACTCCGCCGGTGTTATCCCCGTCGGTCACGTAGACCCTATCCGCGACGCCCTCGCCGCACCCTATAAAACTGCCCTCAAGCGTCTGGGATGCGATCACGGCATTGCTCGCGGTGCGTGGAAACACTACGACTCGGCCAAGATGGCTGGTCTCCCCACCGCCGTGCAGGTCGTCGGTCGCCGCTGGCAGGAGGAACACGTCCTCGGCTACATGGCTGCTGTGGAGAAGGCACTGGAGCAGTACCACGATCCACAGACTGGTGAGAGCTGTCGGTATACACTACTCGAAATTGATTAAGTCGGACACGCGTGCAGTGCGTTGATTTGACGGGAAGTTCTTCCGGACTATGTACTATCCATAGTATCCTCCTAGATTGTCCGTATATGCATACAGATATGTGGCTAGATTGTATCTGGTCTAGCTGCACTGTAGGATGATTCCTTGGAGCCAAGAGAATGAAATGGTTCGAGTTCTCCCCGAACATTTAACTCTTTTTTTCTCCTGCAGGTTTAACTAGTCCACGGGATAGATGCCGTGTGACGGAGTACGGAGTAGGGATTGTGGATCTGCAGAGGTGTCTCTCGCACTTGTATTTGAATTTCCCCATCTTATATATCATTTCCCAGTTCACTAATTTCTACCTAAATATTCCATAAACACAGAGTAACATATGCAATCCGAATGGGAAAAAAAATATACTGTAAATGTCACCAGTCACTAGTCTTGAGACAATGCAGACCCTGGGCTGTCAGAAACCACTAACCCTAACCAGCCTCCTGTACATATTGTATGTATCCAACATGCCAGACTTGAAAAGTCAAGGCTAATTAGCTGTGCATTGCCTAGACCTGCCCATTGGCCTTGTCAAGTAATCTGCTGCTATTCGTCAATCTTTTCTATTTTTCCCGCTGATCTTCGGAGGCGCAGAGTCAAAGATGAGCGATATTGCGATCTGTACATTTCCGAGCCGCGTGGTTGATCGGGATTTGATTACTGTCGTGATCGAGGGGTTGGCAGATCCCGAGTGAAGTTCTGGGTTTGGATGCCTAGAAGTGGAAAAACATAGCCGAAAAAGCAAGGCCATGCATTAACCGGGAAGTAATATACATGAAATAATTGTTGGGTTCGGCCGAGGGGGGATTTAATGTCCGTGTAGACTTCCAGCTGTGCCTGAGAAGTACAGAACTGTGTCATCTTTCGGTCAGGAGAGGAATTATATCGAAGGGAAAGAATGGGGTGAAGGAGGTTATAGAGAATAATGCAAATGCGATTTGTCTCTTAAGTATATAAATTAGACTCGATGTCTACAAGCGACTAGTTCGCCACTCTGAGACAACCGGTCGACGTTCCATCTACAGCTGCTTATAGGTAAAATCCTGGAGATTTCAAGCTTTGACGTATACAGAGTATGTAGTATAGCCAGCCCTTATACTGGGCCTCTAACAGAAATTTGGGGGTACTGTGAGATAGCATATCCAAATTATGTGTAATAGTCCTTCATATTTCTTTTGGGGCTATATATGTCCACGATACTGGAATTCCCGAGGGAATGGGGGTTAGTCTATGCTATACCGGAATATTGAAAGAGAAAAATCCCCTTCGACTTTGTAGTTCGACGGGGTTCTTTTCCCAGGACTCTAAGGGCCATATGAAGCTGAGAGGTGAACTCTGATATAGATGAAAGAGACTATTGGCAGTCTAATGCAGACTCCAGAAATGCATATAATACTACAATTGAATAATAATATTCAAGTCCAATCCAATTAATAGAAAAGAAAAAGAAAAAGAAAGGAAAAAAAAGGAGTATAGAAAGTACCAAATTGATCTGCGGTCACGGGGCCAAGCTTCTTTGCTCTTTACCCTTTCACATCCCCCTCTTTCAAGGTCTTCAGAGCTATAGAAAATTTACAAAATGATTCTGTTTCTTCAATAATACCTTAAAAAACTATACTCTACCTTGAAGATCATGCATCGAGCTAGCACATACATCTCTCACCGCTTACCGGGGGATATGATCTGAAATGGCGTCAAGGAAACAACCCAGAAAAAATGATGATATCCATTTCGTCAATGCCAGACCTGCCTCCGAGACCGAACGACTGAAAGCTCAGCGTCTGGTGCGTGCGCATGTCGGGCGCTGGATCTCAGATCAAACAAAGGACCGATCCGCAGGCGAATCCTCCAATACACGCGCCCGACCTGTCCGCAATCCAGTTCCCCCCGTACCCGTCGCTAGTCCCGGTCCCTCTTATACCATTGCTTCACGCCCTTCAAGCTCCCTTCGGAACAGCCCCCGTGACTCCCGCTCCAACCAGGTTACTTTCCGCGACTCGCCATTTCCGCCCTCCCATGCTAGTGATAGCAGCGACAGCAGCAGTGACGATGCGAGTACTGTGACTGCCTTCTCCGCAGAGGCGCTCGCTGTCGCCCGATACAACAAGCGCAACTCCCCTGAGAGGCTGGAACGTAACCTCTCCGGAATATTCGACCCATTCGCCACATACCCCGCGCCGGAGAACTTCGAACCAGCGATGATCAATCTATCAGAGCGCTATCTCACAGCTGTTGTGTGGCCAGGACTGGCCCCGCGGCCACAGAATGTCAAAACTGCGGCTAACAAGTGGTTCGATCTGTCCATGGCGGACCCGGCTTTGTTCACAGCGTTCATGTTTGGTTCCCTATGTCATCTCCGTGTACAATGGCAGAATAACTGGGTGCCCGGTACGGTATTCGGCCAGAGGGAACGCCGGGCGTTACAGCTATGTGAAATGGAATCGATTAAGCTGATCAACCAGGCCGTTCGCGATCCCGATCGTGCGGTCAGCGATGCTGTCCTCCTCAGCGTTATCTGCATGGCCCATCATCAGGCAGAGGAGAAAGTGTCACAGCGGCACCGGAAAACACCATTTCATCCGCCTTTCCCGCGGCTACAATGGATCGATGTCTACGGGTGTCTGCCACCGAATATGATCCATATCAAAGGATTATTGCAGTTGGTCAAACTGCGAGGTGGCTTGGCAAAGATCCCCACAGAGGGTCTAGCCGCGACAATTTCGTTTTCGGATATCATGAGCTGTAGCGTCCTCTGTGTCCACCCGTGCTTTGATTTCTGGCCCCTCGCCGATTTCCGATTAGGCATGTCTATCCAAAAAATGCTCGGCTTCGGACCATCAGACGTCGAGCAGGGATTCGGCCGTCTACGGGAAACTGGCGTTACTCCCCAAATGGCAGAAGCTTTCCAGGCGGTGCACACTTATATCGAGATCATCAAAGCGAGCCCGAATTCCACACATGATGTCTCTTTACTCGCCGACCGGCGCAACCTAACCCAACATACCCTCCTCTGTCTCTCTCCCGCCTCAGACCTCTTCTTCTCCCATCCCACGCATGCCGCCACCTATGAAGCCTGCCGCCTAGCGGCACTAATCTTCGGGGTCGGCGTCCTCTTCCCAATCCCCGCACAGAATACCCCACTCAATAATCTCGCGCGTCTTATCTGGTCGCTCCTAATTCAACCCTCCTCCTCCGAACTGTGGTCTTCGCCATCCACTCGTCTCCCCCTTATCTGGGTCTTGACCCTCGGTGGTATCGCAGCGAACGATGCCCCCGAGCGTGCCTGGTTCGCCTCTGCTCTAGGAGATGTAGCCCGCAGGACTGGTTTGAATTCATGGGCCAGCATCAAATCCATCATCGGATCCATGTTATGGTACGACGCTGCCTGCGATCTTGCTGCAGAGACTCTCTGGCATGAGAACGCTAGCAGGTATACCTTTGTCATGGGGTGAGCAGCCCCAATTCATCTCTCATTGGGAAATTCTCCGAACCTTGAGAAGCGCGAATAACCCGCTTGCTTTCTGGATCTGCTGTCAGCTGCAATGACGCAGTCCACCATCCCTATCTCTCCCTCTCCGTCCGTCCCTACCATCATCCGTCCAATCTCATTTTCACCATCGTCATCGGAATTCTTTGAAATGAATATATGGAAAAAGAATATTGGGCTTTCTTTGGGATACCAGCGACATGGTTCAATTTGGACATGGGGCATACATAGATATACCCGACGGTGCTTTTGACCACACCGGATGTCGGGTTTGCATAAATCTACCGTCCTGTGAAACCCGAACACTGTCACCGTGACCCCCAGGGTCCGGGGCATTACTATTTCTTCCTTTTTTGGATTGCACGTGATATTTTATGGATATGCTTTTGGGTCTGGGTTTGGATTATAATATCCCCCGACCTATACCGGGGTTTCTCACGCCCTGTTGCCGCCTTTGGATGTTTGGGATACATTCGTATATAGTACGTCTCTGTTTGGTTCGAAACCATTAGAGAGATAACACATAACATCACAATGTTTTCATCACTATATTTGTACGTAGTAACGATGTGGGATTCCAGTCTTCCTTCCTATGGACCTTTCTTGGTCAAAAGTTCTCACTTCTCCTGTCCACACACTAGTTATACATATGATGTACCATCCTCATATCCAATCACATTCACATTCATGTTCATCCTTATGTATATATTGAATGTAAACAGCCTTGGAAATCTACAAGCTAGACATATTCCTCGCGTCATATGGAACACATAACCTCAAGCCCCATACCCTCTGGGCTCTTCATTCCTCAACAATGGCTCTCTCTCCCTAGTACTCCGATGCTGGTCACCATCGCCCCTCCTCCCACCTTCCAAAACACCCGTCTGATAAGCAACAAACCCAACAAGCCCTCCTCCAACACTAGCAATCAACACCGTAAGCCCAACATTAACAGGAACAGGATCCCCCCTCCAAACCCTCAACGTAAGCGCATCAAGACCTGCCTGCGCGAAATTCCCAACACCAGCAAGACAAATAATAAGCCCATACACCTTCCCAAACGTCGCAAATCCAAACACCTTAGCCGCGTAGTCCGATACAGCGGTGTAATAGAACGGTCGGTACAGCACAAAGAGAATGATATTCCCATACGCCGCCGTTGGATACGGTATACACCCCAGCACGCCGATGGTAGTCGCAGACACGACGAGAATGAATAGCACAGTGCGCGTCTGGAATTTGTCTAGGAATGTGCCGATAAAGGGGACGGAAACAAGTCCGCCGATGGGTAGGAGGATGTCGAATGTGGTGTTTATTTGTGCAGCTGCCTCTGGGGACAGGAGGTAGGTGTATTGTGAGCGCAGGGTTGCTACGAAGTAATTTATCCGTAGCATCATTAGAACAGTGAAGGCTGTTATTAGTCCGAACCATGGTGTGCGCAATTGGTACAGTGCGCTGTGGCCGTGGAGAACTCCCCAGATTCCACCTGGTGGTGGATTCGGGGTGGTTTGCTGTTGCTGTGTATGGGAGTGCGGTGTTGCGGTCCCGTGGGTTCCTCGGGGAGTGTTGAGATTGATCTCGGTATCGATGTTGGTGTGGAAGACAGAGTTGTCGATGGGGTTGTCGGATATGACGGATGCTGTGCCGTCGTCTAGGAGATCTTGGATGTGGCTGACTATACTTTGGCGACGCAGTCGTCTGTGCATACGCTGGCGCTCGCCCTCGCTGCGGTCGTTGACGGTGTCGTCTATGCGATCGCGTATCTCATCTTCGACCTGCGCTTCGGCTTGTTGTACGAGCTCACCGGCGGTTTTGTAGGATGTTGGTGGCATTATGAAGATCTGTGCTGCGATGATGAATATCGGTACTATGAGGTACGCCGCGAAGAAATTATTGATGGATACGAGGCCCTCGGTTTGTTCGCTTAGCAGCCTGAAAAGCAGGAATAGAGCACTCGAGGCATCGAAAGCGCCTGTCAGCATTGATAGGATCAGGCCTGATCGTGTGGGAAACGTATTTGATAGATGGAAGGATGGTATGAATACGAATGGTCCACCCAGTGCTAGGAATAAGTACCCTGGGATGTATCCATCGAATGGAAGGTTGCTGGCTGTTCCAAAGAGTACTGCTCCTATGGCGAGACAGATGCTGCCGATAATTCCACTAACTCGTGGTCCATACGCGTCTAGGATTGTTCCTACGGGTAGGGCTGAGACATTGGTTATTACAGCGGCGATGGTGAACATCAGGTTTAGCCTGTTACGGGTAAGTATAAGAGATCTTGAACCGGGGTGAAAAACATACCTGATCTCTTGCCCATAGCAGACATCGACGTCCTCCTCCAGCTCCGTTTGGGAGCAGAGGTTGCGATATACTTTCTCTCGAATAAGGACGGGCTTCAGAGCTGCAAAGCCGAAAACAATTCCGGCAGCTAAAAAGCAGTATACAACTGCCGTGCAAACCTGGGCTTTTACAAGTCAGCATATCCCTATCATAGATATAACAGGAATTCGATTTAACCTACCAATCCTCCTAGCAGCGCTTACTTCATAAGCACCAGTGGTATCCGCCCAAGGCGGTGTCCGCGAAACGGTCCCTGAATCCTCGTGCACAATCCGCTCCGAGGATCCTAGCCCCTGCGCTGAACCTGAGCCCGCACGTCCTTCACGGGTAGTCGTCGGAGATAACCCGAGAAAAGACCCAAAAAATGAGGATCGATCGTCATGTGGATCCTCTGGGCTCTCATTCCAGCCTGGCCCCGCATATGGGTTGAAATTCAGTCTGCTGTATGTGGAGGGAAATGAGGACGACACGGATCCCTCGGGTAAATCCTGGTATGAGTCCGGATCCGAATCCTCCGATTCGGGATGACCGAGAAAGGCTGCAGGGTTACGCTCCCATCCTTCAAGGAAGGAGATGCGATTCAAGGACATTATGGCATTACAGTTTGGAGATTAGGGGGTGAGTTTCACAATAAATGTAATTTGAAGCTCTCCAGGAGCTCGGGGAGCTCCCAAGATAAGAAACTGGGAAGTTGGCATGGGCGATATGCATGGGTGCCTTATATTCAAGGCTTTTAAGATCACAAATTCAGGCATCACTATCATAACCTCACTCTCTTCTCTTTCTCCCTCTCTTTCTCCCTCTCTTCTCTCCACAATTTACTTTCCCTTTACTTCAACCATGGATTGCAACTTCGCTGAAGTAATGATTATTAATACACATGTGGCTTTTCATTCCGGAGCATATGGCCGAAACAGGCAGCTCATAACAAAAGTCCCCCCACATATCCTGCAAAATGTCCATCGCCATATGTTTTAAAGGTTCGGACATGCCGGGTTTAACTTTTTATAGCATCGGGACTGCTCTCGGATCGCATCATCGGCATCATATACTCCGTACTCTCGGGCAACTTCCAAGATCGACAGGGTTTTGATCGGGTCCGGAGTACTTTTCCCACGGGTTTGAGATTAAAACATCAAGTCTCACACATTTCATCGGCCAAGCTGACCCACAAAGGCAACGGTGTAATGGTCAAAATATAATAAGGAACTCCCCCATGAAACATCTAAGTTTGATGTCGTAGCCACCATGTGGCTTTCTGGGGACCGAGCAACCTTTTTCTTTTTTTCCCGCAGGTTCCTGACCCAGGGCCGGTGAGACCAATCGGCAAATGAAATGAGGAAATGTTGAATAACTTCCAACGCTAATTTTGTTCCGTTGAAGCTTGTCGAACGCCTTTCACATCTTTTTTTTCATTTTTAAATTTTTTTTTTCAAATTGCACTGACAAACCGGAGAAGGATTACCAATTTATGCCAATCCTCCGGGTTTGGATGGAGACCATCCCGTTTTGAATTTTATATTATTGGTTGATGTCTGAATAAGTAGTCTGCTCCTTAAAATAAATCCACTTTACATTGAGATATTGAAGACTATGGCCAAAAGGGAAAAAGGGAGTCTGGGCTACACAACGGAGTACTCCGTCCGTATAATAAACTCACTTGGCATCAATTATTATGCCGAGAACCCGATGCACACCGGAACATGACATGTCCCAACATATTTCTGGTTAGGTAACGATCAGAGCCTTTCAATTGGGGGAATAAAACTTTAGTCTACGTGGGGGAGCCGATCATCCAACCAGGACGAGTAGATGCCTGCCTAGACTCTGCAGTGGAGATTGAACCTGATGAGACCGGCTACTGAACGTTTACCCATTCGAGTTATCCCCAGTTTTGAGCCAATTTGAAGTTAATTTCCAGTCGAAACCCATCTTACAGTTCAACCACTGTTAGCTCTGCTCTTCTCAAACTAATCTCCAACTAAAACCCACGGAGTAGTTGGATATACCCCAAAAAATATACGCAATCCGTTAGTTATCTGCCAATTATTCTGTTCTTCCTCCCCCTCCCCCCCCACTCACCTCCGCTTGTCTATGGGCTTCTCCAATGGACATCGTTGTGGATAGGGTTGATAGGTTTGATAGGAAGACTTGCCCTATTTACATATCTCAATACCCTCGGGCCTGGCATTCCAAATATGCTTTCTGGAAGCCTTCCTTGTTTGCGATTGGACTTTTGACTGCGTAATGAGGGGATGGTCAGTTCTATTTGATTCGTTGCATACAATTCTCAACTAACACCTTTTCAGCCTCACATGTCGTCTGCGCCATCTGAAATGTACGTTCAAGGCTTCTCCAGTCTCTTCCCCTCGACTGACAGAAATAGGTGACAAATCCGGTTCGAAATGTATCCGTTGTCAACGCTCTGGCCGCGAATGCGTGCCGGCCCCCGGCAAATCTGAAGAAGTCTCCTTCCGACACGGCCAGAACCCATCCTTGCGAGGAAAGGGACCCCCGAGATATGGGGAGAGCGATCTTGCTTTTCCGGACGACCAAATTTGGGTTGCGACCTCTTCCGACTGTATGTGGAATTATCTTCATGTCTATCAGTATACTAATTTCTTATAGTCGACTTCAAGGATGAAACAGATCAGACGGCAGCTGAATACTATGTTGTACCTGTGACAAGGCAGGCGTCAGCTTCAAGATCGTCCTCTGAACGTTCGACGCCTTCATCTATGATGGATTCTTCTTTGACGACACCAAATCTCGTCACTCCTGCTTACGTCGCGGGATCCCAATTGGGTTCTAGATCGAATTCAGTGAATTCTCCGCGTGCACCTACCACGCCTATTGGCCAGCCGAGGCTATCTAATATCACCGAAGCCTTTCTGCTGCGGCATTTTCAAAAGTACCTTGCCCCCTGGGTAAGTCGGTCCTTGTCAAATTCTTCAACGTTTAATCTAACAGCTCAGCTCGACGCATTTAACCCCGAACGACACTTCTCAACGGATGTGATTGAACGCGCGACTCAATCTCCATTACTACTGTATGCATGTCTAGCTGTCTCAGCATGTCACCTCTCTCGAACAACAAACTCGATCGCCGTCGACGTGGCACACGGATATCATGAGCGCTGTATCTCAATCATGCTACCAGTCCTCGACAAGCCCGAGTTTGAAATTGGAATCGAAATCCTCCTGTCGTCAACTGTCATTCTACGATTTTTCGAATCAATATCCTGTGCGTGGACCACAAATTCATCATCCTCCACGCAAAATAACTCCCCCCGGCTAATACACCCAACAGCCCACAGTCCCCCAAATGACCAACAACACCATCTCCTGGCCGGTTCAGTTTATGTCAGCTCCCATGTAGATTCCGCTATCACGGGCGGACTGGCTTCGGCTTCCTTCTGGGCCTATGTCATTCAAGACATTCAATTCGCGCTTACCTACCAGAAATGCCTTCGACTATCATTCGCGCCATTCGATGACCGCCTGCGACGCTGGTGGGTCGCCAAGCCGGCCTTGAGCGACGGCGACTGGACAAACCGGGCTATATGGCTTTTAGCCGAGACTATCGATTTTTGTTATAATATCTCAGGCCGAAGCCATGATGGTAGACTCGGGAGTGCCGGGGAGACTGCGCTTAGGCATCGCATTCTTGAGTGGGAGATTGGCCGACCTGATACATTTGTGCCGTTGCATGTTTCGCCACCGGATCCTGGAAATGGGAAGCCTTTTCCCGTTGCTTGGTATACAAGCTTGTGGCATGGTATGTGACATATTCCCGTGTGGGGAGTGATATGCTAATTTTAGAGTCTAGCTACTGCGATTCAGCACATCTGTCTCACTAAATCGCTGATGCTGATTCGAGAACTCGAATTTTATGATCGGAACATGTTGCATTTAGAGCAGCCTGTTAAATTAAGGGTATGTCTTCTTTCTCCGACAAATCCGGTTCCATGCTGACCCCGACAGAATGATCTCGCCAGAACGCTTAATTTCATGTTCGGCATCGCCACATCTGCCGACGACGATCCTTCGCTACGCATTACAGCTTGCCACGCACTTTTTGCTTGTAGGTTCTGTGCGACTTTTATGATTGGAAGTTTACTAATATGGTCACAGGCGGTTCATGGGTGGAAGACCCTGTTGTCCAGAACTTGCTGATTGATCTCCTTCGCCGAACGGAAAGGGAGAACGGCTGGCCGTGGGGGTATGTGCACAACCAAGTCGTGCAAGCGTGGAGGCCGATGTAGTCAAAAGTTATATACCCAAATTGTTTGCATATACCTATAGACCAATTAGAACCGCCGACCGTGTTATGAGGTTCAGGTAGCTATACTGATCTAATTTTACTAGATATATATATCTGAATTCCAAGGTAACGATCATGCAAAGTATACACTAATCTTGATGGAAGTAGCCTTGCTAGGCACATTCTTTGAGAAAGCGGAGCACTTCGCCAAGTGAGAAAGAGAGTAGCCCCCATAAAGAACTTTATTTGCGATGGGACAAGCCATAGGTGATCTGCTGCAGCTTAAAGCACATGTTCCTTCCCTGAAGTCATCCTCGTCAAGGTCTATATATCCTTGCTTGATAATGTTCCTGGGAACAATGGCAAACCCGCGCCCTGTATTGAAAAGTCAGTCTCGACATCCAAAATAAAAACGGAACGCGGAAAAGGGAAGCAGAACCAACCGTGAATAGACTTATCACTGGCGATGCGTAAAAAGCATTCTACTGAGTCATCACTGTGCGCAAACTCAGAGCCCTGGGCAGTGAGCTGGCCACCTAAGGTCTTGACCACCTCCCCAGTCATGATGGGTGTGGCGATGAACCTATTTCGGTGACATTAGGTGTAATACTCAAAGTCTGAACCTTTCAATTGTATGACGGAATGGGTGTATTACCATGGGGCCACGATGTTGACTCGACAGCGGCCAGTATGCCTCAGAGATCGCATAATTGCTCTCACGGCAAACTTTGTGGATCCGTCAGATGGACGGGCGTCAAGATAGCCCATAATACTAGATATAAGAATCAAGCACTTGTCCTGCTGGGTCGAATTTCCTGGCCATTCGACACTGAAGTGGTGTAATGCGAGCCGGGCCGTGTATATGACTCCAATCAGGTTGATCTCGATGAGACTTGTATCCGGCTTCTCGATTTCGCGATCGTCAACTGTCGAATTTAGTTTAGTATAGTAATGCATACTCAATATATGTGAATTCTCATATTGCCTCGAAAGAATGGATCGTCACCCGATATGCCCGCATTCGCAATAATCACATCAATGCGTCCATTAACAGAGCTGGCAATCGCAGCGTTAAAAGCCGCCTTTTGTTCGTCCCAGCTTCGGACGTCGCATTGAACGAATTGAACAATTCTATGATTAGCCATGTTGAGCCCATTTGTAATGCAGGAAGTATATCCTTCTGAATAGCTTACCCTGGCAGTTTCAATTCATCTCTAGGGGGCCTGATGTCTGCATTTGTGACAATTGCACTTTTTGATACCATGAGAGGGCTGTAGGCTACCACTGAATTTCCGTTAACTTACCCAGCGTTTGCGAAGGCTTTGAGATACTCGTTATCCTAAGCCGCTACTACCTTTGTTTGGCTCCGGGGTTAGGTACTTGTACATATCAACATGATATTCGTGCGTTGTAAAACTCACCACCTGTAATCAAGACCGACTTCCCCGTGATACAGTTCAAATCAAAAGGAATTGAGCAGCCGATTGGCCCCGAATTCTCATATTTGGATAGCATGGCGATTATTGAATTTGTTTTGTGCTGGTGGAGTATCTGATGGTGGCTTTTGCTGGGTTATTGCTTTGTATTAAATATGATTCGATACGGAAACCATTGGATTGCCTTTCCTACGGTAATAACTTGCCGCTCAAACCGTTACCAACATATAGCTAGGAATGCCGACTGCCGAAATGCTGTGATTCCGCGGAACGGCTAAGTCTAAGGCTCGCGCAGTATGAAACTACCATATGATGCCACGAGCCGAACATGTATCGAGAGGTGAACAATATTTGCAGAGTTAGGATAACCGTGTGGCATTAACTTGCTCTATCTAGTACTTCTAGGATCTTGAAGGGCACGAGGATTGATATAAAGCCAGTCGAGATGAAGTTTTATCGCAGTCGGGTCGCCTGTTTTCTGCTAAGTACATGTATCTGAAGGATAAATGAATATATCTACTTATTGTAGTAATTCCATAGAGACAGTATCTGGCCATTATTAGAGGGTGTATCGGAACGATGGTAGACCCTCAATAGGCTTCCCTCCACCCTCCACCCTCTTGTTTGCCCGATGATACTTCAAGACCAGAAGCAAACTGATGGTAATAATGAGACCATTTGCTAGTATAGTCGCAATTATACCTGGCTGATAATCAGGGGCATCCCCAGTGCGAAAGACAGTGCCACCAATGATACCTCCAACCCCGCCAGCACCAACACTCAATGCAGATGTCATCGCTCGCTTCCACTGACCTCGGACATTGTTGGATTGCCAAGAAAGGGTGGATGGTAGGTTAGACGAGCCCGACGCAGTTACAATGAAAGCACCCACAAGTCGACTTGCTGTATGGGATGTGAAGCCGAGGAGGCATAGTCCTGTCATCGTTCCAGTTAGATAATTGTACGATTGCAAGCAAAACGGGATTTATATGGGAATTTACCAATGATAGAACATGAGCAGTTGAAAATCACAAAGGGCGATCGGATGCGTAGCCTGTCCGACATCCAGCCCAAGAGGACCATCCACAGACATGCCAGAATATATGGTGGAGCGGTCAAGCACTGTGATGCCACCAATGAGAACCCCAAACCCTCACGTAGAATGATGGGAAGGAAATAGATGACAGCATAATTTGTCGTGGTTGTAAGACAGAAAATGGCCGCATGAGCCCAGACCTTCAAATCCGCTGTACTACGGATGTATTAGCGTATATTGAATTCCTCTGCGTAAGTGTCGCTGCGATCCGTTTCAATTTGCGAGACGATAAATTGCGCCTCCTTGGGGGTCAGAAAGGAAACCGACCATTTTGGCACGCCGTGCTCGAGCACGACTTCTGGGAAGTCCACCACAAAAGGCGAACATATCATGGTCGCTACACAAGTAATAATACCAAACATGATAAAGATCCAACGCCAACCAGCGATTCCGCCTTCATCAGTCTCCGACGTCCACCAAGATGGTCCGGATCCGTGCCCAGCGAGTTGAGAGAATGCGTAGGATAGAATACCCGTAAACGCAGAGGCAAGGGTACCAATGAAGTAAAATAGAGCCACGCGCTGCTGGAGCTCATACCGAGGGTACCAACAGGTCATCATGTACAGAGACCCAGGAAATACGCCAGCCTCGAATAATCCCAGCAGCAGACGAAGGGGAACCAAGTCATACCAATGCCGAACAAACCCTAAACAAATCTCTGTTGTCCCCCAGAGCAAGGCAATGGACGTGAAATAGGACCTAGCACCCATCTTGCGAAGTAGGATCACGGCCACTGGCTGGAAGCTGACATATGTGATAAACATGAACAAGACTATCATCGAATAACGTGTACCATCCAACTTCAGGTCCGTTCCCATTCCGGCTATGTTGGCATTGCCAAGGTTGTTTTTGTCAACTTGGCTGAGCATGTATAGCACACCCAGGACGCAGGTGACCCGTATGTCGATCTTGCGTCGTAGTTTGGTTTGCTCTGATGCATTCAATAAAATGCTGTCGGGGGGAATGTCGTCCACGTGTTCAAAGGAGGTCTCTGGTTTATCCATGTTGGAGTAAGATGGGTTGTCGATAACTGACAAGGTAAAATGAAAATGAAAGGAAGATAGAGGGCTGAAAGGGATGCTCTTCCTCTTTTGAACCTTGAGGTATAAGTAGAAACAGAGCAGATATCTACTAATCCCCCTTACCCCAGACAATAGATAATTAGCTTTCGGTTACGAGTGCCGGGTTCAATCATTTGCCGACTGCCTATAGCCATGGCGAAACTCTAGATCCTTGGGGAGTTCATAAAAATAATATTGAATTATGTCCTATCTCGAGCACTATCAGGAGTAACCATGACTGCCAATATTCCATAACAGATCCGACTAAGAAAATGTGATGCCTGTAAATATTAGCAACGAATAATCCGGTACGCGGCAGTAGAAACCTACCACCATCACAGATCATGGATTGACCGGTAATATTTCTAGACTTTGGACTGGCTAGGAACGAGACAAGGTTTGCGATGTCTTCCGGTGTCTATTTCCAGTTCAAAATTAGAATCAAAGGGAAATCAAGAACAGATAACTTACCGAGGCGCGTTTGAGGGCAGACCGAGCCTGGATGGACTTCTCAAATGCCTCTCCCTTGGCTAGGCCATCTCTCTTTGCAACGCTTTCATCGATCTCTTCCCACATCTGCCGTAAACGTTAATATTTTGTCCAGTTCAAGCTTTCCGAAGTTTCTTACCGCAGTACCGACTGGTCCGGGACAATATGCTATGACCATTTTTTAGTTCACCTATGGAGTAATTGAGGTACAGAATGTTCATACCGTTAACCTGCAAATGATGTTAATTGGAACTTCAATAATCGTGCACAGAAGGCCATACATACATTGATATTGTACTGAGCGAGGTCAAGAGCAACTCCCTGGGTCAGTCCTCTGACAGTCCATTTACTCGCCGAGTATGCCAGGGCATTGCCGGACTGCATGTTTTCATAAGAAAAATATATTCATTTGCTGAGGAGATAAACGTACCGGACGATAGCCGGCAATGGAGCAGGCACCTATGATCTTTCCTCCCTTCCCCTGAGCCACCATTTGACGGCCTAACGCGTTTTGATTTAGTTTGTGTTGGAGATGCACGTATTCCCATTCACTCACCCGCTTCGCGATAACAGAGAAATGCGCCCGTAGCATTGACCTAGTCACCAGTGTTATTGAAAGGATAGTCAATAAAGGTGCTTCTTGCAGGTACACCTACCGCTTGAACCCTTTCCCACTCAGCTAGAGTAAGATCAAACAGTCGTTTGGGCACGATTATGCCAGCATTAGCAACCATCACCTGTCCATTACTAAAGGTCAGTATCTCAGAATAATGAAGGGAGTCAAGTAGGAAGTCACACATTCAGCTCGCCAAAACTGTCAACGGTTTGCTTGATCATGCTCTGAACGTGGTCTTCCTTGCTGACATCACCTGTAACACAAATGGCACGTCGTCCTAGCACAATTTAAGATATTTGTTCTAACATAAAGTCCAATAAAAGAAAGGTTTGATACCTTTTTTCTCAATTTCTTCCTTTAGTGACTCCAAATCTGGAAGTTGCGCTGGGATATCGTTGACCTATTGAACCAATTAGAGATGTAAGAAAACATTGAAAAAAAAGGGAAAGGGCTAGCGAACTTACTGCAAGATTCATCCCATCATCCGCTAGCTGAAGGGCAATGGCCCTACCGAGTCCTCTCGAAGCGCCGGTTACAATCGCAACAACCATGATGAAAAATTTAGATTGATTTGAGAATGACCTTGTGGAATTATGATTTAATTTCATCCATATGGTGGCATTTGCATGTATTTATCTTACTCTATCATCGATGCCGTGCCATCGTCTCGTTTCTGTCGGGACTGTGCGCGGCATTCGGTAGACGGTAATTGAAACTTAATCAAGGAAAACCGAGGCAGAGCTTGGAGTTCTGCATGCAGATTCACAGGCGATAGAAATCTAATAAGGTATTATTTTCTTGGACTAGTTAGAAAGCGACCGTTCGGCACTATATGATCTAGGAGAGGTTATAATGATGGATGTAACCTATGTGCATATAATATCTAGCACCATTTGACTCACCCTATGTATAGAATGAATTGCCATTATCCTGAGGGCTGAAAGAAAGAGAATGAGAAAGGTTGGAATTTCTATAGAAACTAGGGGACTAGCGCTACTTTATAGTTAGTTGAATAACTATAAGCAGATCCCACAGCGAGGCATTTATCAAACAGGAATGTAGTTTGAACTGACAGAACATCAAGCACTATGAGGATGATCAATAATCTGCTTAACTGCCACGTCGAAGTCTCCAAGGAAAGTCCACAGTGTTTTCTCCCGCCAATTCTTCTCCTTCCAAGCATTGGCCGGCAAGGGAAACAGATCCACACACTTCAACAGGCTAGGATCGTGAGCATATATAAACCAGATATTGCTGTCAGCGTCGGCCACCTGCGCTTTCTCGATTGTATTAATGGCCTGTTTAATATCTAGCCCCATGCCTGGTCGGAAGAATGGCTTATCCAGCGATCCAGTCCGTTGAATTAGCAACTGCTCGTATGCCGAGTCTCCGGGACATGCAAATGAGATGGGAGAAGTCATGTTGCTGGGTCGAATATCATGAGGAATTCGCATGTGCTTCGATGGCCTAATCTCCCCACTGTGGTGGCAAAGGTCACCTCCCATGAAAATGAATGTGTCGGGGTTAGTCGTGGTACGTGCCAATGCACCAAGGTGGCCGACTGCATGACCAGGACTGTCTATGATATAGAATGAACCATCACCGAAATAATCAATAGCTTGGAAGTCGCCAACTTGGACAGAGTTTGAGAAGTCTAGTTCCCGAACATTCCGTCCACTTTTGTAGAGAGTTAGCATTATAATATTTGGCAGGAAACGCTTCTGAAAGACTTACGCAAAATCACTTTCGCGCACAGGAGCATCTTGCTTCGCTGGATAACCAGGGAAGAACTCAGCCTTGAACCCAGGGCCAACAATGAGTTCAGTGGAAGAAGGATACCGCGATGGGTCACCAAGATGATCCCAGTGCCAGTGGCTGTCGAATACCAAACTATCAGCACTTGCACAATAATAAACGAATAATATACTCACCTCCAGATAATAGCGGAAATTTCATCCGCCGTGACGCCATTCTTGTCAAGAGTGTCAATCACCTCTTCCTTGACATCGATTTCCCATCCTCGCTCTTCAAGACGTTGAGAGACTATCGGCGCATACGAGTGCCAATCTTTCGGAACTCCAAGATCAAATAAAATCTTTTCATTTGAAGGATGCTCGATCAGGAATGACCATGACGGAAGCACAGGCATATAACTCATCCCCTCCATTGGAGGTTCCATGAGAAACTCCAGTCCGAGGTTGCCAATCCTAGTAGTAGAATCGACGATTCGAACCTGGACGGTCTGGTTGCCTGGTGGCACGATGAAGTTTGAGAGCGACATAATTAAGTGATAACAAAACCAACTCTCAAGATACAAACTCGAGTTATATCTATTAGATATACCGAGTGCCGGGCCAAGCCCTAACTATCTGGGGTGCCGAAAATGCGGGGTACATGGGGGCCTCAGATTTTCTATCAAGATCTCTTCTTTCAATTTAAATATTTACCATTGCAACAATGCCGGAATATGTGCGACGACGTGCAGGTATCGTATGTGTTCAATGTCATACACGTAAGGTGAGTTTTGAGGTCGGAGAATGGTTCCTTTTAGGCTAACCCGACGGCTAGGTCAAATGTGACCTGCAGCAGCGACAACCTGGACCATGTCTGAACTGCCACAAGATCAAAGTGCCGTGCCAGTTAGTGCGCCGCTAATCTTGAATGAGGCACAATTGCTGATCTTGAGAATAGGAAACGCCGAGGACTGCGTAAAGAGGGACAACAATCTGCGGCAAACTCGACTCCCGTCCTACGGGTACCGGCAGAGTTGCCGACAGTGAGCGAAAGTGAAGCTGTCCAACACCAAACTGAATCACCCGACAAATTTGTGGGATATCTCGCCAAGGAATCATTTCTTTCCAATACATGTGACCAAGATATCAATGAGGTCGAAGCTGCCATATCTCAGGAGCCGGATCCGCTCACTCTGAATTCCGCTTTGACCCTTGCTCCAGAGCCGATGTTCAATGCCTTTATCGATGCCTATTTTATCAACTTCTTCCCATTGGTGCCGGTTGTTGATCGATCGGATATCATGGTACCCTGCGATTCACCTCTGCTTATACAATGCTTGTGTATGCTTGGCAGTCACTACCGTTACCCCCGGCTGTCGTTCGTCCCGACGGCTGAATCATTCTATAGCAAAGCCAAAACATTGGTGAATAACAACTATGAGAAGGATAGCCTCACTACCTTGAAAGGTTTGTCTCTAATTGCCTGTCGGAGTGCCGATTCACCGACAAACGTCAGCCTTGATAGTCCATGGCACTGGCTTGGTGTGGCCACACGTTTTGCCTTCAATATGGGTCTACATCGTGAGATGACGTACCAAGGAAAACCCGCCGCGGGGATGAGCCGAAGGATCTGGTGGAATCTCTTCGTAAGTTGATGCTCCAATCATACCATTGGTTCAAATGGAGTAATCTAACTATCTCCAGAACCAAGACAAATTACAATCTCTCTGTTACGGGCGCCCCCCAGCAATACGTCTGCATGAGATCGATGTGAGTCTGCCTACTTTGCAGGACTTCTCTGTGCCCCATCCTGACAACGAGGCATTTCTCCAAAGAACAAAGATTTGCATTATTTTGGGAAAGATTTCTGATGCTCAATATGGTCGACATCAACCTTCAATACGCGAAGAAACGACAAACATTGACGAGTACCTGAAGCAGTGGGTTGACGAACTCCCACAAGACTTACGGCTCTATGAGTCCGATGCTCAGACTCGTGCACCTTACCGACGAGCCGCATCGGAGCTGCACATAATGTATTTTACCTGTATCATTCTCTCCTACCGCTTGACTGAGAGCGCGCGTCTTGGCTCGGTATCTCTCAAGGTTTCCATAGTTGCCGCGTCTTGCATGCTGCAGCTGTTCAAGGAGATCTATTATCGAAACGAGATTGCCTTTCTCCTTTCAATAAACAATTGGTACTGCATGGTTGCCAGTGTGCCCCTCATCCATGCCATTCTGGAATTTCCAGAAGACGCTGCATTGTACAGAGAGGAGTTGAATATGTTGCGCCTCGTGCTCCATGAGATGACCCATACCTCACCGAGCACCAAATTCATCATTAATAATATCGATCGTGTCCAGCGGTCTGTCTTGGCGACACCCAGTGAGGAGCTCAATTCAAGACCTTCTCTTGCATTGACCAATGCGGCATTCCCCGAAACTCGTGATGCTATATTCTGGACTCGATTTCGTCCCGTGGAATCGTGGCTACTGTTTCCGTTTCCTTCTTCCATCAGCCCAAGTATGTATCTTCTTCAATCGGTCGCTCAAATCAGCAAAGAGACCGCCTGTGTCGAGGTGGCTGTGGACTCATTACCTGGGGAGGAACAGAGAGCAGGAGAGGAAGCAGATTACACAGACTTTCCTTTCAACTTTGATTTTGGAAATGTACAAATGGACGACTTTTTGCTAGCAGCTTCTGATGTCGATATTCCTGCATTTGAACAAAGTCTTCTACCTTAGGTTTACTAAATGGAAATCATGTTTGACAAGATATATGTGTCTCAATAATGTATGTAAATAGCATATACACCGATTTCTGCACTACCTAAGATGGCTTTCTCTTCCCTTCCCACTGCGTAGAAGACATATATACTACTAGAAGAATTGCGCAAAGGCAGTGTTTGTGGTGCTGTTTTGTGGCCTGAAGGATCGGGCACGATGACAGCACCTGTTTGCTAGTAGATACACCCTCCTGTCTCTCTCTTGATTCCCCCTCTTGTCCATCCTGTGCTACAGGAAGACATTGTTTATCCTTCCATCTGAGTCATCGTTTGTGTAGCGATCTCCAGAATCGCCGACTGTGAAATGTTCAATTTGTTGGCCTGAGCCGAAGCCAATCCCAGCACATGTTGAATCGCCTATCCAAATGGCAAAACCCGGTATGATGGGCGCTTGGCACGGTCAGTAAGGTATAATTTTGGACAAATACCCTGTTCATTACATAAAATGAGAGGCCCACGGTATCGGTATTCGGTACTCAGGACATCTCTGCCGAACAATACTATCGGCCAATGATCCTGCTAATATATATGTAGGCAATACACACAAAATACATACGATATCCAGTCTCATCAATTCCTGGACAACTTACTGTGTTCCAAGATGACTATCCTGCCATACACCACCCGAGCGGCTGAGAGCAGCAGCCAAGATGAGTATACTGTTCTCGAAGAGCCACTGGGTGCCACCCGTCATATTCGCATTGCTACAATCGGGGCTGGAATCAGCGGTTTGAACATGATACGGGCTTTGCGAAAGACAATGTCAAACTACGAGCATGTCGTCTACGAGAAGAACCCGGAGGTAGGAGGTACTTGGTACGAGAATCGCTATCCCGGGTGCCAATGTGATCATCCCTCGCACAACTACCAGTTTACTTGGAAGCCAAATCCGAGATGGTCGCAGTTTTCTGCGAAGAGACCGGAGATCCAGGAGTATATTCTTCGCTGCTGCGAAGAGGAAAACATGCGTCCTGAAATAAAGCTCTCACACCAAATAGTTGGCGCCTGGTGGGATGACGCCGCCAGCCAGTGGAGTTTGAAAATCCGCAATCTGGTCACGGGGGCAATGGTGGATGACCATTGCGACTTTCTTCTGAACGCTACCGGGATTCTGAAGTAAGTTCTCGTTTTAGTCTTAGACGTGATCGTTGTACAGCGACTAATTCCTGCGCAGTAATTGGAAATGGCCGAATATCCCGGGACTAAATGACTTCAAGGGAGATCTTGTCCATAGCGCTGCTTGGAAAGAGGATTTCCAATACCAAGGCAAGCGAGTTGCTGTCATTGGAAATGGGTCTTCGGGGGTGCAGATTGTGCCGTCGATTCAACCAGGTAAATCATTTCAACGCTTATGTTTACTTGATTTCTAACTTGAAGTTCAGATGTCGAGAAGCTTGTACACCTTATCCGCTCCCCAACTTGGATAGCTCCTCCTCAAACCGAGCGAATGCTGAAAGGGGCATCTGCTGAGGTCATGAAGTCGGCGCGCATGGATGGTGAAAAGTTCACACCAGAGCAAATAGAACATTTCGAGCAGGATCGGGAGTATTATCGTTCTTTTATCAAGGCCACAGAAGAGCAGGTCAATGCTCGCTTCCGAACGGTACGTTCCACACATACTCATGATTTTATTACAACGCCCGTGAACAGGACATGAATTGCTGATCTGATATACAGATGGTAAACAACGATGGACTTGCAGATCAGCTACAGCAGAGTCTTGTGGCCCATATGAGAGGTGCTCTAAAGGATGACCCCGACCTTATCCGAGCAGTTATCCCAACTACCTTCCCTGCTGGCTGCCGAAGACTCACCCCGGGTCCGGGATACCTCGAGTCACTCAGTGCCACCAACGTGAGGGTTGTTACAGAAGGTATCCGAAAAGTCCTACCTGGCGGTATTGAGCTCATTTCGGGAGAGTTTGTGGAATTGGATGCCATTATCTGTGCAACTGGATTCGACGTCTCATTCTGCCCGCGCTTCCCCATTGTTGGGAAGAATGGTCACAACCTGCAAGATATTTGGACCAAAAACCTCCCTGCTGCTTACATGTCCTGTACTGTTGCCGATATGCCGAACTATTTTGTGTTCATGGGCCCCAATGCACCGATCGGCCATGGTAGTGTGCTCAGCATTGCGGAACAAGTTGCCAGGTATATTGTGCGCATGCTCAAGAAATGCCAGATCGAAAATATCAAATCGGTCACTGTTCGCGCCGAAGCGGTTAGGGAATTCACCCAGCATACGCACACTTTCCTTCCGCGGACTATCTGGGCGGGCAATTGTCGCTCGTGGTACAAAAATGGAACTATTGATGGTCCCATCACAGCTTTACATCCTGGAAGTCGAATTCACTGGTTCCATATGATGGAAATATTCCGCCCGGAGGATTATGAATTTGAGTATCAATGTCCAGGAAATCGATTCCAATTCCTCGGAAATGGCTTCTCTGTCAGAGAGGGCGCGAAGAACCCGACGTGGTATTTGGAACAGCTGGATGACTTCTCGGAAGCTTTGTTTCCCAGTTAACTTTGCCTATTTTGTATTCTTTCTAGAGAACAGAGATGCCACCAGATTGTAATATGAACTTTCCACGGTGATATGATATTTTAGGCAAATTCCCGGTAAAATCTAAATATCTTGAACCTTGACTTTGGACCTAAATAGAGAAACTCCGTGGCATATAACATACGTAAACATATGACACCAATCACTGATTGAGCTTAAGGAGTCTTGTTGCGTTTCCAAACGCAATTTGTTCCTTCTGCTGTTCGGTCAACTCTGTTATGCTATCGAACCACTTCGCGCCCTCGTCAATTGTTTCGTATGGATAGTCAATGGAGAACAAAACTCTGTAGGGAAGATCAGAAAAACGTAAACCGCTAGTTTGGGCCTGTAGACAGCTTACCGGTCAATTCCCAGTTCTTGAACCGCAAACATTAAGGAAGGTGTTCCGTAGTGTCCACTGGTGGTGATTGATATATTCTATATTATGGATTAGTTCATTATATCATTGCTTAGATTAAAAGGGCACCGTACGGTTTTCATGGTCTCCCGGAGAGTTCTTTTTGCTTTTGGTACAAACCCTTCTGTATACAGACTCATGCGATGGTCGAAACGCCATAGTTGGTACGGGATGTGTTCACCCATGTGCCCAATGATAATTTGAAGGCGTGGGAAGCGATCAAATACTCCATTGGCATAGAGTCCTAAAACGTGGAGTGAGACTCCTTCAAGTCGGGGTTACTGTCAGCACAAACCGTCGCGTCATATATATATACGGTAAAATAAATCTCAACCTACCAACACTGAAGAAATAGGTACTACCTCGTAGCCACGGTCTTCCGGTGAGGAACAACTCAGTGGCAGCAGGGGTAGTCAATCTAGGGTGGATGTACAGAGGTACATCAAGCTCCTCGACCTCCTTCCAAAACACATCCCACTCCGGTTGATCATAGAAGATAGCGCCTTCTCCATCAGCTCCGGTCGTTTGAAAATCGTTAACTAGAAGTCCCTGAAATCCCAATTCTTTGATCGCACGCCTAGCCTCCAAAGCTGCAACCTGCGGATCGTGCATGCTCAAAGCGCCAAAGCCTCCGAACCGCGAAGGGTTTTGACGAATGCTATCTGCAAGGTAATCATTTGCTCGCACGGCTAGGGCTTGGGCTGCAGCGGGATCTCGTTGATCCTGAGGGCCAGCGGATGTAAGAGACAGTACCATGTAGGATATCTCATTCTCATCCATTCCCCTCAGACGTTGGTCATGGATATCTACCAGATTTGCTGTCAAGTCCGAAGCACCATTGGGAGCTGTAAAATTATTACTGTTTGTTGCGAGGTCGGGCAGCTGGAACGCCTCCTCCAGAGCAATCTTGCGGATTTTTTTGACCATTTCGGAAATGATTATTCGTTGTCTCTGGGAACCCTTGGATAGCTAAAAGAAAATAAAAAAGCGAAAAAGGGAAAGCTTCTTGAGTACGGGGGATTCTGAATTTAATGTGATAACTACGGAGAACGAGAAGGTGACGGAGTCCGCGAAGCACGTCTGTTATCAATAGTGCATCAGACTGTTTCCTAAAATTTTCGACTTTTATATAGAATTGGCGAAAAGGTATATAGTATACTCGGATCATAAAGAGGCAAAATCTGGACTGGCGCACTGGCAGTAATAGACTACCACCTATGTTCCAAATGCTCAGTTTGAACTGGTCAACTACATTCCCTCAAGAGATCTAGCTAGGGTGAATAATTTGACAGTATAAATACTTTCATGGAAGCCGTTGTACAAAATTGAATAGTCGAGATAACCTCAACCTCGGCTCTACTTATACACTTGGAAGTTCTTTCGCATAGTCCAACTTGCTTATCACCTGTATTGCTTATAAACTCCTAGTCTTATATATCCGACCATTGGATAGAAATGAGTTACCTTTCTTTGAGAACGGTATAAGGGAGCGGACTCCGCTATGCCACTCGGAGGCCGCCTACTTTTTATACTTTCCCCTCTTCAATATGTAGTTAGCAGTTGCGGGCATTTAGCCGGGACTCATATACATTGCTTGACCGACAAATGTGAAGCCCTAGGTATTCAGGGTTCATTTCGAAGTATATGTTTCGAAAGGCTCAATTCCGAAGCTTGCGCTTGCTCATTGGGGCAGTTAATTTAGTTTATTCAGAATATACTAGCTTTCTGTTGGATAAATATTGTATCAGTTCAAGGATAGCCCTAATATGAGCATGCCAACATATCTTTCTAAGACTTCAAACCCCATTCCTACGGCATCCATTGGAAGGTTATCTGAGTTGCCAATATAATACGATTGAATTGAAATCCTATTTATCAGAAGAAAGAGATATTTAGATTATGTGACAGAAACAGCGGTTTGACAACGTATGTACGAATCAGTATGTAGTTCTCTAATGACAAAACTGCCTTCAAGACAATCTGAAATTAAGGTCTGGGGGCACGACCATTAGCTGCGGCCACAAAATGACCCCAGCTAATCAACTCCTTGGTGCAGTCATCACGGTCAATGACACATTCAATCAGACTGGGTCCATTTCGGTTCTTTTTCGCGGATTCAATAGCTGCATGTAGCTCTCCTGCGGTGGTGGCGCGGAAACCGCGACCATGACCATCATTGGCGTTAAACGACTCGACGAATGCGGCATAGTCCCAGTTCTTGATATTGTTGTAAATACCATCATGAATCTCGACCTCAATGGTGTATCCAATGTTATTGATCAGGAAAATAATCATGGGAATGCGCAATCGGGTCAACTGTGAGACTTCCTGCGCCGTCATTTGGAATGACCCATCCCCGACCATCGTGAGCACTTGGCTTTGGGGTCGTCCAACTGCATAACCAAACGACGCGGGAATGGACCATCCAATGTGACCCCATTGCATTTCAATTTCGAATCGGGCCCCTTCCGGAAGGTGCATTTGAATACCATTGAACCAAGAATCGCCTGTCTCAGCAAAGAGGGTAGTCTTTGATGTGATCAGACCACTGATCTGCCGGGTCATCTCCTTCCGTGAGAGCTGGTCGGTTGCGGGACTGGGGGTTACGATTGGCTCGGGTGGTGTGAAACGTTTATACTGCACCATTGTTGCTGGGGTTTTCTTCACATGATGCGACAGTTCAGACAGGAACTCAGTCAAGTAAACGCGAGAGCAGTCTGCTCCTGGGAGTTGAACCCGATCGACATCGGCCGTCAGGCGTGCGGATTCGGGCGGTTGGGCCGTCCAGCCCACGGTGCTATAGTCCGTAAAGACTGTGCCAATGCAGATGACTCCATCCGACCAGTCGACAATGGGTTGGGCACCCAAAGTGCTGGCGAGACCCCAGTAAACCCCGGCATACTGGGGGTGCGTCTCCGGGAAGAATGACTTGGCACTAGGCATCACTACCACCGCGCAGCCCAATGCCTCCGCGAGGTGTAGGACCGCGTCCTCGGCTTGGGCTGATCTGACTTTCGGACCGACCAAGATAGTAATCTTGATTTTGTGGGATAAAAAGCGCGCCGCTTGGTGGACAGCCTCCTTTAGAACGAGGGGATCACTCTTGACGGATTCCAGGATCGCCGACTCTGGTCCTGGGGGCACACATGGTTGGTTTGCCAAATTCGTGGGGATCTCGATGTATACCGGCTTTTTATTGAGGAGTGCCTGGCGAATGGTAGAATCGATCAAGTGCGGCGCGTCTGCGGCGCGACGAATGGAAACAGCAGCGACCGTGATCTTTTTGGCCATTTCCAACTGATATTCAAAGTCATGGGTCCCGATCGTGTGGTGAAGAATATTGAAATCACCTGCATCATTGGTGTTGGGACAACCACTAATGAGAATAACAGGGAGGTTTTCACCGTAGGCACTTCCAATGCCGTTGAAAGCCGAGAAAGCACCGACACTGTAAGTGACCACACATGCAGCCGCGCCCTTGGCTCGCGCATAGCCCTCCGCGGCCATAGAGCAGTTCAATTCATTGGTACAGTTAATCTCGTCCAGACCGGGATCCTCTTGCAGTTTGTCTAACAGGATGAGGTTATAGTCTCCCGGCACCACAAAATGCCTCTCGATTCCAATCTGAGCCAGCCGGGTGGCTAGATAGCTTCCAACTGTCGTCATGGTAATTGTGAGTGTAGACTCTTCAAGAGTCAAGAGAATACAATAAGAAGTATCTTTCAACAGAACTAGATAATGGAATTGTCGTTTTAAGGTATAGTACTTCGAGTACAGGATATAATATGGCCACCGTGATCCGGAGAGTTCCGAATCATATCATCTAGAACAAATCATGAATCATCTACTAGAAATCGTAGGTTATCTGCTCAGATGTAAACATCCTTCCGTTTGCGGTTTGTCTATGACATAAAGACCAGAGTATAGCTAAGTGAGTCTTTTAACTAACAAAAGTTGTAGGAAGCTATGAAACTATATTTATTGGACTAATACTGGTATACTTGACGATCGCAAGCATCTTAGGTCTAAGATTCTGAACATCGTACGCCAGAAATTGTTGTGGTTCGTACCTTGGTGCCTCAGGTATGCTTCAAATGGTTAGGAACCTCGTCTCCTTTACAATACAACTCCCTCCATCCTCTCTTTCTAGACCTCTGCTCGTAGCTCCAACAGAGCTTCACCAAGGCCCGAAAATATTGAGTGATCAACGTCTGCGCTACGGTGATGCGCGCAGTTGCGATATCAAATCCATGTTGAATCGTGTGCATCGGAGTGTTATCAACCGAATACCATTCTCCACCAGGGTATGGATCACAATGGGCATTTATTTTGGTTGATGAACACAGAGATGGCCAACCAGAGACACAGGAGAGCAGTCTCCTCATCTTCTCACTCAGGCTTCATGATAAATGATCTCGTGTCTGAATGCCGTCTTTAAATCCGCAAAATTGATTTCACAACCCTCCAAGTCACCCCACATGAGCTCCACATAAGCTCTTCACATGAAATTCAACCATTTGGTTGAAACATCATGAGAAGATAATATATGGCAAAGAGCATTTCGTCGTGCATCTGCATATGACACCATTAAAACCCTACGGGAGAGTCCGGATCTTCAACTCTATGACGACCTTTATCCACTTTTATCGAAGCTTAAGCTCGTATCAATATCAAATGGTGAAGCTTTGTCTATAAATACTCCGTGACTGACCATGTTTCATGGTCAAAACAGGAAGCAAAAAGGCAAAGATTGACACATTATGCAATCTAATACGGAGAAAAGTTCTTCAAAGAAGCCAATGTTTTCCAACGATCTCCATGTTAGTCCCAAAGCCTAAAGCGGACACACGCTGTGAGCACTACTGACTTGAAAAGCCGGTCAAAATTGCCATCATTGGTGCAGGCAATGTCGGGGCTTCTACCGGTTACGCTCTTCTTTTGAGTGGTCTCGCGGCCGAAATCGTCCTGATCGACCTTAATCGAGACAAGGCGGAAGGCGAGGTAATGGACCTGAACCATGCAGCTCCCTTCACGCATCAAACCAAGATTACATGCGGCAATTATGAAGATTGTGCTGGGGCAGCGATTGTCATTATCACTGCTGGGGCAAACCAGAAGCCTGGACAATCACGGTTGGATCTCTTACGGATCAATGCCAAAATTATCGAGGACATCGTTCCAAAGGTTACGCAGAACGCCCCGTCCACTATCCTTCTGGTAGCGAGCAACCCAGTTGATGTGTTGACCTACCGGAGTTGGAAACTGTCTGGGTTTCCACAGAGCCGTGTCCTCGGATCCGGTACCGTTCTTGACACCGGACGCTTGCGCTATACTCTAGGCCAACGACTGAATGTTGACCCGAGTAACATTCATGCAGATGTTGTGGGGGAGCATGGTGATAGCGAACTGCCAGTGTGGTCGCGGGCCAATATATCAGGAAACCCCTTAGCTGAGTTTTACCAGACCACAGGCGAAGACGTTCAACAGATCATGAAAGAATCATTCCAGGAGACCAAAAATGCCGCTTATGAGATAATCAACAAGAAAGGCATGACGGACTTTGGTATCTCTGCCGGCTTGGTGAGGATTGTGGAGGCCATACTAAGGGACGAGAACACACTTATGACGGTTTCAACGGCGGGAACTTTTGCAGGTGTGCAGGACGTTGCGCTGAGCATGCCAAAGAAGGTCAATCGAACTGGAGCCCACCATGTCATCGACATCAAATTGGCCCCAGAAGAAGGTCAGGCGCTAGAGAAGTCGGCGCACACTATTAAAGCTAGCCTAGACTCTTTGAACGAGTAGGGTCATAATTTACACCTTTCTTCCGCGCACTATCTGGGCAGTTGTCGCTTGTGGTACAGAAGTCATAGTCCTATCGCGGCGTGGTATGTGTCCTAGGACTCGAAATTGCTGTTTTCTATATAGATATATTCAGCCAGGAGAATTATGAACATGAATACCAATGTGCAGGAAATTGACTCTAAGCTGCCTCCCAATTAAGCGCACTACTCTCGTAGATTTTTTGTTTCTGAGTATTCATTGAAATAGTACCGAGTCCCGGTTGTTAGGTAGCCGACCTACTTAGCCGAGAGGTTCCCTGTGTTAGTTTCGGTATGAATTTCATAGTAGGGTTGCTATGGCCGAGTACCGACCGGTAATGCAAGAATCAAGATAAATGCAATCTATAGACCAAAGAATGAGAGGCACCCTGGCTTCCAATATTCCAGTCAACTCAAATCTGTCTTCCACTTCTACTGCACAGTCCCCTGAATTACAAAAGTCTTCCCACCCAAAATGAATATCATTACAACCCAAACGATCGAATCTCCCTTCACGAAAGAAACAATGGGTACATTTGACGGCGATGTATCTCTCAGACGCCTACACAAAGATGAGCATATTTCAATCCTCGATGTCAACTTTTCTCCATGTGCTCGAACACACTGGCACCACCACGCCAAAGGCCAACTCCTAGAAATAACCGCAGGATCGGGATGGGTGTGTGACAAGGGACATGAGCCTCAAAGGGTCAAAGCTGGGGATATCATTTGGTGCCCCCCTGGTACTGTTCATTGGCATGGTGCGGATAAAGATGGGTCTATGGTTCACCGTGCGGTCACTTATGGGGTTGTGGACTGGTACAGCCCGGTTTGAGATGACTTGAAGTGATATCAGAAGTTACTGGGAGATCCTTTTGCCTTTCAGTTCCAAGTCGAAGGGAGGATGACGTGTCCGCTTTGTTATGGCCGGTCCCGGTTCGGAGAGGCAGTGTTTATATGAATTATCCAAGGATGTGGTTCAAGATATAGTAACAGTCTATTTCCCTTTTTATATCTATAACTAGTCCCTATAACCGACTGCGTATATTCTGATACAACCAGTCTCTCCACTCCTGGTCATTCAAGATTGATCTTACACGGGCCTCGAGCCACTCTGTATTTCCCCAAAAGCCCCACGAAGCCTGGAATCTACACCAGTCAACCAAAGCTGTCTCCCAGTGTCGTTTAAACGTTTCCCAGTCGCATAGCTGCGAGTCCTCATCCTGGAGGGTTTTGCGGTACCGCTCTAATAGCCCCCTCTCACCATCACACATCGACAACTGCTCGGGCAAACTCCCATTGTCATCAACTAGCATATGCAATGGAACCGAACAGGTAAACAATTTGGCAAGGTCACAGACTCCCAGGCCGAGCCCAACGTACTGGAAATCAAAGAATGCCACCTTGTCTCCATTAGTCGTCGTGAAGAGATTCTCCGACTTGACATCGCCATGAATATATGACTCAACCGCCCTTCCACAGGGCGTTAGGAACAATGCCACCATCTCCGCCACGGATAGTGAGCACTCATCCGAAACCCCGCAGAGAAGGTCTGACCACGCCGAGTCCGTGTCCTGTGCAAGAGATGCGTACTCTTTACGTCGCGTCGCGAGGTACGTATATCCCCCATTCAGCCACAGCCCACTGTCAAGATCCTTGCCGGCACTTTGTCTTCTACTGCTTTCTTCAAGCGGCGGCCAAACATATCCGTCAAGATTGATTGGCAGAAGTCCCCTTGAGCGGCCATGGAAGCCGGCTAGCCAATCTAGCGCCGCGTGCACTTGTGTGCGATTCAGTGCACCCCTTTTCTCGCCCGCGACGGGAAATGCAGGACGCAGATCGACCATGATCGTAGCCATGAGACCTTTGAGTTCCGACGAGCCTTCCGCATCCTTCATGCCGCGCGTCGAGGCAAGACATTTGGCTATAGCTATATCGGAGCCCAGCTGCGGGACTACTTCACTATAGAAGTACTGCTCTACCTCGTAGCTCAGCATCTTTCGTAGGTGGCCCTCATCTGCCGTGCGGCTTCGGGGCGGTGAGATGAGTTTCAGGATGAGGGGATATGTCGACCCTACGCTGCCTGGTGCTACCCCACATAGCTTGCTGAGATGTTCGGCTGCTTTGTCGGTGGTGGCTCGCGCTGTGATCGCACATATTTTCCCATAACCAGCCCATAGGGTCTGTAGGTTGGTGCATGAGACGAGGTCGAGCGAGTGCCATGAGAGCATGATACTCGCGACCCGGTTGGGGTCAGTCATCTTGGAAGATCAAATAGGTCACGAGCATATGTCCTTCGCGGTTAGAGATGCTTTTGTTTAACGGAGCGGATAATGGGATTCTCCGAGATGTTTCCACTAATCTCCAAGGTCCATTGCCCTTTTAAATCCAAGTCTTGGGAAAGTAGGGACCTGTCCACTTTAGGAAGGCACGGGGTATAAAATCCACTCTTTTTTCTTTCCTCTTCTCTTCTTGGAAATCCAACCCGTATTCATTCGTAGTGTCGTGTTTTGCATCGGCCTCGGTTTTGATACATGTAAAGAGTCAAAAGCACAAAAAGAGGTGACCGGAGATATTATTTAAGGATTCCATGTTCTCACCTGGGCAAGACTGTCTCAGCCTCTTTATGTAATGTTGCGAGCAGCTTCCAAGGTTCCACATGGTTGACCTCGGGAGCCTTTCTTACTTGAATACGGCAGGTTTTTGAGTCCATCGACCGGAATTTTGGCAGGTTAACCAGCTGCCATAGACATTTATACATATAGTCTCTTTAAAGGTCTAGAAATACCTATCAAAGGTGCCTCACTAACACTATCCGTGGATCATTAGCCGTTATATTCTAAAAGACCCTAGAAAATAATTTCAAAAACACCAATAGAAAGATGACAAAGTACTTTATATAGCTAGACTTTCTCTATGGGATGTACGAGCGATTTATATATTGTACGGAGTAAGGCATTTATCGAGTGTATAAAACTATTAAAAATGGAGTGATAGTCTTATTCTTAGGGCTTGTAGGTTGGCGTGATGGACCCAAAAACCGTAAGGGTGGGATGGAGTTAAGCACGGAGATGCTGACGGAGATTCTCGTAAGGATCTAGAATTGTTCATTGGCACTCACCTTCTACAATAGGCCAACTGGGCAGGTTGCGACCCACAGATCGACACCGGTAGGGTTTATCATGGACAGTTTCTAGAACCCGTACATCTCGATCGTGGCTGAGGAAGGCAGCAACATTTAGTTATTTAGTATTCATGCAAGTTGCTGACAGACCAAGGTCTCCACTACCGGTTCATACAGATTCTTGTTCTAGCCACGCGTCCAACACTCACCTATTCGTTTTCCCATACTTGGCAGAGGTCTTTTGTTCTGGGCTCCGGGGGCTTAGACACGCTCACATTCAGGTATGGAGCTTTGCTTACATCTTGGCCATGGCAGAGACTGTGAGATGAGACACATAGCATTGGCATAGGGAAAAGACCCATGGATCTGTTAAGTCTATATAATGCTGCACATTATTACTTATGGTAATGAACAAAACGAACAATCACATCTGGAATGAAGAAGCCGACCTTATCTTTTACTATTCTAGCCTTGCTTGCTTTGGTTGTGACACCGGCTGTTGGACGCAAGTATACCATGTATCTAAATGTCAGCTAGACATGAGCCTGACTGTTTCATCCAGTTATTCCAGTGTCATTTCGTCTTGTCGATCCAATACTATCTCCGATTGATACCAAGCAGTTCACTATCACCGCGGGGATTGAGACCTACAACCAAACCATCAACTTTGTCCTAGCAACCAACGATGATCTCGTATCGCCAGACGTGCAAATCCGATATCCCGATGTCCACCAACACGCTATTGATGCAGGCGCACTGCCAGAAATTCAAGTTCGGTTTTCAAAAGGGTCAGTCTGGATGCAGGAAACTCTTAGAGAGAGTCGGGAAGATGTCGGATGGGCAAGACTTGCCGTGATGCAAGACGGAGAGAGCCTGCTTTTTGATGGAGCATTCACAATAATGGGTTCACAGTATGCCATTGAGCTCAAGACCCTCGACGATGGGTCTACTGAGATAATAGCCCACGAACACGAATCCACATTCTCGGCAGGCAGATCGTCACTCCCCTCGCTTTGCGCAACTGCCCCCGAAACACACTTGGATAAGCGACAGATTTGGAATCCTTGGGGGGACAATAATCTCACATCAACCATCGGCAGTACGTCAGGCTGTCCAAACACGAGAGAGATTGCGTACATTGGTATAATGACGGATTGCACCTATACTGCAAGCTTCAACTCCTCTGACTCTGCCCATCGATACATCCTGAATATGGTCAACACTGCATCTGTAGTCTTCGAAAACAGTTTCAACATATCTCTTGCGGTACAGAATCTGACCATTAGTGACGCTGACTGCCCGAGCAGTACCTCAGACACGACTGTGTGGAATGTCCCATGCTCTCAGGGAGATCTCAACACGCGACTTCAGACCTTTTCAACGTGGCGAAGCTCATTAAATGACAATAATGCATATTGGACCTTGTTGACTGGGTGTTCGGTTTCTGCTGGGGAGATTGGGGTATCATGGATTGGAGCACTATGCAACACGGGCTCTGGCTCTAGCAATGGTGGAGCCAGTGCCAATGTTGTCGCACGAACACAGGATGAGTGGCAGGTCTTTGCGTAAGTGATATCAGCCCGTAAGCAACAAGTCATTGATATCTTTAGCTGACACAGAAAGTCACGAGTCAGCCCATACATTTGGAGCAGTCCATGACTGCACTTCAAGTACATGCGGAAGCGACTCGAGACAATGCTGCCCACTCTCATCAAATGCCTGTGATGCCGGTGAACAGTATCTTATGAACCCCGTATCTAGATCTGGTATGACCCGCTTTTCACCCTGCACGATTGGAAATGTCTGCTCGCGGCTTGGCTCTGGGCGGGTTGACGGGAGCTGCTTGGTGGACTCTCGAACCGGCAATACCACTAGTAGTAACGAGCAGTGTGGGAATGGCATTGTTGAATCTGGCGAGGCATGTGACTGTGGAAATGGTGCCTGTGATGCGACAGAGACTCAGTGTTGCGATTCTGTGACATGCCAATGGCGAGGAGGGGATGGGTGTGATCAAAAAGATGGCAACTCTGGAACTGGAAACACTGGGAATACTGGAAGCACTGAAAACACTGGACAAGAAACTTGGGGAGGTGATCCAAGTGATGTGTCATCCTGGGTTCAGGATCATCTTTCGTTGGTTATTGGACTTGCTGCTGGCATTGGAGGAGCTTTGTTACTGTTCATTTTTGGATGCTTGATTTGTTCCTGCAGGCGCCGTAGAGCGCAAGTAGTGAACGTAAAGCCCGCAATTCCAACACCTCAATATCAATAAAAATGAGTTTCTCTGTTTCATCGAGGGACATAGTCTGATAATACATCTTGCGAGAAGGTGAATGAAATTGGTATCATACATTCAAAACAGCAACGGGTATAATAGAGCAATAGATATACAGAACACCACCGCAACCCAACCACAAGCTAGACTAAAACAACCCAAAATTCCCATCAAAAGGGAATGTAAATAGTCCCTCGTCCATCATATTCCCTAACGTAATCCAAGATTCACCTGAATTGGGGTCCATGGCTATCTCTGGTGCCATTCCCATCGGAGGAGCAAGCTGCATCCCAGCCACGGTGGACATGTCCGGGTATCCCTGAGCCTGCGTGGAACTCGACGGTAGATCTGGGTAGTTATGTGTGAGCTCGGTGGATGGGTAGGATTGGTAGTAGCCCCTCGGCTCGATCTGGTTCGAGTCTGAGCTCGAGAGAGTGGTTGGATATGATGCGCCAGATGACCAGCTGGTTTGAGGCGGCTCGGGCCCAAAACTGGACAGAACCGGCGTTGTCATTGGGTTGGCTGTTGAGCTTGGGCTATGGTTTGAGGAATAAGATTGTTCGGTTATTGAGCATTGAGGGTTGGAATTGTTCGCTCGGTGCGCTGGGTCGCCCATGGCTACTTCGCTTAGGAAATGGAGGGGTGTCATGCCCGGTGCCATCTGCGTTCTTGATTTGGCAGATGCCGCGTTCGGGGTATCATGGTTCCGATGTGTCTGCCGGTGATCCGAGGGTTTCTGGCCATTTGCAAAGGCCTCTTTCAATTCCCGGCCATGATCTCCCTGGTCGCGCTTTTTGATAAACCAATTGCGCAACAGGACCATTATGTTTCCAAATTTCGCTGCTGCACGGCCACCATCACGCGCCGCGGCGGTCCGGTAATGCGCGATAACTTTGTCCAGGTAATAATCAATTTTGAGACTCTGCACGTCGAGAATCTGCCCGATTCGACTGTCCGGCGACATGAACAATGAGTATATTTTGATCAAACTGACCACGGGGAACGTTGTCCGCGCTAATGTTGTTGTAGGCAAGCATATAAGTCGGTCACTCTCAATAGCACAAATGACATCCATACTCTCGTGGATGCAGCGGATGGCCGTAGTCAGTCCGTCGATGACTGCCGCAATGGATGATCTGTGCAAATCATCCTGTGGAGGAGAGTTGTTGCCACTGTTGAAGTTTACACACATCGCAGATCCATGCACAAAGAGATTCAGGACATGTTCTGTGTGAACCATGGGCCCTAGAGAATTGTTTAGCGGAAGATTAAAGCCCTGTTCCCAAGACCGGGACGTACCTGTGTAAATATCCCGCGGGATCTCCTCTCTCCACTGTGCTAATCGTTCCTCAAACACCTTCATATTGTACCACACCTTACTATTCGCGAAGGTGGTAATGGGTTCGGGATCATCCGCAGAGAAGTGATGTCCAGCATCCTCCATTATCAATCCCAGTTTTGCCCACCATTTCAATTTCCGGTCGGAGGGTAGCGCATCCGGGTGGTTTGCTAGAATCTCAAGGCACTCGTCCATATACGGCTGCCATGTGACCAAGTGTACTCTCCTCAAAGCCGCCGACACCCTGTCAAACGTCAGTTGCCTACTTCCCACACACCAGAACAACCCGGTTTGGAACTCACTGGACACATAAGTAATAACAGCCAACCCATGTCCGCCTTGCCTCCGGACCCTCCGGATCAAACGCCGGGCTCGTCGGCTTTTTAGAGATCAGCTCGCGGATCATGTTGAAGGCCCGTCTATTTTCGGAAATCCGACGGTTCAATCCAAGCTCGATTGCCATCACCGCAGCCATGTGAGTCAAAGAATAGAACTTGAGTTCCTCGAAGTTATCGGGTGGCAGATACCAGATAGAACAGACCATTATAGTCTGAACCAGCTCAAGCGACTTTTGTCCTTTGATAACAACGTGCTCGGCGAGCAGGCGATATACCTCATTCACGAGGATAGGCTGAGCGTCCGGATTAAAAACGCCAATGGCAGCGCCAATGATGGCAAGAAACAAACAAGGTTTATTGCGCCGAACCTCGCCCATCGTAGTTCCCGGCGGGAAAACAACGAAAGGCATCGATGGCGCCATCTGATGGATATATCGCTCAAACGCCGCGCTAGCAGTCTTGTAATCTACAATCCCCCGGTCGATCATATCGGCAAACTCATTCCCAGCGTCATGTTTCGGCGGCGCAGAGTCACCAGAAACAGGTCTACGCCAATGCTTCGACGCTTGGGTGGGAATCTGCTCTGCAGAGGGACTACCCGGCCGCGAATACCGCGGCGCCAGCATGCCCCCAGACGGATCCTTAACTTCGCCGGTGTGCTGCCGCTTGATTCCAGCCACCTTTGACTCCCCACCCAACCATCTCCGACCAGCCAGCTGCTCATCCCGCTGTCCTGTCGGCGATGCTTGCTGCCCCACTCCACCAGAGAACAACGGACTAGTCGAATGTGATGCGTGCAGTGTCGCCGTCAGGGCATCGATCTTCCGCTCTAATTCCGCTACCCGGCTGTCGGTCTTTTTCTGCCGCTTACGGGTCGGCGCGGTCACAACGCACGTCCGTCGCGCTTTCGCGCACCGTTTGCATGACCCTTCCGGGTGCGCCGGGTCTGGGTCGCAGCGCACTTTGAGCTGTCGGCAGGGCTCGCATGCACGCGACCGTTTGGCATCGCCGGGTGTATCGTGTGACTCTGGGGATTGGTTGCTCTCTGGACCAAACGACGGGTGTGTGTCCCCGTGCCCATGCCCGTGCCCATGCCCATCACCATAGATATCCCGGTTTTGATAGGGATTTAGGGGTGCGTGGGATGGGGGCTCTGGGTATTCCGGGCCTGTGCTCATTGTCGGTCGGGTCGGGGTGTAAAAACGCCGTTGAGGGTCCCCGTCTCGGTGTTGCAGCTGCGGATCGATTTCCATGCAGTGTGTGGGGTTGTGTAATACCGTTGTGTACCGCCAGTTCTAAAACCAGATCACTGTTACATATCAGCATCAAATTCTCATTAATATATATCACTATTGTTTTGGCCATTGTTCCAGTGTTATCGCTGAAAGCTCGTGCTGTATGCGATGGGGAAAATACACGGAGAACGGTGATCGCAAACACCGATCACCGATGCGGAGGATCAACATTCCTCAGTGTGGGTTCTGTCAAGCAAGGAGAATACATAAAGTAACTGCTTACCTCTCTTTCTTATAATACCCCTTTGTCCTGACTTGATCGTCACTTTGGGGCCAGAAGTGAAGTGAAGTTCTTTGAATTTTTGAGTTCTCACTAACATCTTAGGGCCACGTGACTTACATCCCACCAGACAACATTGTACGGCGTATATACTGCTGCAACTAATGCATCGATTTTTAGATTCAGATTAGATTAGATTCATTGACCATGAGATCTCAATGGAGACTTGTACGCTGAGAGGGATATTGGAAACACAAATCCCAGACGCCGTGAAGCAAAACATAGAAAAGGCAAAACAGCTAAGCTGACAAGCAACAATATCTCTTGAAATTCACGCTAGATAGATGTGCACCTTATTAGGAAAGCTTGTGGACAGGACACTCCATCTTCCTCTCAAACCAGTCGATAATGCAGTGCTTGTGGAACTTGCACAGGCACTCAAGGCGGGCCAGGGTCTGCCCGACCTCGTAGTCCTCCATACAGATCGTGCACTCCGCTACCTGACCATCCTCACCGAGGCAGTCCTTCTCTGTGGCCACAAATGGAAGCATCCGGGCTGCTGGTGGAGGATAGGGGGGGGAGGACCTTGTTGCGCGGATGATGTACGGGGCGGGGCAGCCGGTCTCAAGTAGCCCTCGATGCATGCCCTGATGTGAGCTTGGCGCGCCTCAAGAGGCTGCTCGGGACTCAGGGGTGGAAATTGGCGTCTGCATACAGGGCAGAAATCACCTTCGTCTGGTGCAGGTCTACGGGGCGGGTTACCCTCACGGCTAGAAAATGAACGGCGTGGTCGGGTTATGCCGGTAGTCGAGGGAACTTGGCGCGGTTGCGAGTTCAGTTCGTTCAAGAATTGTGGTCGGTCATTTGCACCCACGGTTCGTCGTTCCTGACGAGCTTCAGGATTCTGGTTTGGACCCTATGCGTGTTCATGTCAGTCCATGTTTCATTTGGCAAGGCGATAGGTGATAACTAACTGATAAGGCATGGTATGCGTTGGCCATAGTGGATGAAAAAGAATGAGTGGATCGGTGGCCATGTGCCCGCACGGTACTGTAGCTAAGGGGATTCGGGTTTGGATCTGGTACACATGGATTGCAAAGTCGTACTTCTTCGCCTCCGCCAAGAGCAGGATTGAGTGTTGTTGATGCTGTTGATGATACATGGTCGTCGCCTGTGAGATCGACGACCGGTGGAGGGTGGGAGGAAGGCATTGGTGGGGAGTCGGGGAGGAAGTCAACAAACTCAGGAGGGCGGACAATATATTGTTTGGGAATTGTAATCCGATGCGGAGAACATGATGCACACACGACTCTCCCACACTTTCGACAATGGTGCTTTCTGTGCCAGAAGCTGAACACTATCCCACAGATCGGACATTCTGACACATCCGAATCTGCCTGCCATTTGGGGAGAGCCACATCCATAACTGGTGGGGGTATATTATTATGATGAGATGTAGCGGAGCGGGGTTGATTAACCCAAGGTGTTGGATTCTCCCGTCGAGGAATACCTGGCAGTTGTTCGCCAGAAGTAGAAGAACGAGGCATCCCTGGGGGCGAGGAAGAGATATCAATTGCTGTTGCAAATGACGAGCCAGGTGCTGCGGAAATAGAAGATCTGGTGCGGGACGAAGGCAGTACCATCGAAACAGATCTATGCGGCAATATACTACTCCCGGAGGATCCCCCATCTGGGGCCGGTCCAGCCGTGGCCCCAGAGTGTCCCCATTGCAGCCTCGCATCCTCGCCAGTACTGGTCAATCGTCTTTTGCGTTCTGACCCGGGGCGAATAGGAAACACCCTCGCCCTGAATCTGCCTCCTTCATAGCCGCTGTAGCTTGCAGCTTGGATTGTGCCATGTCCATCTGGTCTTTCGACCGGCCTCGTGCCCGCCCGCGCCCTCGGCTGGGGGCTGGACTGAATCGGGCTAGACGACGCTGTGCTTGATCCAGGCATTATTATTGATGATTCGACTTATATAAACCCTCTGTGATGTTCTGTTCAATACGGGCAACGAGATCGATCTCGGCCGTTGGGGTGACGGTCTTCATGAACCAGGTGGCGATGGCGAGGAAAATGGATCGTGGGGAAGTCGGATTTTATAGATGTAGAGGAATTAACAATCCTTTCATGCAACCTTGGGCTCAGCCTCAATGACGTTGACGCTTTTTGCCGAAGATCACATCAAGGAGTGACAGGATGATGCTTATCATGGAGCCAAGGCTGGACCGGATTTGACAGATGAGGCTGAGAGTCTCGTGACTATGCCCTCGGATGTCAGCAACACTATAGCGATGCCAGCAGCAGATAGAGATGAAAATAAAAAAACCAGAGTAACTCTTTGACTCAGAGAGAAAGAGAAAATGGTGTAGAGCATTGCATGTTTGGCCCAGATACGTTATCGTGGGGGGCTGTGAGGGCGGTGGCGATTGACAGTATCGGCCCGATCTGCCGTATCATCGGCCTCGGTTTCTCGGTTTTGCTCTGAAGCAGTGTTTTTGATGATAAAAACTACATATCAGTTACTCTGAATTATTCTACATTATTATAGATCCCTAGGGAAATTTCCAGATCAGCGTGTAGATATCATAGACTAAAACCGCATTCTTGTGCATAGAGAAGGCCGCAGGATCCTTCCCTGATAGTGTTGCTAGACAGGTTATCATGCATGATAATGCAACAGGAGACATGGCTTATTTGTCTATACGTGAACTGCCAGCTGTATCCATCTTTCAGGACATATTGAAGCCTTAATATCACCCCTAAGAAAGAACACTAATGAACAATCCCCATTAATTATGATCTCGGTACTACTGTGTCCTAAGATTAATACAAGAAGAGCGAAAAGAGACAGACACGGAAAGAAGCAATGCCTCCAAAAAGAAAACAGTATGTGGCCTAGGTTCAGTGACAGCTAGGAAGACAATAGAAAGCCGATAGAAAGCCAATGAGATCACTCCCCATTAGGTGTATCTCAAGATCAGAGATAGAACGCCGTCGCAGCAATTTTAGGTAGAGACACAAAGCAAGCGATAGACAGACGGAAACCAAGGAAATTCGTGATAATGGTATCAATTCGCCAGATATTTCAGGGAGACGTGGTGACGATATCGATAGAGGTAAGTAGGAAAGAAGTGGGGGGAGATCCATTGATAGGAACAAGGAGAGAGATAGACAAAGGTAGATATCGAAGAGGAAGGAGGATATACTGGCTCAAAATACATATGTGGCTGCCTTTTTTTTCTTCCGTCTAGCGTTCATGCTTTCCCGGGGCGGCTTCGTCGACAAGTTCTGCTGAGCTGCCCGCAAATGACGGCTCATCGGGGCTCGCCTCGTGGATTTGGTCGTGTGCGCGATGTTGAGGCACATAACCCATGCTCGAGGGGCGTTCTGCTCGAGGGCCTGTCTGCTGGCTTGAGGCGTTTGACCTTGACCTTGAGGTAGAGGTCATAGACAGGCCTCGTTCACGAGATGGTGAGCTACTCCCGCTGAAAGGCAGGCGCGCGGCGGTGGGGCCTTCGGGCTGGAGATGGTGCTCGGAGTGCTCGGAGTGCTGGCCGACCGCAGAATCGTGCGATAGGGTCTCGGTGACAACTGGAAGACCAAGCGCGGCTCCATCTGCGTTTTGTTCACCGCCCGCCTGTGTGTGGCGAGAGCCCGTTCGACTGGGCAACTCGATGCCACCACCAACCGACGTATTAAGTTGTGGCAGGACTGGTGGACGTGTCTCACTTGACCGCTGGGGGTCGTGGTTATTATCCGAACCCTCATAAGAAACATTGCCATTAGACACGTTCCGAGAGTGGCTAGCGGATGGCGTGCCTGGATCATCCTGATATTGATCATTATAGTTGCCTGCTGGCGGGAATAGCCCTGGAGGAGGCGCACGAGCACTTCGGACCACCTCAAATCCTTTGGCGTTGTCCTTGGTCTTTCCTTGAAGCAGGCTTCGGAACCAGCCCGTCGCAGACGAGACAGGGCCTGTGGGGTCGGCTGGCCCAGTTTTCAACTTTCGGGTGCCGCTGTGGGAGAGCGGTGGGCCTCGGACACCGTAGTAGAAATCAACCTCGCGAACAGTATAATCCTTTGGCTTCCGTGGGGCATCAAGCTCCATATCGTCTTTCGGTGCTGCTAGATACGCCGGAACAGGTGTGGCCCGGCCAGACATGGTGCCATCTCCCAGGTCATCTTCGGTATGGACTGCTCGCCGGCTGGATTTTGACTTCAAGAAGCCCCTTGACGGGCTCTTCCCTTTTTCTAGAGAACCACTTGCCTGGGGGCTTTTTCGCCCTGGGCGAGGCGGTCGATAATACGGATCACGAGGGTTCATCCCCATCATCGTGCCACTGCTAGGCGAGCTAGGGAAACCGGCTCCTTGATAGGCGGTTGAGGTAGGTGTGGGGAATCCTCCACTTGGAGCACGACTGTGCGTGCCCCCTTGCGAACTGGCATAATCATAGACAGCGCTGGCTCTGCCATCACTGGCTGTGGCACGGTTCAGAAGTAGACCAGAGCTCCCAGAGAGACTGCGTGGGCGCAAGCCATCAAACTGAGATGACATACGGTCGTCGCCATGACCGAGCATAGCAGCCTCCGAACCCATGCTCTGGCGAGTAAGATCACGCCGCGCAGTGCGCCTGGAGAGCTGGCGCATACCAAGCACCTTGGTCAAGCCACCACGAGTGGCTCCGCCCGCGCCAGCTAGTCTTGCCAGAACCTCGATCAATGTTTGCATCGCGTTGAGGAAGAACCCAAAGACAAGAACCACGGCGTGGAGTACAAGGATCAAATATCCGATCCAGCCTCGTGCCGCATCCCCAACGGTCAATGACGGCACAAAGATGACGCTCAAGATAACTGTCAAGAAACGTACAATAGAGAAGAGGCAGTGGTACAGGTTCATGTGAGTTGGTCCTGAAAAAGGTCGGAAAGCCAGCAGGGTCAGTACAGAGACAACTTCGCAAATGGCTAGCATTACCACCTGGGCGATTCCAGATGGCTGCAAAGCACCAATTGCTATCCCGCGAGCGATGTTCAAGACAATCGGAACGATACCGAAGGCTGCTGCATCGTCGCAGTATGTATTATATAGCGGCCCATACAATAGCACCGTGGGGAGATCATCGAAAAGGTGAGACTTGGGTCGGGTGGAAAGAATCACTCGGATAATCCAGATGGAGAAGCAAGCGAGAAGAACAAGCACCACGGCTGCTAAAGCAACACAGTAAGCAGCCGATTGACGAGCAAGAACCAGCTGGAAGAAAGAAAGGGAAACGATTGGCAAGAGAAGGAAATTGAAGACAATGCGAATGAGGTTGCCTATGGTAAACGGCATGTTTCTGGCACGCAGATCCTGGTCGGTGTTGTTTGCCAACTCACGATACAGCCATCGAAGCGCGAATGCGATCTGGAACACCACGGTGACAGAGGCCAGGATTACCAGCACCCATATCATCATACCAGGCCAGATATCCTGGGAAGAGGCCATGCCAACCAGCTGGTTCAAGCGGTCGAGGCCGTAAGTTCCGTCGATGGCATACAAACCATCGACAACGGGATCGCGTCCTATTTCAGTGCTCATAAAGCTCTGGTTGAACATGAGAGTCGACCATGCTCCCTGGCTCACTGCAGGCTGGAAGAAGCCTGGGTAGTCCAACGAAAGCGACCCCGTCAAGACCACAAATTGAAGGTACTGCAAGCAATCTGCAAACCCAGGAGTGACAAGCCGGAGAACATCCTCATCACGGCCGTAGTTGCTTGTCCATCGGAATAGATCAGTTGTGCCCCAGGGACTATACATAGCGGCAGCGATGGTCGCAATCCCCACGAGTATCAAAATAACAAGAGGCACATAGGCGATGGCATTTTTAAGGGACGTTCCGAAGTCCGGCGTGGCTTTCACTGAAACACAGGCGAGTTGAACGGCAGATGCATCTCCAGAGCGAACCGTCAATAACGGTGTGATGGTTCCGAACCGGTATGTTGAAAGCATATCATGTTCAACAGAGAACGCGTGTAGTGTCGTCAAATCACTCCTGCATAAGGGAAAGGGGTCGTTAAATTAAAAAAAAAGTACAGAGAGCTTTCTGGATCGGGAATAGCTTACAGGTTGTACTTGAAGACCGGACCCAACGGGAGAGAACCTTGCTTGAGCGAGTCACGGAAACGAGAGGCATTGTGGAATGGCGTGAAGCTGAGCACATTGAGATCCGTCATCAGCGTGCTGTACCTGTTGTTGGTACTGCTCACATCTTCAATCTTGCCATCGGTCCAATCAGTATTATTCCAGACCTTGGAGTCCGGTGCCGGATAGTTTGCGGTTCGAGACACGGTTCCCGACACGTTGCCATATACCGTGATGGCGAGTGGGTGTAGAGGGTTGGTAAGATTGAATGTGACGGACACATTGGTAGGAACGAATTGAAGTTGTAGAGGGTCGGACTCGAGGATGGTTTCCGATAGACAATTTTCAAAGTCCAATAGAACAGCAGCGGCTGGCGATGCAAAACTCACTAAGCAAAGCAGTGCAATCCACCACACAGGAGTCCATGGTTGTGCTCGACGTTTCGAAGTGTTGCGCCATGGCCGACCTGGGGGAATATTCGATCCACTGTGTCGCGGTCTGGTTCCTTTCTGTCGAGGGGAGAATGAGAATTCGTCCAGCTCGATCTCCGAGTCGTACATGTCCGCTTCGGGCATCCGGGATGACCTCCTCGGGGAGGTCAACCCCCGGCGTAGATGATCGAATCCACGTTGTGGTTGACAGTGGGTCGGTATCGGGGTCTCGTGCACCGCGCGCACCCCTTCCCAGGGTCGATAGTCAGTCGAGATTGAGAGGAATCTTATCGCAGGGAATGGACCAAGGAAGTCGTGAAGTTTGAAGGCTTCGAAGTAGGCCGGGTGCCTGGAGGTAAGTATGTTGGCCGCTAAGTCATTAAACGCGGCAGATCCCGGAG